CGTCACTCCTTACGTGGAAACGGCGAGGGCCAGAGGGGAAGAGAGAGGGAAGCTGAAGGAAGCCGAACGATATAAAATCCAGCGTAAAATGGCCGGTCGCAGCTCTCGTGGAAAGCGTAAAAAATGCAGGGTCCCGACTAACGCAGTTAATTTGCCGAATGGGGCTGTCCTTTCTACCCCTGAACATGGCCACTGCTGCTAACATACATATATATAGGGTGATCCTAGTAGAGTCTAATAAAAAGCATCCCCAAAGCCCGTCGAGGGATGGTGGGGTCAGAAGTCCATTCGGAAAATGGAGGGACTCGCCCGTCCAACTAAATCTACCCAATAACGGACTCCTATTGGTTGCGCGGGAAATTTGAAAATTCATATCTCGCGATAACGAAGGTATTAAGAGACGCGACTTCTCGTATGGACTTAACGAGTTCTTGGCTATTTATTTTTATATTATTTAACGGTCCCTCTTTTTTGGGGAATTTTTAAAAGGTTTTTTTCACCCAACAGACACGGCCAAACTTTCTCTGTCTGTTAGCAAGACGTATGGGAGGCGGCTGGTCTTGGCCAGGGTTCGACTTGACTTCCGACTTTCTCTGCAGAAAACATTGAGTCTGCGAAGGGTCTCATCCCCCTTCTCTACAAAGATGCTATAAATTCTCTTCCCTGATCTCTGGATAGTGGCCGAATATAAGAAGCCCGACGCGAGGTACTCGAGGGTCGGGAAGGTCAAATAGCCAACTGTTTTGCTCTTCGATTTTGGTACTACCGGGATACTCGATAATTCAAACCACTTTGATGTCCGATATAGGATGAAAAATTAAATCTTCTTTTAGTGTATTGCCTACTGTTACTATTCATTACTTTTATCTAATGTATGCTATACTATATGTATTTTTTAATAATTTAATGGAAACAGGCTTGGCGCGTGGTGGCTGGCCCTACCTGGAATCAGGAACAGACCAATCTCACAGTAACTTCCGGACGGGAAATGCGTACCCGCGGACCATGGACCAATCGAATCTCACAGCGAATTTAACACCCCTCGAGGAAAAAGTCGAAATTTCCAATTTTATCGAATCTCCGGTCGTCTGTCGTTTTGACAAGCATTACCGTCCGATCCCTACGGCTGATCGCCGACGAATCAAATTTTTATTTCTAGACAATTTTTGAGTACCCAAATTATTTTTAAAATTTACACGTAAAATTGTAAATAATAATATATGCATATCCAAATAATCCAATGATCGAATCCTACCTTATTGTGAATTCAAAAACTTTGTAATAATCCAGTAAAGAATATATTTTGAAAAATTATATTAAACTACCGAGTACCCATTGTACACTTTCTTAATAAAAATGACGTCTTTTCCTCTCGGTACGTCATGTACTTCCGGTATACGACATGAGATTTGCCGAGTTGCAGCCAGGCGAAACGACCTTATCGGAAAGTCATAAACACGTAAATCCCAGTCGTAAATTAGGATCGTCGATGCGCTGGACTTTTCGACGATTTTTTTTCATTCGAAGAACCGGAAGTGCCGGCACTGCACGTCAGCGCGTGGTACGCTACTAGGCTCGTACGAGGCGTCGTTGAGATTCATATACGTTTAAGGAAAATCAAAGATGGAGTTATTTCTAAAGAGGGCCAGCACAGCGCCATTAGAGGAGTTAAGAATTTTTACGATCAGAGGCAGCCAGTGTATGCCGTAGTAACAAGGATGAGATGATTTCAAGAATGCAGAGCACGTTCTCAACCAATGCCGGCAGCCAGGCAGTAAAACAAATACGTCCCCCTCTATACGGGGTGTCTCAGCAATACGAGTGGGTATCGTAGTCCTCGTTACGGGTACGGATCAAGTCAAACTCCATAATATCATCCCATTCGATATTTGACTTTCTTTTTTGACTTTTTTTTTTCGTTTCCTGAAACAATGTCTATTTAGCATTTTTTTTTAAATCTTTAAGCTCAAATTTTGTAAATAAAATGTATATATGCGTATGTTGTTTTTTTTTTGTTACACCCGTTAAGTATAATGTGGCATGGAGCAACGACAAGAGGCCTAGTGCAGAACAAGAATGTCTCCTTCTGAAAATGTCCTCTTTAGAGTCCAAATGAATGATGGACAGGTGAATGAAGTGGCCAATGTGGGTTGGTTTCAGCATCTCATGTGACACGCACGCCAGACCTCCATTGTTTTCATCTCCCTTTGATTGAGTGCCCGAGAGTTCTTTGTTCTCTCAAGGAAAGAACCCTTCCACCTCTTTTTCCCGTCTAAGAGAACTGGCCTGTCACGATTCATCCGGGACTTTTTTGAAAATTTCAACCCCTGCGTGTCGATCGAAGACTGCCTGTCGTCATGGGAATAAAACTTAACCGTCTTCGAGTGGCGAGTTGGTTAAATTGTTACTAATACCGGGATTTTTGAGAATTAGTCTTTCTGAAAAAAAAGGGTTTTTTATGTTTGGAAATTAGAGTTAGTCACTGTTTGTGATTTTGGACGAGATTGGATTCTATAGGAATATTATTTTTAAGGGTGGTTATTGACCTTTAAGTGAACCGAAAAATACCGACAAGTGTGCTCCATTCTCAAATTGATCTGACCCATGGTCCATTTTCATGATCTGATCTTTGAACCCTGCTCCAGAGAACCCCTTTTATCTGAATAGCGTGGATGGACCAGTTTTCACCTGATCTGGATCGTGATCCATTTTTGGAGGTTGCATCAGGGTCCAGTTGTTGAGCGATGGAGATACGAGTTACAACCTAACCTCTAAAAGGAAACCTGTCTATTCGCGTGCCGAGGTCCTGGCCCTTAGGATTCTGTGACTGGCAGGACTGCCAGCGTGCCACCTGAAACTGGTCCATCTAGGGGATGCTGACCCTCTTATATAATGGACACTGTCCACTTAAGGGTAAATTTAGACCGCAAAATGCTCTCGTTTACCCTTTGACTTTTATCTGGCCACGGGAGATGGATGCTCCCCTTAGTTATTCAAACCCTATTCTTATATAATGCACGTATAAACGATTCTCTATGGACCGGATTCTGTCTTTTCGTTGTATTGCTTATGCATAACTTGCCGAACAGGTCCTTGGCGGAGGGTACACACTTTCAGTTTATCCCGAGTGCATAATGGGGTTATTTAATTTTGAGAGCAAATGGTAAACGGGTACACCCTATAGGGGTTGTTACTCTCTTGGTTATCTGTTCGGTCGTTACGTTTAATAATACAGTGATAATCGATTACGGAATTCTTAACAAAGCAGCCATGGTGGTTTCCATGGAAAACTGAAACAACGAAGTGTCGGTAAAGTAGTTTGGAATTTTTGACAGTGGAGACATCTGACCAGCCGGTATCGCGTCGGTACTACAGTTTATCCTTTCAATATTATCTTTGACGAAAGATACACAAACGCCGTCGGTAAGTTAGCGTCAAAAGATAAAAATGTATGTTTTTAATACCTAAAAAATTGTTCCTCATATTCTCCTAATTGTTCCGCTGCCATTATACAATGATTAAAAAATATTCATTACACAGCAAAATTCACTCTATTTTGCTCCGTAATTTATTTTATTAAAACAAGCGCAACCTTATAAAAAAAAAATTTGCAAATTACATTCGAAATGAAAGTTCACTGGTTGCCCAAGAGATGGCGCCACTTATCATGCCCAGGAGATAAAATGATTTCGAATGATAGCATATTTATAATTTCAATTGATAGCATATTCTTGAACAAGCTGTCAATATGCGAATGCAACTGTGCAGTAAATCAAGTTTAATGGCTGCATACAAATTTCCTAATAAAAAATGTCACAATCTATGCTATACTCGCTCTACACTGAAATTCTATTTCTATTAGTTTCCCTTTGTTATGTTCCTGCGTTTCCAAGCAACAATTCTGTATATATGTACTAAAGCTGCACCAAGCACGATGATTCGGTAACGAAGCACAGTATTGCACGTATCATAAAGAGAACGTGTTTTAATAGTGTAAATAGTTGTTAATTTCGTAAAAAAAAAAAAGAAATACAAATGTTAGCGCAAAACTCGCGTGCTATGAGAAAACCTAGTCAGGAATCGGAGCAGGAATTAAAATTGCAGAAAATTAAAGAACTGACTACGATAATAAAGGTTCGGTCATACGATACTCGATCGATAAGTGAACTCTGACATAACGTTACTAAGGTCAATATCTATTTCCTGTTCAGGACACGGACAGAAATCTGACAGTTTGCGAGGAAATCCTATCATCTTATATAGAAAAACGATTGCGGGTAAGTCTTACCGCAACGAGTACAAAATAGTATTTTTTTTTCAAAAAGTTAATTATTTGTCGCGTGACAATAAGTCGAAGAAATGATAAAAAAAGTGATACTGGCGATATTACAAGGAGTCATTCGATTTTACGAACTCGATGATTTCAAGCGTGTCGAACTATGACGCAATTAATTGCAAACCATTAATTACGAACGATTTACGTATATTAAAAGAAAATTACAAAATTAAACAAAATTGAGTCATCTCCCATTTTACACTAACTAATACTATCAACGATACTTTTAGTGATACCGAGAACTAAAATCTCGTTATGAAAAAATATACAAAATACATATCAGCGCGTCTTTATCACTTATCAGTAAATTTCACGGTTGTACAAAAATGAAAAATATATATAAAAATTACACGCACGCGCAACTTATCAGCCATTTCGATTTCTTGTGGCACCTGAAATCGATTAATGATAACACCATAGCACATACTCTCTCTCTTCTTTCTGCTCTTAATCATTTCCCATGCCATCCACTTCCATGACCACCGTGCCACCCTCCGTACCACCATGGCCAACCAGGATACCACCCACCGTACCATCCATGACCATTCCAGCCACCCCAACCGCCATGCCACCCACTCCCGCCATGACTCCAACCTCCGTACCTAAAAAAATAATTAAAAATTATTTTAACAACAAATTCCAGAACGACTTAAATTATTCCTAGACAAACACACGGTACTCACCATGGCCAACCATGTCCACCATGTCCACCATGACCACCATGACCGCCGCCACCCCAGGCCCAAGGACCCCAACCGTAGCTTCTCTTATCTACTTTCTTATCTGATCCTGGCTCCTCCGGCGATGCAGCTTGTTGACCTTGAAGAGCTGCAGCAGCCTGAGGTACATCGTTGGTCTGGGTTATTTTTTGGGCCTCAAAAGCCTCGTGACCCAAGGCCAAAGTGGCCAAGGCAAGGACCACCTGAAATAATAAAAATATATTAAATGCATTAAAAATTCTTAAAATTCTTATAAATTTTTGCACTACTCAAATTTGACTTTGACAAAATCACAGGATAAATCGATCTTACCAGTAACTTCATATTAAGTCTAGTTCACCAGTCGACTGATGTCCGTCCGGATGGTTGACACTTCTTTTATACTGGATTTTCCCATACGAGTCGTTTACCAGATTATGGTAAATTCTAGATCCACCGGTACCCACGTACAAACTCCTGACTGACAACTCTGCCCAGCCACACCCATCTTGAGAATTGCAGGTTTATACGTAATTCCTTGGATCCACAACTTCACCTCGGACACGTGTGACAATACTAGTAAAGATCATCGATAAGGATTTAGAAAGATCATTTATAACGATTGGCTATGTCGGTAAGTCATCCGTTGGACATGCGATTGACGTATACGAAATTTAAATCTACGAGTCACTCTGCTTTATGAAAATTTATTGGAGAAATCTTCAACCGATAATAATTGCTTAGCAAATTAAGTACGAAATGACAACTTGACAAAGCGGATAATCTCACGATTTTGCATAATCATCGAATGATCGACGCAACCAGGAAATGGGCTACTGGAACACGTAAATGGTTCGATCAACTTCTTTATAAATTCGTAAGACTAATTATCGATGATTTTAACATTACTTTAATGGCGTCTGTATAATATATATACACACACAGTATATATCTCATAGCTTACTCAATACGTAGCCATAAAAACTTAACGAAATACTAACTACATACTTGGAATCTCCGTGGTGAATCCCTCTCTCTCGCACTCATGACCAGTGACAATGCTTAAGAGAGCCAACCCGCGGCCTTCTAGAAGCTAGGAGAATGTAAGCTGGGTAAGATAATTTTTATTAAAACTATTTAATTTCCTACTTTCTCAATGAACAAAGAACCAACCAGGAAAACATCCCTTGTTACAGAAGCACTTTTATAAACCCGTCCAGCAAGATTCCACTATATCCGGTCTAGTGGATACAAAAAAAATAATTTAACCCTATAATTAATTAATACGGAAAAACATGAAATAAATTATCGTAATACGTCATAGCTGATTGATAAATTTTTTAATGGTCGATGGGATAAAATTTATCACTCTATGAGGAGATCGTATTTATCATTCAATTGGCAGATATCAAGCTGTCTTAATATAAAATCAATCGATCGATTCAACCCGATGAGATCAATGAGCGTGCACGTGTTTGAACGTTCCCGCCAAAAGTGTCAGGCCATTGCGCAACATCCGTTCTCCATATATTTATGGCGAACATGTGTTTTTCTAAGGAAGTGGTTTTGTAGCGCCAAACTAGGAAACCAAGAGTGTCCCGTTCGACACCAGCAACAGACTTTCTCCAGAGCAGGTTGCACTTACGAAAGTGAATCTAGATGGTCTAACGTAATTTGCCGGGAGTAAAAAAGTGAAGAGAGAGAGAGAGAGAGGGAGAAAGGGAGAGAGAGAGAAAGAGAAAAACGAACGTAAAAAGAAACCGAACGACATCGATTAAATAATTGTCGACGCAAGTCTAAAAGAATCGGACGTTGTCCATTTGGTTCGGATTAGAAAATTTCAAAAACATTTTGAAATTCCCGCGCGTCCGTTCGGTCGTCGAACTTGCTCGCATTGCGAATGCACTTCAATGAAAAACGAATTAGCTGACCATTTATTGCCTACGTACTATTTAAGTTTTTCTTGTGCAATTTACACTTTAACAGGCATACCTTAATCTGCTTAGAGTTCTCGCCAATTCGAAATGCTTTTGCTTAAGAGTTTTGTATACCTTAAACCACTGTTGTTGTGCATAAACGTATAATTCATTGTGATTCGTCCTGTCACTCTTGTATAAACCAATTACGAAAAATTGTACTATCTGGAAACGTGTACTTATTAGATTTCTGGTTATTCTTTTGTTTTTGTGCAATAACAAGTGCATTTCGCAAACAGACAATTTGAATTTAGGGATGGTTGCCAATTTCATTTGAACTTTCACTCGAATCAGAAAACAAAAATTAAGGAAATTCGTTTAATGAATTTTTTGTCTATATTTATTACGTCGTTTATACTTCTTGCTGTAAGGATCTTTATACGTTTTACAATGACGTTGGTACTTTATTGTAGTTAATGGGAGAATTTGGGATCTTGGAATTCCTAACAAGACAATTGGACAGTTATTCAATATTCAAACGACAAGTCGATACCGACGGTTCACTTTTTCGCCGTCTGTCGTTTCGCTTCAGTTCCTACAAATAAGTAGGTGTATATCCATGTAATTGAAGAGAAACTTACCATTTCTTTCCGATATTATGCAAAAATTTATCCCCACTAGATAAACTATTGTTTATGACGGTTGGCACTGAGCAGTGGACAGTTCGTGTCCGAGCGTCGATCTAGGAAGTCGTTCCTGTAAAAGGATAATCCCTTAAAATAGATTTGGTGTAAATAAATACCAGGCAGATACGAAAATAAAATACTTAATAAAAAAAAGCAATAGTTGATCATCAATAAAATCACAAGAACAGAGTTAAAATTATACCAGGATATTTTGGAATTGTATTAAAAACTTTTCAATTCCCCCAGGATCCTCCCCGCTATGTGGTGTGCCAATGTGTGAAGTGTTAAGAAAAATTTCATGCAGTAGATGCGAAAATTTGCAAATATGGAATTCCGTGTACTATTGTGGTTACTGTGCATCGCGTATGCATTCGCAACAGTCACGAGTGACGCAACGACAGAGAATGCGGAATTGGAAGTTACTAAGGACAGCGACAGCAGCGCCACCGAGTTAAATAAGACAGATGAAAATGGAACTAATCATAATAATTCGGATAATAAACCACGTGATAAAAGGACCCTGGGTATGATCCTTACAGGACTTGCAGGAATCCTTGGCTACACAGTCTCGCCAATACAAGCGGCGTCGTTACCAAATCCAACGCTTCCGCCAACGTCGTCACTACCAGCCATACCCATTCCAGTATTCCCAGTTGGAATTCCCGCCGCGCCAGCGCCACCGCCGCAACCGCCAGCGCCACCTAAGGAGAGAGAAAACATACGTCTTACTGGTGTTGTCAATTTTGGTAACAATGGCGACCTCCTGGGACACTTGCAGCAATACGAGCAGATCTTCCATGGTGCAGCTGCAGCATCATCACCAGCCAAGCCAAGACCTAAACCACCTATAGGACCACCTATACTCGCTGACATTCCTTCACCGATCGCTCCGAATCTGCCGGCTCCTTATCCGCCTGCACCTGCCCCAAGACCTACCAAGCCGTTACCTATGAGAACGGAGTACGAAGTGGAGTACAGGAATAATCAGAACATAGAGAATTATAAAATTGAGAACAAGGAACTTAAGGATGAGACTGAACTGACTACGCCTAGTAGTAAATATACTCATGATATTTATATACAGGAACCTAACTGGAAAAAAAATTATGACGACCGATTGGCACAACTGGAAAGACAGCAGGAAGAGTATGCTGAGAGACTGACGCAGCATGAAGCTCAGTCTAAGCCTAAGGAAGAAGAGGAAGAGATAGTGGAACGTTATCCTAACAGGGAGAAAGAAATTGCTGACAGAGATCGTGAGTACGCGGCTAAGTTAAGGGAACAGGAAGAATCAAAACATGAATCTGATCATAGAGATTACGAAAACGATCGTGAGGAACCACGTGAGAAAAATGAGAACTATTCTCAAGGGAAACAGTATGAGGATTATTCAGAGGAGCCGCCACGTTATAGGGATTATGATAACGATTCTAGAAATAAGTACAAGGAATATACGGACTATGAGGAAGCACCGGATAAAAGCTCTAATCAGGATCATGAAGAGAAATTACCGATTATTAGGAACGACGAGGATTATAAACCGGAAGTGCCGATGAATAGTTATGGGGAGAGTTTGGAGAGGCAAGGAGAGATCGATGAAAATATTGCTGATTATTTTAGTAAATTTAAAAATCCACATACTGGAATGTATGATACTGATAGGATTCAAACTGCGGGAGGAGAGGGTGAAGGGTCAAGGTGGGAGCAAAGCTTGAAGGATCAGGATAGAATTCGACAGGAGTATTCTTCACCTGCTCCTGAGTCCAGGTACGAGGAGTATGATCTGGAGGATGAGGAGCCTAGAAAAGAAAGTATCAAGGAATCTGAAAACGTCGAGAACCTTGATGATGATGTTGGTACCACCCGAGAAACTTATGTGGAACAAAAGACACCAGATTATTCTGAGGCCTTTGGGAGGTATGAGCCTTATTCGAAAAATCTGGAACCGGAAGAGGGTGACCATGTGCTCACATCTCAAAGTGAAAGCGGAAGTCCTCAAGAATCCTATAGGAAAGATGATTCTAGTGAGGAATCTCGGAACGATGAACAAAGTGAAGAGCCAAAACGAAAACCACCTCCGGAACGTTACGAATTTAATTTTAAAAATTATAATCCTTATTTTGCACCAATACAATATATTTATAGTAAGGACGAGCTGGAGGATACCACTGCCAAAATTTTGTCGTCCTATAAAAATTCGGAGGCGTCCAAGGACGAGGAACAAGGCTCTGATGAAGAGGAGAGTAGGAAGCATATCCACGAGGAAGAATTGAGGCCCAAGATTGGTCTACCTGAGAAATTGGCCTTGAAGAATCTTCACGAAGGCGAAGCTAAGGAGATCAACGCCTGGCCAGCGCCTTTTGATTATGTTTTCGATAGTACGGAACAGACAATTGTAGCTCAGGCTAAGAACAGTGAGCAAGCACCTAAGTCGATACCAAATCAAGAACCAACTTATCAGACGCCATACGAACGGCCCATAAATCATGGACCCAAGTCCGAAGATTACAAAGATCAACCGGAAGCTGATGATCGTGAAGATTATAAAAATTATAACCAGGTCCCATCAGCTGATGATGTTGACGACGTCAGTCCTCGTCAAGGTTACGTATTGAAATCTACATCCTCGACTCCATTTTATCCCAATGGTGGATACTTGGAGTCCTTTCGTGCCGATGATGGTCCAGCCGATCACCAAGAACCTCCCGCAGCATCCAGTGGTCCAGCACCTAAAAATGAGGAATCGCAAAGGAATCGAGAATCCCATGATGGTCCCGCTAGTTTTCTGGACAGGTATAGATATGGATTCGGAGATGAATCATCTCGAGAAGAACCACCTAAATTCGAATTGCAGGGTCACCAACCAGCTGAACAGGAACAGGGCTTCCAGTCAGCATCCCAGCCACAAAAAGTCCCAATTCAACATTCACACGCGTCAAGTGTTCCTGAGCAAGTGGAATCCAAGGAGCAGCGTCATCGGGATGGACCCCAGTATGAACATTATTACACGAAGTCAGTGCCACAAATTAATGGGAGAAGATTCGACGAGAATTCCGAGGGGTATCAAACAGAAAAAACGGCGGAAAACTCAAAATCAGAGTACAAACGGAAGACTCCAAAGAAATTTGATGATCCCCAGAGCGCGCATGACTTTTTTGAATTCAGCAAAGAGGATTATAATATTGAAAAGGAAAATTCACCCCTTTCAAGTTCTTCCGGTGTGGAGAGTACCACGGCTTCTGTATCTGATGAGGAATTGAGATTATTGACAATTCCTGAACCAGCGCCTTATGACTATGATGCCAAATTGACCGAATTCACGGATGGTCCTGAAACCGATACAGAAAAGGTTAAGGTCAAAGAATATAGGAATAAAGTAGCGACCTTAAAGGTTTCAGAATTGAAACAGCTCGGTCCAAATGGTCCAGTGCATCTTATAGGCTACACTCATAATTTCTAATAAGTGACTTTCTTAGTTAATGAAGAAATTGAATGTAGCGTCATAGAAGGAGATGCTAATTTCTGTAAAGAAATAAATTATAAGGCGGCAATTATTCTGGCGTCAATGGGAATTCAAATACAAAATGTAAAAACAGCACTTGTTAGCTTGAGATAATCAATTACGAATTAATTTAAATGAATTTATTTAATTGTTATTTAATTTATTGTAAGTGCTTGACATTTTCCATTGTTTGTTAGGTCAAACAATAAAATTGTTATTACCTGTAAAAATGAGCGCACTGTTATTTTATTGAGGTTCACCGCATACCAAATGTTAATGAATAAGTGAACGTAAGCAAAACTGATTGTTACCTGTAGTAAATAATGTAATAATAATAAATATTCTTGCGAAAAAAATACGACTTTCTAATTATTTGTTTCACTTGAATTTCCCAATCATTTGCCATTCCGACGAGTATATGCACTATTGCGCACTGTGTTTCAGGACAAAAGAGAAGCCATGCAGCAGCAGCATGAACTGGAGGAGAAGATGACGGACATTTTGGATAATTTGAAATCGCGTTTATTAGTGGAATAAAAATGTCATTCGATGTTTCTCAATTCTGTATTAAACGCTATTATAAATATTCTATATAGTATATCGTAATCATAGTTAAGACAATGCATTCTTGTTCAATTTATAATTTACGAGTATTCCTCGTCATATATTTTTTTTCGACAAAATTAATTTGATTACATAATTTTATGATTGCCTATCTGCAGGCGCTTTTTGCTAGCCTCACGTCAGTTATTGGCCATTGCATATTTCAATTAAATAAGTATACAGCCCCGTATAAAAAGTTGCATACTGCGAGGGGCAACAGTCCAATAAAGGTTTTAAACACGTGTAAATTGTTATTTGTTAAAATTAACTCTATAATGTAATACTGTCATTGATGTCTATTTGTAGGTAATTTTGTATGCTTAATATATTATAATGTAGACAAATTATAATATTAAAAAAAATTATATGCTCCTGACGAATGTTACGTACCGCAGAACTTACGCAGCCTCAGTATGGCTGTAACATCGACCGCAACAGATTGCAGCGTATTCAATTGTTTTTATATGAATGTGATTTAAAACGTTTGTTTTATAGGCTATAGAGTGAAAGTTAGGGTAGCAACGTAATTTTAAAAAATCTGTGAATATTTGCCAGACAAATAAATTCTGTAGGAATTAACAATGGAAGAATTTTTGAAAAAAATTGGTCTTGGTCGAAGGCCCATAAATGATCCATTTTTTGACGAATCATACAAAGTTTGTAAAGTGTTTCAACGTAAAGGAATAACAGTCGAAGACGAGGAGGAACTATGCCATATGCCGTCAGTTTTTACTTGAGTACATATTTCGTAATTTAAATAATGATCGTGACTCCCACCAGTTAACCTTATAGGTGTTACTGTCATTATGCCTTAAGTGTTGTTATGTATTAAGGAATATGGGTTTCTTCATATTGTGTTATTCATGGCGTTTCTTTCAGTATGAAGCAATTTCCATGCAACGTTCCTGGATGCAAAGCAATATTTGAAACCTTGTTGGATTTTGAAATGCATTATAATAGTATGCACCGTTATGTTTGTACAGAATGTAAAAAGAGTAGACCCAATGCTAGACTATTGGAAATTCATATACAGGAAAATCATGATAGCTTCTTCAAGATATTGGCAGAACGGCAGCCCATGGTAACTATGATAATAGTATTAGCAGTTTCCAGAAGTGTATAAGTGGGTATAATCGTATTCCTTTTTTCAGTTTCAATGTTATGTTTCCGAATGTGAACTTAAATTCAATAACCCCTGTGAAAGAAAAGAACACTGTATAACTGTACATAAATTCCCTAAGAATTTTCGTTACGATGAAACGGTACATCATAAAGATAAAGATCCTTTTAAGAACCACATGGAAATTGATCCACCCAAGGAGACACAGCAGCAAAAGACCAAAAAAATTGTGCATAATTTAAGTAAAAATCAAAAATGCAAAACGTTCACAGCTATTCCTAAAAGTAGCATACCGGACAATACAAATACTGTTCCTGCGAACAAACAGTCTGATACTCCTATTAATAGCAAATCATCCTTGACATTTATTCCTCGTCAAGTTCAGAAATCTTACTCAAAGCTACTTACGAATAATCAGAATAGAGAGAAAAATGTTTTAGAAACTGACAATATGATGGACTTGGTTGAGTCTCTTCCAAAATAGTTTTTTTTGTTATGCGTATTATTGTATATTGTGTCCATTATTTTAGTCCTTTATATCGTATTAAATTATTATAAAAGTAGAGAATTTTCCTTCGTCAAACTTTCCTCTCCACAGTAATTAACATTATGTTATTGTAATTGAAAGACAAAGTCTGTGATATACATATCTGCAAAAAGTCAAAAGAAGGGATAATATTTTACAATGATAAGTACCAATTCATTTTAAAAAATGTTCAGTTTTATTATAAATATATCTTAAATATTGCAACAGTCTTTCTTTATTTTACAAGGAACTCTCTTAAGGAAGATCAATATATGCTTGATGATATTTACAACCTGCATCCAAATGCGCTACTGACTACCGAACGCATTTTCATATCAAGGCGAATGTGAAAGTATTTTCATGGTACGCAAAAAAAAACGTTTTCATAACGGCTACACCTGTAAACCATGCTTAATGTGTGAACACAAAAAAAAACACTTAAACTTCTAAACTTTGGATAAAGCTAATAATCAGATAGCCTAGTCGGCAAAATCCTCGTTACCACATAAATATTATTTCTAAGAGTAATTTACCATGCCAACTAGGCACTCAGTTCTTCTGCAAACATTCCTGATGACGAGAAGCGACTCAACGAAATGATAGGAAAAGATAAGAAAAACAAGAGATCAATATGAGCTACCACGCGTTGTGAAAAAGAAAGAAAAAAAAACAGGTAAACAGTAAAACAAGAGATCATAAGAATAACGCGTCGTACAATAAACGCAATAATTTATATACAACCGCCTTTGTATATAAAGTATTTTATCAGTAATCACTGTCCTATGTAGTCGCGTCTCAAGAAAAAAAAATAAGAATCAAGAAAACTCCGTGCAAGGATGCACTCGCGAGTAACGCGCGGAACGAAAAATATTCACAGTATGACATATGAAAATATATGATCTTGAAAGATAAAAATACTAATATAGCACTACCTTACTCAATTAGAATAAACCATACACCTGAGCTTAGCCGTCTCATTTCTTAACGCTACCAATTCGTACTTCAATTTCATATTTTCTTGTTCGAGAAATGCAGCCCTGATTGCAATTTCATCTTCTTTCGCCCTTCTGGCGTCTCTGGACCGTTTTGCAGCTTCGTTGTTCTTCCGTCTTCTCTCCCAATAAGCCGCATCCTTCTCGTCTACTGTACTAGTCGGCAAACCAGGACTCTTCGTCACTCTCCTCATCTTGATATTGGTACCCTCATTGGTCCTCCTCACAGACTCCAGCATCCGTTTTCGAAATTCCGAGTAAGCCTCAGTCGAATTTTGATCATACACCAACTCAGCAGTACCCATGGACAGGGAAAGAGGATCCTTAGGATAAGCTTTGAAGGGTCTCGGCGCCTTTTTCGTCATTTCCGGCGAATGCAACGGAGACGACGCATCCAGATTCACAGTAGAGACCGGAAGTTGTGTATTTTTTAAAGAAGGCACGATGCTCTGTCCATTTGGAAGTAAACCCGACAATACATTGGATGCTGGTATAGAAACCATTGGCATTATAGGATAAGTTTGATGACCCATCGTCTCGCTACTTGTACTGATTCCTTTTTCATTGTAAATCGCCTCATATTTTGTCTTCTTTGGTGAATCCGTTTCTGATGGTGGCGTCACCATGAAGGTTCGTCCTTCGAATGGACTTTTTCTTTCCAATTCAGAACAATGAAGTCCAGACTGTTGACGACTATTTGAAATACACTCCATAGATTCTTCATATCCCATAGACAAGCAATCATTCATAATCCGTGTTTGTTTCTTACAGGAAAGATCCAACACCGGTGGCTCCAATGAACACTCGTTCACTTTCTGATTCAAATTCTTTGTGAAATCTAACGCTTCTAGATTATCCATGGCCGTTTGGTAATCCTCCATATATTTTTCCAGATGCCGTATACTGTAATCAAAAATCAAAACACAACCTTTAGAATACATACTTGAGATCCCAAGTCTTACATGTTATAGATTCAATTGTAAGTTAATGCAATTTTTAATTTTTTTTTTTATTCAAAAAATCACTTACGTCTCAACTGATTTCTATCAGACCAATTGGGAAATTATCGTTAGGACGGTAACACTGCCAATGTGTAAATGTGACACGAATCGAATTAAGCGTAACTGTTATACCAAAATGTCCTCAAGATTGTAATCAATCCTTAATACCTTGTTGACATTCGTAACATTGTACAAGGCAGTTGAAAAACACCAACCTATTACAAGACTGTCACTATACCTGAAGATCGTACAAACAATATATATCGTTACTGGAATATAGTCAAAAATTCAAATATAATGGATCCACATGGAAAATTGTCAGATTATGAAATTTTCTTTGTTTCTGCAACTTTTTTTTTCTAATTCAACAATGAATACTGAGATAAACAATTACATGATATTATAAATGAAGAATAGATCATGGATCAAGAAAAGATTTTAAATCGTCTTGGGTCAGTGTTTTTCAGTGAGTGAATACAAAAAGTGTTAAACATTTTTTTTTTCTTATTACTTTCAACGTTTTGTGTAATAAGTGCTGTCTTACCTAATAACAAATCCAAGGTTACACTCGGGTCACTAGAAACACAACACTGATTTGATATATGTATATATCTATATTTGTCAATCAAAAATTCCTTCGGTGTCGTGATTACAATTATCACTGTCGCTTCGCTCGTCCAGAAACTTTCTACGAAAAATTTCTCTCTTTCTGCAAAGTAGTTAGGTCGAACACCAAAATCGTATACTTCGAAAAGAGGGTTGCACTTTCGCTTTTATACGCCTCAACCCTTGTAGGAGTTAAAGTAGGGGGGATCTTTGGAGTCCGGTGGGGGTGGAGTAGATGACCATTAGAGAAAAACTAGAGTGGGGGCGGCACGCGTACTTCATTGCTGATTTTCCAAATCTGAATCCACGTGCACCATACATTGTTTGCTCGGGCTGTAAACCCCCTGAATATATGACACTGGCGACATATGCATGTCATATATATGCATTTATATACATATATACAAATATACACAAACACACGTCTGGTTATTCAGCCCAAATCCACCACCTGAACATGGTTTTTTGATTTTTTATCATGCAAATTTTTGTCTAGAACTAGGTATGCAACAATTTGTATCAAATAGCATATTAAATAAAAATATTTTTCTCGACGAATTTTTTTGTTTCAAAACACGAAGAACGCGGGAAAAATATTTTTACCACAGATCGCTCTAACCTTAAAATTACGGATGTGACAATTTAGTTAGAGGTAAAATAATATTTCGACCCTTCACCGGTACCGTGATTTTTATAGCAGCGTTACCTGCGCTGTAAAAATCACTCAAATATCCAAAACTGGCTAAATGACCATAGAAAAAAGGGGATTAGCCGATCTGTATTTTTTTTTGTTTACGACGTTTTCCAGTTTCACTATTTTTCCCATTTTTATAATTTTTATTATTTTTACCATTCACCCAAAGCTGACGATTTCTCGAAGTACTCGTAACCTTATTGTAGGTTGTATTATACAGTGTTGTACCGTAAGAGAATCTATACACGCATAATGTACATTAAGTTTTTGAAAAATGTCTCGAGCCCCCATAATAAAATTCTTTGCAACAAATAGATCCCGCTAAATTAATCCGTCCCAGCCAAAAGGTAGAACAGAAGTCGACGGACTACTAGAAAATCCAGTTACTTTACTTGAAAACAAGGTAAATCGCCTCACCTTATCCTGTAAAACTGGTCAGCTCTAAAAGTTGGTCAATCGCGTTGGGTCAACGGTGGCAGAATTCATCCCTGAGAGGTCAACTCGACTATACAATTTTCTTCTTAACCCTTTCGGTACTACCACCACTGTAATATTTCAAAGAGAATTGTTTCACAGGATCACGATAATTTACGACCCATCCGTTCCCCATTTTTCCAAGTCCTCTCAGTACGGCATAGCATGAATCGTGAAATTTGCGTAAAGAGCTCATAAATTAGACGGGGTGAACATTGCGACGAGTGAAATTTGCGGAAATTGCATACGACACAGGCAACTTTCTTCCACTGACACAAGAATATTGATGGTTACTAGTTACGGAATGGCCGCCATATGGCAGAACGCTTAAACGGGCCCAGATCTCTTTTGGGCCTCGTTCTCGAAACACTGGTACGCACTAATGGTCCATTTTCCAAATCCATATTTATTATCCTATTTTCATTCAGTACTCTCATGGAAATGATTATCAACCAGATCCCTACATTACCGACCGAGCAACCATTCACACAATTACTGATTGAGTCGCTACTACGAGGAGGTATCCATCTTTGTTTTTTCAAAGCTATCGGACTGTGTCAAGAAAAGTGAAAATGGTGCTTCCCATAAGGATACATCTTATTATGTCGTTTTCCTATAATCACGGTAAATTTACTTCTTCTTACTTCTATATATATATGAATATATGTATATGAATGTATATACATAAACACATACAAAATCCCTAACTCATAGAATACCCGTGGCATTGAATGCTCCGCCTTTTTCCCATGTATACAAATTTTTGCTCTTTTGGCCACATAACCCACATTTCTATGGTGCCAGGCGACCGCCAACCCGTTATTTGTATTTTCCCGTGCCCACCATAGATGAATGCATTTGTCATTTGCATCTGCTCGTCTAACAAAATACGGACAATCCTAACGGTGCACATCCAAGTGCACGGTGCATTGGCGAATCACTGACGAATTTTCTAGCGGAAAACTCCAATATCTCGTTAAGCCCATGATCAATGGTCCGTGCTCGTTATTTTGCGAAGAATGAAGATGTACATGTCTCTTACGAATTTCCCATAAACCATTTCCATGCGAGATCATCAGTAGCCCAGTACACAGCTTCCGTCGTTTTATCGACAAAAGGACAATCGTTATAATCAACGATAAAAGTAAATCCAAGAAATTTCTGTTTAATCAACCGTGATCAAATCTCACATATGTATATAGTCAAATGGTACAGTTTGTATATACCGTTCACCACTAATAATGGTATTTTATCAAAATGAATCAAAGGAAAATCCACAGTTTACCATTGAACGTTTTTCTTTCAGGCGACAAAGCAACTCAATTCCGGTAACAGCTTTCCCTATATTCAACTGCAATTGCACTACACAAGTCCATAGGCCTATTCAGATAAAGCTAACCAATAGTCACAATTTGGTCATCTATGAAAGAAAGATACCTATACAGGAAGTATAACTGTTTGTGACGTAAGTGAAAAATATCCATTGATTATCACCAGCAAAACGTCATATTACTAAACGATAGGTTTCGCTGAGGGTGATTACGGATGAATGATACATTATGCCTGGGGCATTTGAAAAAGTCATGATTGCTCATATTACCTATCAATAATTAATTATCTATTAAAATAAGTACCAATCAGTATGTCGTTTGAAATTTTAAATGGGTATAACTGTATATACATGTCAACCTTAACATAACAGTGTAAATATCTTATATAAGATACTTTGGCCTACGTGATTTTCTGATAGAATTTTCAAAAATGGCCTCAGGCTCCACATCGCAACCAATGAATTATCTACCATCTATCAGTTTACTAGTTAGTCTACGTGTTGTCAATAACGTAAGTCACTAACATAAAGTATATTTATGAGCTGCCACTTCGCTGTGACATGATGAAAATATTCCCCGAAAACGACAGGACGCGTTGGAGGTACAACAGTACGGTTAGGATCTTGAAAGAGAAATATGATTGCAACGAATATAGAAAAGAGATGGAAAAACAGTGTAAATAATATTACAAATGTTAATACTTACATTCACAAGTACGCAAATGATTTTATTGGAGTTGATGAACATTTTTTAAAAACTTTTATTTACGAAGATTTCACGAGAAAATGACACATCCAGTTTCGCCATGGTGTGCCCTGTTAAATTACAAAATGCCGGTTATTTAGGAGTATACGTTTCGTATACAAAGGAAGCGATAATCGATCATTTATACTTTGGATACTTTTCTTCAAAATAGGTTTAATTGCACACGTAAAGATTACTGAGTATGGGAGGAAATTTGAATACTTGTTGTGAAGGGTATGCATCACGATGACAATGTGAACGCAGCTGTAATAACTTCTAAAAACGTATATAAGGTCTTATGGGCGGATTGGAGGAATAATGAAAAATGTAAAAATCTTTTGTTGGATTCGTAACAGATATAATGGAAAGTCCATGAGTGGTGTACATACAAGAGACAAATACTACTGGGAATTAAAACGGTAATATTTTGGGCGGGAACAGGTAAAGTAATGAGGTTTTAGGTAAAGGTGTAATAAAATACGGGTCACCGCCATTTTGTACCGTAATCGAACAATGGTCTTGAGGGTTTTGCAATGTAAAGCGATAACGGGTCGAAGGAAGATTTTATATACAAGAATGGACATTCTATCGCTCAAATTTGTATTCTATATTGGAAATACTTTTTTGAAAATTAATCGAACTTATCGGAAGCTAATAGAGAGGGGAGGCGGAGTATTGGGGACTGATTTACGTATCCTCTCACTCTTGGGAGGTCCAGGAAACTTGTATGTGTCGTTTTCCCAGCGGCCATTAGCTTTTCTAAATAACGCGGACGAACGTAAGTATCCCCTGACTTCCTTTGAAAAAAGAACTGGTAAAGATTTTGAAAAAAAAATTGGACAGCCGGACGTCGCATTAAGACGTCTCTCCGTGGTAATTACTTTTAGATTTATCTTGAGCGCGGGGACCACCGACCAAGTTTTGCCAACAGACTTTCGAAATTTGCATACTTCCGGTCTTCGCGCACGCCCCTTTCCCTGCGGGCGCACCCTTTACCTAAATATCCCACAGGAATCCCTGTCCTTTTTTCCTGATCGCTCGAACACGCCCTTAGGCCTATTGGCATATCGAGAGAAAAAGAATTTTTTGGCCGAGTGCCCTTTTCGTAACGGGTGTCACCAAACAAAAATGAGACGTCTGCGTAGCAAGGGTGAACTGTACCGTTAGCCATACGAATGCGTTAAAAAAAATTTGTAAAATAAAAAAAATAATTTTGATAACTGTACATTAAGGATTTTTAAAAAATTTAAGAGTTCCAAAATCGCAGGATAACGATGTCCGTGTTTTTCTTTACTTTCGATTTGTATCCTTTTTAAAAAAAAATTTTTTTCAAACGACCACTTCTTTTCGTCAAATACAAAAACGCACGGATTTACCCGTCGGTAAAAGTTCGCAAATTTACCTTAGGCGAAATTGGGCGCATGGCGACTGGTGACGATTCATTCGAACGTGAAAGAAAACGGTTAGCCGAAAGGGCTGCGTGTGCGACATGAAAGAGTAAAACCGCTATACAAATTTGACAAAAACTTTTAAGAACAGATCGTGGTGTCCGGTTACTAAGCTCAATGGTAAAGAGTTGAAGCTGCCTCTTCAGAGGAGTACTTTACCTTTTGTTTGACAGTGAAAAACTAGGCTGGACACACTGGGATTTTACGAATCGTTCGTTTTTCTTTCTTTTTTCTCTTCTACTCCTCTTAAGGTTATGCAGATTCCTGTGTACCCGCCGAGCAAAGCACACAACAGTACCCCACTTCACGATAAAAACTTTTGTCGACCCACTACCTTATTTACGTCAGCTGTTTTAAAGAACTTCAAGATAATCCGTCAGCTCGAAGGAAACAAAAGAAGTAACGAAACAAAAACCTCACGCAGTATTGCGTATGCTTACGCGTTATGACGAATCTCTTTTCAAATGATAAATAATCAAAATAAAATTTGAAAAATCAGTTGACTCACGAAACTGTACAAGGTATGTCATGAATGAAGGCTAATTAGGGAAAACCATAATAAAAACAACTGGTTCTACGGTATCATTGCTGACCTGAAAAATACAAGCTTATACGATGCAATAAAAATGGCGAAACTCACGGGTTCAGGTACATCGTGAAATTCGGTGCAACCAGGTTTCCTCGTAACACAACATTTTAACACATCGATGCGTACCACAGGATAGAAAAACAATTTTTATTGCAGGAAAGTTTTAAGCTCCGTACTAAGTTTATGAGTGGGTTTAAGGAAAACTCGATTATGGCGTATCGGATTAACTTCAGCCTGACTCTGCAAACGGTTTAAATGAGTTAACGATGTACCCACGAAAATTCTATACTGTTGTTTAGACTCAAATTATTATCCGGATTAGAAAGGACATTTGTCTTGCCATAACAGGTCAAGAACTTGTGCAAAAGATGCAAAATAAGAATAGACCATTTTTTAAATAAAAAAAATATCTTTGTACAAAAGATTAAAATAATTATATAATCTCAGCATGAGTTCTACATCCGCTTTCCCATCGCGCGGATAAACCTAAAGAATTTAACGGTAATTTTCACTATGACATCACGTGCTGACTATGCGATAAACACAAATATTTTGAAATCTTAAGCCAATAAAGTTTATCCTAGCTTCACTGTATGTAATCAATGTATAATGATTGTCTTCCATTCATGTTCCTTTCACGAGTTATCACAGTCATTATCGGGAGGCTGTATCATTGCGCCATTGTCTATGTCAAACACAGATTGTTAGGTAATCACGGCTCGACGACGTAAACAGAAAATTGTTGTTAAATATCCATAAACGAAAATTTCATATTCACACGTCATTATAGTCTAGACATAATAGTCCACGTTATCTGGACAGTCTGCAAGTCAGGTAACATGCTTGCAGCGAACGTGACGCACATTGCGAAAATTTGCTGACGTAGCGGGAGGCATGTGGTCTTTCTCAATCATCATCAACATCATCCCCTTAGTCAGGGATGACCATCCCACTCAGGGTTCTCAACTCTCTCCATTGTCTGAACTGTAATAAAAACCTGAACAAGCATAACAGTGTAACAACCCAATGATTAAAAAATTATTAAGTAATTAAGTAACCTTAGACTTCTCAACTATAAATATCTGCATATTAATAAACAAAGCATTTGATACATTTTAACTAGTCATTACTGTCCAGTATAATGAAATGAATTATGCAACTATGTAAACCCATAAGTAATATACTCTGTCACCCTTGAATAGTTGATACTAAATAGGGTATAAAAAATAGAAACTAGTGATAAATTAAAATGTCATAAGTTGAGAGTCCCGGTGTGGAGTGTCCGAATGTTGGTCAGCATGTCATATGGTCAATAGCGAGAGGTCGCGGGGGTGGAATAAGTTTGCATCTGCAGGCTGGACCAACCCTTCCGTAATAACGTTGAGGAAATAGGGGCTGCACTACTTGAGCCCTTGCCTATTGTGAATCCCTATGGAGAAATGCATTATGCATCGTGGTGGATGTGTGGTCCAGCTAACGGTAAATGAAAGGTTGGCACGGCTTATTCCCCATTCGTAGAGAGTACGGGACTTGGAAATGTGTGTCAAAGGGTCGCAATTCGCGAGGAATTGTGGGAACCGTAACGATAGGGATTCTTGCCAATTTTTGATGGATATGGGGAGGGATCCCTTTTCTCATGGTGTCGGTTTCGGAGGTACGTAGTTTCTGGTAAAAGAGATTCTGAGGTGCATTTTATGACGCTCATATAAGAATTACCGTGACCGTAAAGGATGTATTGCGCGTGAGAATGGCTCTTAAGTGCCGTTAGGTTTGAAATTCGGTGTCAAGTACAATCATTTATTGACTACGAGCAGTAGCAATGAGTCATTTTAATTCTGTTCAATTTTAAACTAATGACTTCACTTGTTGGGCTTTACCACGTGTGCCAGATCGTACACACCACGAACGCACTTTATCTTTACACCAGGTACGTCTTGGCATCTTCCTACTCTGCAAAGAACTATATTGTGCTCTTGAAGATTGTGTCCGACACCTGAAAAATTAAAGAGATTGGTTGGTGTCGATGAGTGAAATATAGAAAAAAATTGATACCAAAGGATAGTTTGTAAAATTTACCTGGAATATAAGCCACCATCTCCTTTCCTGTGGACAATCGTACTAAGACACACTTTCTGTTAGCTGAATTTGGCTTTTTTGGTTTCTTGATGACCGTCTTCAAGACAACACCTTTCGCAAAGGGTTTACCATCCAATGGTCTTCTTTTGGGTCGCTTCTTCTTGTAACCCTTTTTTCTGTGCAATTGCAAAAGGCTGGAACCACAGCGTATCTGTTGCAATCCTGAAAATGTGTGAAGATATAAAATTATTAATATGTTATTTATAACAATAATTGTGATTAGGCAATACAGCAGTTCTCTTTTAAGAGTATTCAAACAGAATAAGAATATTAGGCCATCTAAATTTCTTGGCGCAATCTCTAATCCGCTATTGGCTCCGGGAGAAAGTGATTTTCCGACAATCAACAGTATCTGAATTTTCACCTCAAATGACCCAAATATTACTCAACAACGGTTAATTGTCGTTATTGCGTTTCTCGAGTCATGGATATTCCAAAAATTCTGAAAGCCTGCCTGGGGGCCATTTGGGCCGGTTTCACTAAAGTTAACCGAGGTCTAACTATTGAAATTAACCAATCAAGTCCGAAATTTTTGAAAATACTGGCATCTAATTGACTAATTTTACCAAATACCATGGTCAACTTTGTTGAAACCAGCGTTTACACCCGTTTCCGTCGGCGTGTTTTAAATCTGGTTCAATATTTTTTATATAGTTTTGAGACAACCAGAGGTTAAACTCCGGTTAAGGTCGATGGAAACGGGCGTTAGTCTTCTTATACTGGAAAAACAGATGACTATTGGATTCTGTGAAACCGAGGCCCGAAGGCGTTTTCAATTTCTACGTCATAGAACTGGTGGATTGCGCGACCAGCGTCATCCACAAGGTGGAGAATTGGATTGATTGGTAGGCGTGGAAGAACGAGGACTCGTCCTCGTGAAGTGCATTGTAAAGGTTCGACAGAAAATGACCAAAAATGACGGGAGGGTAACGGTACCAAGAAACGGAAAACTCTTTCGCAAATAATCTTGTGGACACAAAAAGGGACGCTGGGACCGAAATATCAAATATGACGGGCGCTTGACATCTGCAAGCCGCTCAGAGTCCTTTCTTGGCGAAGCGTGCATAAGCTTATTAAGTAACATTGTTACGAAGTAAAGTCCAGTTCGGGATACGGTCAACCAGGAAAGATTTTCCAGTCCCAAAGTGGACAACTCTTTTGTCGTAAAATTTTTGAATGTTGGATAGGAATGGAGGGTGGTCAGTTATTAATTTATAAAAAATTCTTGTCAACCTATAGAAATGAAGAAATCATCTGACAGCAATATTTAAAAAATTTTTAGATTATAAATGAACCAACAAAAAATTGTTAAAAATTCCATTGAGTAGGCTTCCATTGAAACTTCTTCGTTCTAGAAATAATTTTACTAGGATGACGAGCATCCATTTTGTTCAGGACTGTACCATTGTTGTTCATTTTGAGATCTGACTGACCACCGTCCATCAATACAACAGATGTCCAAAACCTGGCGCTGCTAATCCAACCTAACTTGGACTTAACTAAGCCAAGAGACCAGTAGAACCCATTATATACAAAAGGCAACCCTTTTCTAAAGATCAATGCGCAAGATTACATTGCGAAAAATTTCGATGTCGCGCTTACAGCTTTGTCGCCCTGTACTCTTTGCATGAAGCTTACGAAAATTCTGCGCCTTGGTTCTCTGGTCACGGAAATGAAAACGTAAAAATTTGAACCCTAATTGTCGACTCTGATTTTATCTGGCATATTTCAAGAAGACCAACAGATAACATAACCATCTGAGCAAGAGATAAAAATGAGGAGACTATTTTGGAAAAAGTATGAAAAAAAATTCCAATATCTATAAAATATAGTTTTTAATATATTACATATTTTCTTCAGGGACTGTACTGCTTCGCGAAACTGACAACTGGTCAACCGCAAATGAACATGTCACCCCTCTCAATTCCCACCGATTTCGCCATTGGCCATGACCACAACCATTTTCCGTTTGAATCCTTTCTACGTCTCTGGACCCTTTTTGCATTTCAAGATCTTTCTGCAGGGATCAAAGAGGTAAGCTGCTCTGACCGCACGATCGTGCGATTTTGCTGGCCACGCGCATTTTCGCAAAAGAATGTGAAAAGCTGACGGGGTACGCGATGGGAACTTTGCTACCTTCACCTCTTTCTAGGACCAGCAAACTTTTCGTACCCTTAACTGAAAGATCTGTATCTCTCGAGCTTATTGAAACTCGAGATGTCACTGGGCTTCTTAGAGTTTGTTTTGTTACACTTATGGGAAACGCAAATAAAGGTGGTGACGTTTTATGGGTACAAACCTACCGATTTTACTTAAATGGGTCACCATGCCAGTTTGCTCCTGTCTGCTTCTGAGCATCCACTTAGGTTGATGTTCCTTATTCGCGACAATTTGGCCAGCACCTTGTTATATTAAACAATATTGAAATTATAGTAGAGTATAACTATATAAATTATTGATTGAATACAATACTAATGTTAATTGCTGTGATCAGCAAAAACAATGCTAAGGAAACAAACACATCTGATTTATCAGATTTTATAAATGCTGTAACATTTCCAATCATTTGACTAATCAAATGTATTTATTTTCTTAGTGCTGTTTCTGTTAAACTTAGCTAACATTATCTTTATGGAGAATTTATTACTTTAAATTTGTGAATCATCTTGGACAATTATTTGCTTACCCTGCCACGCACTATTTAGGTATGTCCTTGTAACATTTGTTAAACGCTCTGCAAAACAATATGCATTATGATATTTAACAATGAAAAAACTTGATAATGAGAAACACGAAGTGTCTCAAGGATACTGATCTGTAAGAAATTCTTATATATCACTCACCCTGAGTTGCATTGTTAATACGTAGCCTTGACAAACACGATAGGCTTCCTGTGAAAGCAAATTTTATTTTGTAATGTACAAAACATTTCACTAATTAGTTCATTGTTATTCACTGTTACGAAACTATATAAACCAAAACAAATTCTTTTTAGTATGTCATTAATAATAGCTCAAACAGTTTGCATTCAATGTTCAGCTCGTTATATTCCAGTATTACATAATAAACGATTATACAACTAATTAACAACAATATTAAAAGAAATGTATTCAACTCCAGTGCCAAATGTAGAATAGATGTTAGGTTAAGTTAGGTCAGAAAAACAACGAATGATAAATTGTGTCTTTAATAAATTACCTTCAACACCATTAACGATGCAACTTCTGGCCAAGCTCGTCAAACCTTTCGCAAGGATATTCATGATTGTTTCACGTGAATCCCACTTAAAAAACAATTATCTACCTTTCGGAGGAATGTTAACCAACATTCCTCCCGGTATATCTATTGGCAAAGAGTGGAACTATTACCCAAGTCCCCGTGGTTAAACTAGATCCCTCGATTACCGACCCAATAATTAATAATTAACCCTTTAATTACATTAGCCCCAATCTCAATATATCAAACAGTAAACTCATAGTATTCTGCACTCATAGTATTCTGTATATTCTTTAAATTCGCTTACGAAAGACACAAATATAAACATCTTTAATTCTTTTGATATCAATAAGATATTTTTTAACGATCCCTGATCACTATGTATCGGCGATTATACCCAGGATGAGAAATTCATGTGATAAGAACAAAGTATTAATAAAAGTATTAAATTTATTTAAAGAGACACAGGGAAAAATACAAAGACTTATCAGATAAGGGTTGTGTTAGATAAATATATAAGAAAATTGATTTAATTTACTTCGACGGATCCATTAAGAGGGAAGTCGAGCCGCGGTAATGACCAGGCCGATATTTCCATGCCTAAACTGTTCACCAACCATGTACGTATCCTGATCCATGACCTAGGCCAATACCACCATGACCCAAGCCAATACCACCATAACCAGCGTGTATCGGGGCTGAAATAACCGGAGCGCTGTAACCGTGAGATGCGGAAATTGGCGCGCTATAGGAAATCGGAGCTGGTGCTGCTGCAATTCCATGACCCAAACCATATCCCGCACCACCAAGATATCCATGTCCGTATCCTGAACCTGTAAGAAGAAATAACGGAACTGGATCTCTTGTCTTTAGCAATCTTAACCATCCAGTCAGACCGGATGTTCCTCCTGTTTTGATCCGAATCCACATTCGTTGTCCGTAAGAAGTCAAAGTAACTTCCCATGAAGAAAAACTTTCAACAACGACTTTTAGCTTCAGAAGTGAATAGCGAAAATTATACACTGAATGAATATGTTTTACCTCCATAACTGTTGAGACCACCATAACCTAAACCGTATCCGCCATAACCCAAGCCCAGTAGACCTCTCTTCTCGTGCTTCTTCGTCTCCAAAGCTTCTTCAGCGAAGATGGGAGAAGCCAAAGCAACGATGGTGAAAATAAGCTGTTTGCGATAAGAAAAATATATTTATAGTAAGGACTTTTTAATGGTTTTGAATTTTTTATAATTTCTCATAGAGTTCACTCTCTCAATATACTCACTATAGCGTTCATGGTGTTGGCTGCGATGAGTAGATCGATTCAGTTGAAACTGATGCAGACACCAGGAGACAGACACCCTTTTATACCAGTGAGTCTTTTCAAATGATATTGCAGGGGGATCATGGTGTGCCGTTGTATTGTAGTATCTGTACCACTCACAGATAAACGTAAGTACACGCCATACCTGTAATATACATGGTGTACTGCAGTATACGCCTTTCTAAAACGATTTTTCCCATACACGCGTCACGAAAATTCTTTGTTCGGGATCGCTCGATCAGGATCGTTACTAACTTGGCCGCCCTGGGAATTGGAAATGCACGAGATCCAGAGATCATACGTCAAGCAGCGACACCATTCAAGACCTTCTACATAGAAAAAAAAAAACAAAGTATTTCACCTAAGGACATATTCAGCAACTCCACAGGACTTTTTTGTCCAAAACAATTTTTCAAGAATTTCTTATCCAACTTTCGTGCAATCTTAAACATTCTTAATCGGTGCGATTAAGAGACTTAATTTCATGTTTATTATATAAAATTGCTCTGATTGTTTTGAACTACTTTTCTAATGGAAGATTTAGGTTTTTTTTTATCTTGACCCAATTAGTCTTGAGAAACAAAAGTGCATCTAATGATTCTCATAGTTGGGCCTATGAAGATAAAAATGTCTCATTTGCTGTTCTCAAATTTCATGGAAGGGTCTCACTTTCACTGTCAGGTATGGTACTGGTTTTTGGTTGCAGTGCTATATAAAAATGCAGATCTGTCTTTTCCATCGTCCGGTATTGCACTTCCTCTATGGAGCAAAGGACCGTATCCTGGCCCTGAGGCCTTTATTCACTCTCGGCAATCTTACGCAGTCCTGCCACTCGTTACACGCTGATTTGCGACATGATCAATTTTACATTGCGAAATGGGTCCCCAAAGGTCGCTGTTTCTACCTTTATACCTTTATTTTTTAAGCATTGCAAACAAGTACCACTATAAGGAATACCGGATACGTTAATTTATTGATCAAAAATAATTTCTTGAATATTCCATGATTAACTTATGATTATGTAATAGGCGTAACACTTTGCATGACAGTTATTATTTCATTTTAATAATCCTATTTGTAATAGAATCTCTACCGTGGTTATAAGCTGAGGATTACATATGATATCAATAAAAAAAAAAGAATAAAAGGGAACTTGAGATCAGTTATCTAAGCACGACGAAGTTCTTAGTTTATATTATACATATATTCGTGGGAAATTGTTAAATTTGTGACAAGTAACGTTACAGAATTTAATATTAATTATAATAAATTTCATATTTTTAATAGCACGACAATTTATTTGTAAAAATACATTTTATTCGCCATTGGCCAGTGCCTTATTCAATATGTGTATACATATAATTTAATATAAGTTCCACATAATCAAGGTACTACGACATTAATAACGTTAACTTACAAAAAACAAGTCTTGCTCATTTCTACCCATCACAGTAGATTATTGTATTGATACGCTTGAATTTTTAATAATGAACCGATGACAATTATGTTAGAAATAAATTAACGATGACAATATACACTGATGCAAGTATTAATTAATACTAAGCTTAAACAATCTAAATCTGACAATTAAATCTGAATATTGCAGTTACAGATAATGATGCAGCGTAACATTCGGATCATCGGTTGCACCTAAACGGCTTATCGACTTATCAGCTACACCGAACGAGTACGGATCAATATAGAAAATTAAAACATTAATCATTGTTATTTTGAAACACAGCCCATTATGAGGATACGCAAGGTACGTTAAACAATTTTAAACTGAAACGTAAAAGCCATGACCAGCTCCATGGCCACCATAGTCAATCCCAACACCAAAACCACCGTAATGAGTTTTAAATATATTCTTCTGCAGTACAGGTTCTACCAAAACTTTTGGATCGTGTCTGTGTACAATGATCTGATGAATATTTGGTGCCACCAACGTAAACTTTCTACTGTCAAATATCATTGGTTTGCGATGCACCATCATTGACTTCTGATGGGACACTGACTTGTGATTGAATAACAAACCGCCATGACCATCGTGAGTTAGTACCAACGGTTTATGCTGTACCGTGACTGTGTGTTCATCCGAATTGTGTAATATCATTGGCTTCTGTTCCAGAATCACCGTCTTACGTTGTGGTTCTTCCAAACGTAAATGCTTCTCATCCAAAACCACTTTGGCAGCGTGATCTACCAGGATTTCCTTGTGATCCAATATCACCTTGGGATGAATCACTTCTATCTTGTGAACGATTGGTAATATCACGTGTTCACCGTGCAGTGGTACCAATACATGATCAGCCTTTGGTCCTTTTGCAGAAGCTAACGTTGGTACCGTACCTGATTTTGGTACTATTGGTATATTCTTGATGAAGATGTTCTGTCTGACCACAGCAGGGATGTCGATATTTTTACCATGATGCTGTTGAAGTTCAAAGGACACGTATCCAACCTCCAATGGTGATCTTTTGACATTCTTGGACTGTTTCAACTGGTCGTCAAACTCGATATCCAGATCACACAGAGATGAAACGGGATCATCAGACAAGGAACTGATGGCAAATCGATGATTGATAAGGAGGATCAGTAGCTGGAATGAAAAAAAATGCATTGTGAGTTATACTGCTGATATTTTATAAGTCTAATGGAGTTACAAGTGACAAGCACGAGAGTAAATAAAGCTGGCACTATTTACAATCATAAATCAACACATTTATGTTCGTTATTATAGAGTTAAAATTGGACTTAATTGCCAGCTACCGAGGGTAATAAATTCATCACATGGGTATCAAGATTGGCTTGTATAACCCTCTCTGCTAGTTAAGGCAATCACCTTGCGTAGCCTTTCATCTGTCGAATTTGAGCCAACAACTGAAATATCGCGGGTTCGACGTTCCTCGAAGGTGATTGGTCGAGAAGCCGTAGGCCTTCTATTCATTATTATGTACAAATCAGCCAGATACATGGGCAAGATACCTTCTAATAAGATGCTTCTGGCAAACTATACTTTTACTTTGCCTCTAATCTTATCGTTGCGCTTTATATGCGCCTGAAATGCATTCACGTGAGTTGTCATATCATTGCCCCTGATAAAAGTATTATCTGGGGCCATTATTTTTACTGAAGACAAGAGAACAACAATAAAAGGTTATGGATTATTCAAAAAAGCAATATCCAATCTTGACAGCTTGTGAGAAGAAAAATGGAGGTTAAAAAAGGTATAGAAAATTAACTTTTTTCTATATACAATCAATGAAGAATATATGAAAAAACATTGTGTAATCTTTTCAGAAAGAATTTACCCCAGAGTATAGTGAAACTTAACTCACTTTTAGCGTGACGTTCATGTTGCCTCCAACGGTGTCAAGCGGACACTAACTTTAAAGATCTTTTAAGACACGCGATAAATATATCGCTACGTTTAAGGTAAAGGTACATGTTTATATATATATAGTATATGTATGTATACGTATAAGTGTCTCTTTACCCACACTGTCGACAAAATCGTATGGATGAATTTACTACCACAGGAAGAAGCTGGACCAGTTTGATTTCGTAAAGGCAAGATGAAAGTACGCGACACCAGCTACGGAACTTAAATCGTGAAGTAGCAGTATATCTAATTATTAATCGAAACGTAAGTAAGCATCGTGTAACACGGATTTCGGACTGAATGTATATACGACCTCCAAATAGTTTTGGTGTCCTTCGGGAACGTAAAATCTGGGCCCACTGTTCCTGACCTATGAGCGGAACGAGATCGTCGTATTTTTTGTAAATGGCGCCACTGACACGCCGGATACTTGTTCTTGAGTTATTTAACGTCAATTCAAGTCCGGCTTGTGGATTCGAAAATAAACATTGGGCTGATGACTTGTTTTCGCGCGAAATGCTTTATTAATATTCATGCATTGTCAATTAATTAATCTCAACTCTATTTCCGATCGTATTTGCAATGTCGTAAAGTCATTGACCTAATATACCCGGATATTCTTGTGAATTTTGCTGGTGTTGGCACCTTTCTTGTTTTTTCATTATTTTGATTCTTGCTCGCGGAGGCCACATCTTTAGATCGTCCTATTCTAATTATATACTAATTATGGAAGTTCGTTTGTCTACTATTCTCGACAATTAAATGGGATAAGGGAATTTAGTTTTTCTCCATTTTTTTTTGAGATAATAATTAGCTGTATTATTATTGACATTTATAACTTACGTGGTTTTATTTGGCATAATCAAACTGCAAATGTCCCTGGGACATCTAGGACATGAAATTTTAAGATATTTTATATTAGCTTCTATAAACGCATAGACATTTCATAGAGGGACGTTATATGCATAAATAATTGAGGCCAAAATTGATATAAATTGGTAATAGAGGGTCAAGAATTTGAAAAAAAAAATATCGATACGATTCTACAATATCGCCATGGCTAATCATGCACATGTTTATAATTGCGAACATACAGAAATCGCATATATTAATATGTAAACAAAAATATTGATATTATTGTTTGCCAAAAAAAGAACTAGGGCATCTTACTGCGTTTGAAGATACGTCAATCTGGATGCTGTATGCACGGTTGTTTAAATCTCCATTTAATATTCCCATAGAACCCTTAATTTATTAATAAGCTTACCAAACAAACATTTTACTAAGCTCTTATGTGAAAACATTAATCCCCCATTTGTGCCAATAAAAATTTAATTTGTTACCTGGACTATAAATGATGGAGTGTAAGTTTACAGCTTACTCACAATCTCTTATAGGTGACAACATGTCATTAGAACTGCAACGCCTGAAGACAGTTTTTCCGTGATAAAGCTCGCGTTGTATCGGATGCATGAGAATAATGCGCAGTCGTATTTATCTCCTGTGATCGTTACTGGTTAGATTATTGTTTCTTGCTTGAGGTTTTTTGGTTCTTATCCGGGATAGGGTTCAGAGCCCTTGTACATCCATATACATATACATATGGAGCAGTCATGAATATTTTTTGACTCGGTACTCATCGACTTGTTCGATTGGGTTGTGACTGGTCTTGCCTTGGTTGCCTGTACTCATATGTTGTTCCTGTCACTTTTATTGAGTAAACATTTTGCATCATAATTCGTATTAACGAATTTTGGTCAGTGAACCGAATTCCTAAGTAAGATGGTGAGAATCCTTATGATTCGACATTGTACGGTTTATATTTGTAATTTAACGTAACATATCGTAACATAACCTAGATTACTGTTTACTATGTCAACCGTTTTCTTAATGTATTGACACTTTGGAAACTGGAATAATTTTTTTTCAACGTCATCCATAATTATAAATTCAATAAGAATTTTGATATTTAATGGCAATTAAAACTATATCTGGATACTGGAAATTATTTTAGTATGTTTAATTTTTACACAAAATTTTATAATTTTTAGGTAAATGTCGTTTGCCGAGGTTGTCGTAAAATTTTACAGAATGAAACTGTCAAAAAGGATATATTCACTGAGAATATTTCAGTTTGTTCGAGTAAAGACAATGAACTTGAGAAAAAATATATTCCTATGAAATTGTTTACTGGGATTGAGCTTATCACTGGAGAAACTGTAAGTATTTGTTAAATATTAGGATTGATAAACAATAATGCACATGTAACAGAATATAGGTTTAAGCAATATGTATATATGTAGGTTTCCAAAGAAGATGATTTGTCCACCGTTTTTTGTGAAGGGTGCTGTAACAAAGTGGAGGAATATATTAATTTTCGTATTAAATTAATAACATCGCTTGAGATGTTACATATTTCTAAGGGAACATGTGAAAATGATAGTAAAGGCTCAATTTCCTTGGAAACTAATAATGAAAATAAAGAAACCACTATGTCTTTAATAAAAAAAAATGAAGATGAAAAATTATCTGATGAAACCAGTACTGCAATGTTTGAAGAAGAAAGTTCTGATAAATCAGAAAGGCAGGAAGAAAGGTCTATCTCTGAAGATTTGATAAATGTTGATGAAAATAGTGTACCCTTAGATTTTATGAGTTTATTTAACATTATTGTTCAAGAAAATTGTCTGGATGGCAATGATGAGGATAATCAGATTAATAATATTCTCAATGAATTAGATTGTTCAAATGAGATTTTAGAATCTCACAATGCAAAAGAAACTACTGTCAAAGTTAAAGATAATGATATTGAATCTGAAATTGATGTATGCTCTTGTGAAGATGATGATATTATAGAGTTGGAAGTTCCAAGAAAAGCATATGAAACGGTCTACATTGAAAGCTCATCCGATTCAGATATAGAAATATGTGATTATGAACCAACTGGTAAAAAAAGTAAAAATCACAGTACTTTATCTCCTCTGTTTTAGTGTACAGGTACCTGTAAATCTTCACTATTCCAACATTGCATTTTGAAACGAAATAAAATAGTATGTGTAAAATTATTATAAACATGTATCAAATTCATGTTAAATGAGTCTGAAACAATGGGTATTTTATGTGTTAAGCAAGAATTAAAAAATAAATGTTCTGTAAATTATATCTACTGTAAAGAAATCTGTGATATCAATCATGACTGTTTATTAAATATATATAAATCTTTTCTATTATTTTTTACTTCATTTCACCACATTCCTTACCCATTGTAGTTAAATAATGTATGCTACTCATTCCTACTTCATTAATAGTATTTCGAAATTTTTAATTTTTAAAAACTGTCTTGAAATTTGATTGGTAAAGCTGCGTAATGACAATTCACAAATAAAACGTGTCTTTTCGACCATTGAATAAAAATAAAATCTATAATAGGTCATGAGTATTTTGTAAAGTAATTATATCAGAAAGTGTGCTGTGAAAGGTTTCACAAATAAATTTTTATTCAAGTGTATTTTGATGTATTTATCAAAACTATTACATCGTCGTTACTGACATAGTTTATTACATGTGTAAATGAATTACTATTTTGTTATTTTTATATAAAAAATATTCAATAGTATTATTAATAGTTCATAATGAAACATACGGCCCATTAGCTCAGTTGGTTAGAGCGTCGTGCTAATAACGCGAAGGTCGCGGGTTCGATCCCCTCATGGGCCAAATTTTTTCGTTTTGTCAGATTTTTATTCACGAATTCATTGAATATTTCATAAAATAATACATTTTATATATTTATTCTTTATCAATGACAGTTTTAATTCATCATAAATGATCATTTGCTATACATTTATTAATTTTAACTTTTTTCTTTAAAGAAGATGCATGAGTAAGAAGATACAACACATCTTATCTCAGATTCAGTTTGATGGATAAGTTTAATCTTAGTTTTGATACAATAAGAATGTTATGTTGCAAGTTTCTTATAATTTACTATTAAAAACAGTTTATTTTCCTTACACTCCACATGCTAATCAAGATTGTTTACCATTAGTTTCACGTTATATCTTATCTACATACTGTTTATGTAATCGAATTGTGGAACAGACCATGATTAAACATGTTTATTGTTTCGTCATCAGCAGTAAACTGTATATGAAATTATGAAGAAGGTTTCAGTATGTTTCAAGCTGTTAAACCACCTTCATGTTCTGTATTAATAACGTGTCATCATGCATCGGTTTGGCAGATTAAAGTCCCTCTTTGAATGGTAGGTACTGTACTATCTCTGAAACAGTATTTTTATGAATAATATTATTTCATTCATAAGTTACAGCAGCTACCTAACCGCATGCCCAGACTGTCAATTTTCAAGTAGCACAGGACAGAATAGAAGAATCGACAAGGTAATCATGATTGGCTATTGACATATTTGAAATCTATGTATATCTATGAAACTTATTTGCAGCATTCTATTTCTATGATAGGTACTTATTGCTAACAGGGGAGAGATAGCATGTCGTATATCGAGAACAGCAAGAAAGCTTGGTGTGAAAACAGTGGCAGTGTACAGTGATGCAGACCGAGACTCTATGCATGTTGATTTGGCTGATGAAGCTTATTGCATAGGTCCTGCAGCTTCTAGTCAAAGTTATTTAAGACAGGACAAGATCATAGCTACTGCCAAGAAATCACATTGTCAAGCAGTACATCCAGGCTATGGATTTTTATCAGAGAATACAGAGTTCGCAGAACTCTGTCAGAAAGAAAATATCATATTCATTGGTCCACCGGCTTCTGCAATCAGGGATATGGGAATTAAAAGTACATCTAAAGCCATCATGGCCAAAGCTGGAGTTCCTATTATTGAAGGTACATATACCATAGTCTCTAATAAATTGTAAACACTGTTCTATATTAGAACTCAATACTTCAACGTTTTAAACAGGGTATCATGAAGAGGATCAGTCAGATATAACGTTATTGGCAGAAGCTAAGAAAATCGGTTTCCCACTGATGATAAAAGCGGTACGTGGAGGTGGTGGTAAAGGTATGAGAATCGCACTTAAAGAGAGCGATTTTACAGAGGCATTGGAATCTGCCCGTACCGAATCTCAAAAAGCATTTGGCGACTCAGCTGTACTCCTAGAGAAGTTTGTCGCCGAGCCAAGACACGTGGAAGTGCAAGTATTTGCAGATCATTATGGAAATGCTGTTCACTTATTTGAAAGGGATTGTTCAGTTCAAAGAAGACATCAGAAAGTTATCGAAGAAGCTCCAGCAGTATGCAATAATCATTTTCTAAATGATCTTTGTACCACTCAAAGAATCGGGCTCTGTATCGGAGTTGTTTCTTTATTTCATAGCCAGGAATCTCGGCAGAATTGCGTGCAGAATTGGGCGCGGCGGCTGTGCGTGCCGCTAAAGCTGTAGGATATGTGGGGGCTGGTACCGTAGAATTTATTATGGATCGAAATACCCATAGTTTCCATTTTATGGAGATGAATACCCGTCTGCAGGTTGAACATCCCGTCACTGAAGCAATTACAGGAACAGATCTTGTTGAATGGCAACTCAAAGTAGCAGCTGGTGAAAAACTTCCTCTTACGCAGGAAGAGATTCAACTGAAAGGACATGCTTTCGAGGCTAGAATATATGCAGAGGTGATTGCAAATTATTTAGGAGATATTTTTATAAGCAATTTTTTCTTTTTTGTATATAAAGAATATTCGTTATGCTCCAGGATCCGAGAGGTGGATTTTTACCTGGAGCTGGTCCACTTTTGTACTTAAGAACACCTGAGACATCAGAAAATGTCAGGGTTGAAACTGGCGTGCGACAAGGTGATGAAGTATCTGTACATTATGACCCTATGATAGCAAAACTAGTTGTTTGGGGTAAAAACAGAGAAGAGGCTCTAAGTATACTAAGAGGCAAATTATCAGAGTATGATGTAAGTATAAAAAAAATGTAATTGAACAGTTTTAGATGAATTTCCACCATTATTATTCTAGATTGTTGGTGTCGAGACAAACGTGGAATTTATAAAGGATCTATCTGCCCATCCAAAGTTTCAAAATGGGGAAGTGCATACTGGGTTTATTGAAGAAAATTTTGATTCTCTTTTTCGCAAGCTACAAGTACCTAAGTTAGTTTTAGCACAAGGAGCACTTGCCTTAATACTACTTCAAGAGTATAAGTCTCTCAAGGCAGCAATTACAACGCAAATTCCCTTCAATCCTTTTACCACAGAAGTGGGATTAAGGCTGAATCATATTTTGAATCGAAGATTCAAATTCAATGTATTAGATAATGACGTTGTGGTTGACGTCAAATATACTGAGCCAGAAGTATATTCAATTAGGGTGGATAATCTTGGACCTTGGAGAAAAGTTACAGGAATTCTGATAAATAGCGATAAGGGTTTTGAAATTAATTCAGAGATTGATGGAATTAAGTCTAAAGTGCGAATAGTAAAGTTGAAAGATGAGCTTTATATATTTACCAATGTAAGTTCTTCTTCTTGGTCATACTTGAAAATATGGTACCGTATAAAATTAGTTTTTTTAATTTCAGGATCGCAAGTGGCAATTAAAAATTGCACAAGCAAAATTCATAAGTCTACTTTCTAAAGAAAAGAATGTTTCTGCTGGTGCAGCAATTAGTCCTATGCCAGGAGTAGTGGACAAAGTGCTTATTAAAAAAGGAGATGTTGTCAGTAAAGGTGATCCATTAATCGTTATTGTTGCCATGAAGATGGAGGTAAGTTTTTTCATACTTAAAACATATAAACATATTGATTAAAGCATAACGCCACTGTAAATATATTCTTTTAATTACTCTAGCACATAATAAAAGCATCTGCTGATGGCACAATCGATGAAGTCCTCTGTGCTGTTGGTGACAACGTTGCGAAAAACAAACTGCTAGTGCAGTTAAAAGAGTCCCCGTAACAAGTACAAAAATCTTTTGCTAAATGACCACAGGCCGCACTATACAGAGTATATTGTTATTTTTGTATCTCATATAAAATAAAATGTAATTTTGTTTAAAAAAATTGGATCAGCATCACATTTTTTGGATAAAGGTTTATTACTTTACGGGTTTTGATATATTTTTTGTATTACGTTTTACAGATTTTACCAATGCTGCAATTTCTGCACTGACATTTTTATCTCTCTTAGATTGTTTTTCTGGTGCATCCTAAAATAATACAAGATTTTGTTAATTTGTGACTGTTTTATGTTATTTTTATTCTGTGTACTTACAATTTTGACTTCTTCATTGGCTCTTCTCTTTAATTTTTCACTAATAAGAGCTTCGGTGCCTTTAGTCTTTCGATAATGAGGATCCGCAGGGTCAATATTGAAATGATGCGAAGAGAACAAAGAAGCAAATCTTGGATCCTTAACATCCACTTCAAAATCATCTTCATTTTCTTGCTTTTTTGCATCTTTTTTCTTGTTCAGGCGCTTCTTCTTTGATTTAGATGCAGATTCCATTTCCTCAATTTTCTTCATATTAAAGTGTTTCTTGTTCTCTTCATCTGCTTTGTCCATTAAAAGTAATTCTAATTCAGCCCTTTTCCGATTCTCTTCCTCGTCATCAGATTTCAAATCATCTTCTTTTTGAGACTTTGGTTGCTTCTTATTTTTTGATTTTATATTCTTCATCTCCTCTGCAAAATAGGGATCATTCATATCAATATCAGACGGTATTGAATCTTCACTTTCAGAATCTGTAGGTCCATTTTCTCCCTTTTCTCTGAGTTTCTTCTTTTCATCCTTCTTTGCCTTCTTTTTCGCTTTTCGTTTCTCAAGAAATTGTTCAAAAGGTGTAAGATTCTTATCCTTCATTAATTTTTCCTTTACTAATTTTTCCGTTTTCTCTTTCATTCCCAATCCCCAAGTAAATTCTAATTCAACTTTCTCTTTCTTCTTTGCCTCTTCTTGCTCTTCAATCGATTTTAATAGAGACTTGTATTTTTCAATCGGATTCTTATTATCTTCTAAGTCTGAATCACTTTGGATTTCCGGATTTTTAATCTTGTCATCGTCTACAATAAATAATAATACTAACGTCACGTTACGACTTTTATAAAATTTTATGTGTTGCATATACTCACCAGAATCATCATCGCTTGTACCGCTTGCTAGGTACGCTTGTATGTCGTTCTCATTCACTTCATCAATTTTTCCAGAGTTCAATTTCTCCGTTATTTCTTGTCTCTCGGGATTAGTTTCGTCCCAAGTCAATTCCACTTTAACTTGCTGCAAAGCAGTCGTGGTGAATTGCCTTGGTTGATACTTTGAAAGTTCAGGTACTTTATCACAGACTTCTTTTGGTTCCTAGAATATAAAAACTTATTAATTGTCGTTATATTTCATAGAATGCTCGTTGCAGTAAATAATTCATTACATACATGTTCGAAGGTCATATCATCTGGAATGAATCTTAGATCCAGTTTGGTCGCAGTGGATTCGTACTCTATGCCATCACACTCTGTATAAATTTTATTTGCTGTTTCAGAAGAATCACAATCGATAACAGCGTAATAGTATTTTAATCGGTTCAATTGATATTGCCTTAATTTTTCCATGTGATAATTCGAACCTTCTTCGTTCTGTAATATGAAATATCATTATTCTCTGTAGTTTAGATAATAAAAATAATTTTTCTCCATACTTCGTCATCTTCTGCATCGCTGTGAACTTCATTACTCTTAGCTTCTACTAATTCAATAGGACCTTTGACCTCTTCCTCTTTCATGCGCTCCAAACCAAAATCTGATGGATAAATCTAGAATCCAAGGGGTTATACACTTTTTATTTTATCAGATAAGATGAATTTTTCAATCATTACCGTAACTGAATGAATAAGACCACCACTTGGTAGGAATGAATTAAACAGGACCATGAGGTCAACAGCTCGTATCCTATCCCAATCCATATTACAAGCAGCCAATCTGTGTGTTATTTCATCTGTCGTTTCAGCTTCCTTATCCAATTCACCCCAATTATGTTCAACTTCATTTTCCTCATCTAGAAATATAGATATAATCGACGATTAATATATGGAACTAAGTATGACAGGCATGTGTAGTTGCAAATCATACCATCGTATTCTGAGCTTTCTTCATCGGACGAACTGTCTGTCATTAAAATGCCTTCACCTCTAGCATAATCTACCGTAAGATCCCTTAGTTTTTTCTTAACGCCATTTTCTATCTCATTTGTTTCATTTTTACGTCTAATGTATAATTGATTTTCATTTTCCTTCATATCTTCTATTCCAACTTCTGAGTCCAGTGCATCATCAGAAGTATCATTTTCCGAATCCTCATTTTTATCTAATTCTAATGTTGACCGAGTTGCTGGTTTTATGCGAAGCAAATCTCCATTACTAGAGAACGATTCCTCTTCACTTCCTTCAACTTCTTCTTTTTCTTTTTGGTCCTTTTGCTTTCTTAGCTTCTTTTTCTTTTCTTTTGTTTTACTGTGACTTGGCTCATTTTTTTTTGGTAAATCTTCATCTTCATCTTCATCTTCACTTTCACTGGAAAGCTCATAGTACTTTTTTAAATTCTCTGTTGAACTCTGGCTTACAGGTCTGCCTCTTTTATCAATAGTATATTTTATAGAGAACTTCTTGTCACTAAACATAGACTGAAACCTCTTGTCTATTTTGACTTTGCGTTCACTTTTTGGAATCCTTCTAAATCTTGGATCCTTTGCAACATGTGCAAACCGAGGATCTTTTAACATATCGTCCATCTTCGTTGAGTAAAAATTATTTATTAACACTACAAAACAAGTATACATAATAAGTAAACTGTAATAATTTGGAAAATTAAAAAAGATACTAAATATTTTATCAATGATTCAGTAGAATATGACAGCAAAAGATCAAGTTATAGTGTTGGCTAGAGTAATAACTTACCGGTTTATAATAAGACACGTGTTTCATGGGTACAACAGACTCTTTCTCGCAAATTGTAGTGCTTTTATATTTATTCAATCTTCTGGCTTTTCTCTGATTCTATTTTTTGATTAATAAATACAATATTATCTTCCCAAATCCACGTGCTCAGCAGCGAGCATGGCAGCGAGAATACATTGCCATCTATCTAGTGGACCTTCAACTTCCTAGTCAAAGATTTCGGAGCAACAATATATCATCATATGTAACCGGCATGGTTGTGCTAAAGAAATTATAACCTTACAAAAAGACCTACATTTGTTAATGAAAAATGTATTGAAATTGAATCGTTGAAAGGATTCACAGTGAAGATGCTTACTACAAAGCTAAGTGTATCGTTAAGAGTAAACAATATTGTGACCAGAACTTGCATAGCTAGTGGGAGTATTGAGAGTTTCAAGCAAAACAAGCATCCTCAGGCAATAACAAGATCTTTCAACGTTCTAGCTAATAACGGAGCTGAATCCTCGAAACATATTGTACAAAAACAGGTTTCAAAACCAAAAATATTACTTAGAATGTATGATACTCAAAAGGTTCCAGAGAATCCTGATATTTTTGGAGATCTCGGTGATAGAAACTTTGAACGTGTTGCCATGGATGAGATGGAGGAAGAGGAAGAGAAGTTCACACAAAATGAAGTAACAATACCACGCAGATTGAAGCCCAGTGCTGGTCAATATGCTGATATGATAAAATCTCATATTGGCAAGGGTGATTTAACAGCTGCTACAAATGTTTTGAATCTTGTAAAAGAGAACAGGGATAAGCCTAACGAGTACATGTTCAGTCTTCTAATAAGAGCATATGCTGTTCAAGGTGATATAAAGAAGTGTTTCAATCTTTATAATAATATGAAGAAGCGAAACTTAAAACCTAATGCTGCTATCTATACCAGTCTATTGAATGTTTGTGGAAATTCTTCAAATACTGAATTAGCTTTGGAAAAACTGACAGATTTGAGAGAAAAATTTATACAACTTAATTTTCCATTAAACCAGACTCATTATAATGCTTTAGTAAAAGCATATGGGGTACATAATAAGATTCTACAAGCTTTTGAAGTAGTGGATCAGATGAAAGATAATCATATACCTATTGGAGAAAGTACATTTAATTCTCTTCTCTGTGGATGTATTTCTGACAAAAAAGCAGGATCGAGATACGCTCTAGTGATATGGCATCTAATGCAGCATCAAAAAGTAAAACCCACAATCACTACTTATAATCTTATGCTACGTGCTATCAGAGATTGTAACATGGGGAACTTAAAAGTAAATGAATTCTTAGTACCAGGCTGGAAACAAACTCAAATTTCTTTCTCTACGGATGGCGTGCCTGACCTATTAGCATCTCCACCGAAGCTAAGTGCATTGGTCCTTACTCTCCACAAAAACCAATCAAGAAATAAGAAACAGCAAAATATCTTAACGTCCAGTCGCGCTCTGGAAATGCAAGAATCACACAGTACATTGGAAATCAGAAGTAAAGAAGAAAATTCTATGATACCTGCTTCACTAGATCATGTAAATCTAGACGATATAATATCTAAGAATGCTTTGGTATTATTCGGTGGTCTCCAAGGAATCTTAGATCGAATGAAGGCAGACAATGTAAAGCCAGATATGAGAACATTATCGTTGCTCGTGCAATTAGTTCCACCATCTATAGCAGCTGAAGAAGCGATAATGAAGAGCGCAAAATCTTATGAAATAGAGTTGGACGTATCTTTTTATAATAGTTTGATGAAAAAAAGGAGCCTGAGAGGTGATTATGCATATGCAAAAAAACTTCTTCATGAAATGGAGAGAAACAATGTGCAACCAGACATACTTACATGGGGAATATTGGCGCTAGGATGCAAATCCAATGACGAAGGCAGAGAACTTATTCAAGGTATGAGAGACACCGGATTCAGATTAAATGCAGTAATTGCTGGAACTCTGATCAAAAATGCTTGTCGAAAAGAGCAATTTTTCTTCATCTTGGAAGTAATGGAGCATATGTACAGAGCAAAGATTAAACCCAACAAGATGCTTTATGAAACTCTGGATGCCTTCCAAAGTGCAATGAAGAAACTATCGAAGAGCAAGGTACTAGTAAACATATTTTAGAAAATTTGTAATGTATTTTAAACGTTTTTCATCTATTTTAGGAAAATTCAAAGTTCACTTCGAGTTCCTTCTTTAAGGACGGTTTGTCGAAATTTAACTTGAGGTATTCCGAATGGCAAAAGCAAATGGAACGACCAGAATGGGCGAAACCATGGTCAGATAATAAATAATGTAAATTACTAATTGTTTGTAAAAACTTGTAATAAATATGTTAAGTCAAAGATCAGGTGCATTACTTTAAAAATTTTCTAATTTGAGTTATTGTCTTAGGAGAATCATGTATTTAGCAGCAATGATATTTCATTGATACTCAATAATATAAAATAAACATTTCTTAACGAAGATACGGCGGTCGTGGCTCTGGTACCCACGGTCGACTTCTAGTTCCAACCATGACACCTCGGGGTGGACAAGGTCCACGAATATTTATTTTATTATATCCCGTTGGACCTGTAGGCTGAGCTCCGCAGGTTTCTAGAGCTACGAAATCATCTACATGAAGAGACGGTGGTCTTGAAGTATTCGGAGGTCTAGATCTGAATGGATCTGAGCCTCTTCCGACACCGCCTACTACTTGTCCACCTCTAAGGTTGTTGGCGAACTGAGCCCTTCCACGCATGGGCGTCACTAGAAAATCATAAGAGTGCAATTAATTTACAGACAAGTTGAACGTAAAGTCTAGAATAAAAATGAAACTTACCAAATGGTTGCTTAGTTTTGGCAGCGGGCACATTTGTAGGCTTTTGCACGTCTCTCGCATCTTGAGAATCTGCCTGTGACTTTGGTTGCAAGGGTTGTGTAGCATCATCTGGTGGCGCTTTTGAGCACAGTAGCTGTGCTTCCGCTAGAAGATTGAAGTCTGCGGGGAGAAGTTCTGATGCCAGAGCTAATAGATCAACTGTATTTTCAGTGGATGGTTGACGTGATGCTCCGAAAGTACATTTTTTCGTTCGCTTTGAACTAGATTCCACAGCTCCAAAGGATCTTTGAGAAAATTGATTTAAGAGAGCTTCTGGGGTCGGGAGTAAAGGTTCCAACATTTCCGGTATAGGCTCTTTTTCTTCTTTCTCTTCGGAACTCTTTAATATTTCTATTAGGTCTTTTGCTCCTACCAATTTGTCAAGGGGATGACCATTTTTATCCCAAGATATCAAAGACATTAACTGTTGTGAACGCAAGTACAAACTTCTATTTTCTGTTTTACAAGAAATTAAACTTTCTAAGAACGTCACAGTCAATTCTAAGGTGCACTTCGTATTCGAGTTTTCCTCAAGATTTGACACATGTTCTAGTAAAGATCTTAAGGCATCCGGATTATTTTCTAAACAACTCTTCACATGATACAGTCCATAGTTATGACTTGTAAGAGACACCAGTATCTGCAAAGTACTTTCTAATACATCCACTTGATACTTTGACGCACTTGCAAGGATTTCAATGAGTACAGCCAAAATGGAAAGCAGTGGTTCCTTACTGGGTACAGAATGCGTTAATTTCTTTTCAAAAGGTTCACTGGAGTCTTCTTGAACAAGGCTCAGGGAAGAATCGCACAAAGTCTCAAAGATATCAATTATCTCACGTTGTACAACGTCGTTAGTAGTTTTCAAAGCAGTGCACAGCATTTCAATGACAGGTGGATATCTTTGATCAGACTTGACCTGAGCCCTGGACGCAGGACTTGTAAGAGTCAGGAGTGTGGCCTTAACAGGTGCATGTCTAGCTAGATCTCCAAGTAACGCTAATATTGGAGAATTATTTTCCAAAGGAGTAGCAGCTAATATTCCATCTAAAAGACATCTTCCTACAAGAAGAGCAGTAGGTGCAGCCAGGTCGCTAAGTTGTTTGCAGACTGTGGAGAGTAACGTGAGCACATCTTTATCCCAGCTAGCACAGAGCAGCCGTAAAGTCTCTGTGAGGTTACTAGCCTGAGCCTGTAAGTGAGCAGACCAAAGCTTTCTTAATCCAAGAGCACGCATCATGTCTTCAGGGATGGTTTCCTTAGAGGTCAATATCGGTGGTAGTAACCGAGACAGCAACTTCATGCCGGGTACGAAATTGCATGGACTTAGAGCAATCCTCTTCAAGACTTCACCAAGCATTTGAGTCCAGAGTGATTTAGCTACGTTTCCAGAACCATCGGAATTCACAGCGTGTGTAAATACCAATAATGTTCCCACAATCTGATCAGACAGTGTTCCGATAATTGAATTACTTGGTATAGCTTCTACCAAGGAATATACACCAAGCAGTGGCAATACTGCCGTCAAGTCTTTGAAGTCTGTTGCCATACACTTTACAAGACGTTCCAAAATTGCTCTTGTTAATTTAACACAAGGTAAGAGCAGTGCTACTAGTGCCAGACCTCTGCGTCCTGTTAAAGCTGCACGATGCAAATATGGTTGTTCATAGAATTCCGTAATGTTGGTCATAACTGCAACCAGAGCAGTGAGACCATCAGCGGCGAATAACTGTGTCAGGGCGTTTCTGTGTTTTAATTCCACGTAAGGTTCCATAGGGTCCATGTCATTCTTTGAGGGAAACACCAGGTATACTAGGATCCTACAGGCAGTGACTAATTCACCAGGTAGTGATGCTGCTCTGTCTGCATTTTTTCTTATAGCTGCGACTAAGGTAGAGACATCACCGTAGTTCCAGCTGGAAGCTTGAGCTGCTATTGTCAAGTATGGTACAACGTCACGCAAATGTGCCTGATTTCTAGACTTCTCTATAATTTCCGCTGCACGGGTTTGAAAGATTTCAACACGATCGGAATAGCGTACAGTGGTAGAGACAACTTCAGCTGCAAATTCTCCAAGATTCGCATCTGCGAGGTGTGGTATCAGAATGTCCAGGAATCCATTTAGAGGAAGAATTGTGACTATAGCACGTATACCTTCAGGAAATACCAAGAAGGAATGTAATTTCTTTAAGGCCATCCAGTCGACCGGTTCTTGTTGGAGAGATATTAGGCATCGCGCTACTTGAAGTCGCCAGGCTAATATCGAACCAACACCAGGATGATCGTAGCGAAGGGCTTTTAATATAGATTTAGTGATCTCAGGTTCTTTTAAGAGATACAGAAGACCTTCTTTGGTGTCACTGAGTCTCAAGAGGAAACGTCGTGCTGCTTTTATAGAGTTCACATGGGATTGGGGTGATATAAGGGTCACTAAGAGACGACAGGCCAGTTTATGGTGCTCGAAGTAGGCAATAAGGTGTCCTCGAGGATTCCGATTCTGCTCCCGTTCGAATTCCATTTGTGCACTGGCAGGTAGTTGCCGTTTAGGCTGTGCCATTAAGGTTGGAGCATACGAGTATGAATTCATTAATTCTGATAGTGCCAATTCCGAGAGTTCCTCAGTTTCTTCTAGTAATTCATAAACATGAACTTTCCTTAGCAAGGAACTCAAAGCGTACTTCAATCTAGCGAGCTTTGCGCCGTCGAGCATCTCTAGTGCAAGTTTATAAAGATTAGTCTCAGATTTGAGAAATTCCTTAACAATTTTTGGACTGATCAGAGCTGCATCCAGTGCTCTCAAAGCAGAGAGTTTTACAGGAAGTGCCACATTTTCTAGCATACACAATTCCAGGAGCTTGTAAGGAGCATTCACTTCCAGAAGGATATCCGCACCCAAAGAGACTCTGCATAATGCTTCAGATAGACGAACTCCAACTTTAACATGTCGCACTTTATAGGCTGGTTGAGGTTGAGCACGTGCAAATTCCATATCCAGACCTGCGTTAACAATATTTGTCAACTCCTTAAAATCCTCAGGATCGAGCTCATGAGATCCCAGAATAGAGCACAGAGTTTCACAATTATGTACAAAAGTTTCCTTTTCTTGGCCAGGACCATTCACAAAATTTAAAACGGATTTCGCTAATGAGTGTAAAGTCTCCCGTAATTTTTCTAACGTTGCATCCTCTCGCAACTTTTTCTCAGTCGTTTCGGCTGATGTTTCTATCTCTAGAAGATCTGGAGGATGCAGAACGTACAAATCTGCTATTTGTGTAGTGTCACATTCGTATTCTATGACTGGTGGTATGTCATCTGCCATTATATCCTCGTCGGATAAGATAGGCTCGAATGGTTCTACTGCACCAGTTTCCCCAGCATCCCGTTCTCCGTCTTCCTCCTCTGCAGAAATGGATTCTGGGCTTAAGGAGACTAAAGATTCCGAAGGCGGCGAGGACGGTCGTTTTACTGGTTTCTGAACTGAATTTGGTGGATGTTCTTCCCATTGTTCTGGTTCGGTGCCTACAGGTTCAGCTGTAGAATTTCTTGTGGGTTCCACTGTCTGAATAAGTTGAACAGGTGGAGATGGTGTTGCCGTGACACAGGCCTCCTGCTATTTAATCAAAATATTTATATTCTATTTGTGGTCAATTAAGGCAGTATGAAATGTGTCTTTTTACTTACTGGAGGATTAGTTTGTTGTTGATTTTCATAATACCATTCAGGCTGTTGTTCTGTTATTGATACAGTGCATTCTGTGGTCTCTTCTAATCCACCTACACAAACACTAGAGCCAGCAGTGGGTCCTATAACTTCCTGTGGATTGCTCAGTGACTTGGTCAGAGTTCCATAAACAGCAAGAGTAATAGTGGTGTACCACCCACGTAAAACTAGCCCATCTGTTGGTATTTGTTTACGCTCACATTCTAATTGAATGTGAACATTTTGTTTATATTCTAAGCCACCCAGAGATTCAAAAGTAGAAGCTCCTGGTTTACTCAAATCATTCACAAAAAATTCTATCTCAAATTGAGAGGGATTGGTTGCACTGTTGAAAAGACAAAACATATGTAATGCAATGCTAAGAAACATAAAGAAGACCATTTGTGTATTCACGGATGTAATTTACCCTAAGCGAACTCCTCCAGGAAAGTCAGCCTGGACTCGAGCTCCAAGAGGAATTATTCTAACTTCACTGATGTAGACAGGTTTTGGAAATTGTACCAAGTCTAAATTAAGTTCCTATAAAATGTACCCAATATTTCAATATATTACGCAACTTATGACGAAATTACAAAGGTATTTAATAAAAAAGTAAACATTCTAACTTAACCTATTATATACCTCAGAAATATCGTGAGAGAACGTGTCGAAAAATAAGAGTTCGGTATTATCCATTTTGATTCCGTTCAAAGTAGAACTTCAAGGTAATCGTGTGTTCGATTACTAGTATAATTACTATTTAAAGTTTCATTGAAAACAATAATCAATATACATCAATAATAACATTCAGCTGATCACCTCTTTGGTCCCTTTGAGCTGCCGTCGATTTCGGCAGACTGGTACGTTTTGATAACTGGGGATTTTTATTTCAGAAGAGTACTATATTCTATAGTAAGGTTAAAGTTTCTACCAGATCCTACGATCTACGTTTACGATAAAACATAAGTCGTATTTATATTATTTATTAATAATCAATATAATATGTCATACGAGAAGCCTTGCCGAACATGTACAGATTTTAAAACATGGGCCAAGATCCAGAAACAGACTTTCGATTCAGAAAAGGTAAGTACGTTTTATCTTTGAAATACCAAAACTGTTGTGTATTTTTCTGATATTAATCTCAAGACAATTTTAATATTATTATTAAATCTGTTATTTATCTGCTCGTTTCATGGAAATCTGAAAAGGAACGGCAGAAACAAGTCACTGAGAGCACTGAAACTGCAAAGCGTAAAAATTGCCCTTTAGACAAAGATGAACTGGGCTCGAGCACTTGGGCATTTTTACATACAATGGCTGCATATTATCCTAGTAATCCTACAAATGAGCAAAGAAAGGATATGAAGACGTTTTTCTATTTATTTTCCAAGTTCTATCCATGCAATACATGTGCAGAAGATTTTCAAGGTGAACTGAAGACTTCTCCACCACGGACAGATTCACAGGAACAGCTTAGCCAATGGCTCTGTGAGATGCACAATATAGTGAATAGAAAATTAGATAAACCAGAATTTGATTGTAAATTGGTCAATCAAAGGTGGCGAGATGGATGGCTTGATGGATCATGTGATTGACAATAATCGTTAAGAGCAATATTACTGTGAAAGATTTTTTGGCTTTTAATAGCTCATACATTAAATATTTTATAACTAGAAGGACATTGAATTATGATGAAACGTATTAAAAAAGAGACTTTACTTTCCAATCGTCAAAACGGTGTAAATAAGTTATTATTGATCAATGTAAATTGTTCCCATACAGAATACAGTATTTAAAATAACAAGGCACAGAAGTTTCTTTTGCGCACACATAATATGTCCATAAAAAGTTCATCTCCACCTCAGTTAGAAGTGTTGGGAAGTGTAGAATTTGTATGCATCACAGTAAACAATGTCATTGCTGGTTGTGTACGTGGTTGATAGCTGTGACTCTCACCATCACCAGCAATTGGCATTACTTGGCATGTTCTTATGTGGAATGGAAAGCGAGTATTATTTGTTGCAGGCCTTGTGACATACAAGAATATCGCATGGCCAACCAAAATCATCCAAAGGGAACAGCCCTTAACCACACTCTCTCTTATCCATTTATCTACCATTATAGTAATGGTCAGTACCTAAAGAGGACACACAAAAAATTATATTATCATCAGAAATGAAATGAATTCTTAATTCACGTGTCAAGATTCCATAATACCAATAATGGATTCCAAAGGAACCATCCTGATCCCATAGACAGTAGAGCTATGTAAAAGCGAATCTTGGTAGTGGTTTTTCTGCTGGTTTTATAGCAGCAAACTACAAATACCATCCAGGTAATGATTTTAATGGCAATTAGTGCATATCCTGGTGGAGATTCGTAAATGTATAAGACCAATCCAGGGTCGAACATCTCTGACTGATATATAAATAATGACAATTGAAAAATCACACTAGTGCAAATGAAGCAGACAAGCTGTTTTGTTTCTACTGGTGTCAGAATACTCTTGGTGACAGTATATCCAAGCGCCAGTAAAAGCATCAGGACAGTGTAAAGAGTTTCAGCACAGGCCTCTAAGAGATTGCCCATTAATGAAGATTGGCGAGCATCCACACCTGTTAGAGCACGACTCACATAACTCAAAGTTTCTAATGATAATCCTAACATTTGACATAATAACGATGCTATGAATATTTTGTAAGACAAGTGGAACAGTCGCCTTGATCGAAGCTGTAAAGATACATAGAAGCTCAGGACCAAGAGTACTGTATATACCACAATGCCTGCCAGTAACTCAGGTAGAATATCTGAAAAATATGATCTAATAGGGATAATGGCACAATTAATATATGGCCCTGTACACTTACAAAATTCATCTGCTGAAAAATGTTCTCTCCAGAAACTACCTGGTGAACCATTAGTTAAAGAAATCCAGTAGCTGACGTTTAAACCATTCTGAGAAGAGCAATCAGCCAATACAATGAACCACCATCTAGGACGAGCTGAACGAAATTCTCGAGAACTAGTGCAATACAAATCCGAAGTATTATCATTCACCCTGGAACATCCTGAAGAGATAGCCAGATCACTACGACTCGATAGGGTAACAATTTGGCCATATTTCCTGCTGAGAATGCTTTGTTTCTCATAACATGTTTTCTCAGATGGATAAACACTTGGCCATTGTTGTGCTGTGTCATAATATAGGAGTAAATTGACGTTACTTTCTTTTCCACCTACTAAAAAATTATAGTGGAACTTTCCTTCTTCTGATAAAAAGCAAAATCTTGTCAGAAATGCCCAGTTCTGAAAGAATAATTGCATAATGAGAGGGGTAGTTCATTAAAGCTGTGCAAATACAGTTTGGAGCAGAATCGATATTTTATTTAAAGAGAGTACTGATTATTTAATAACGTTACTTCAGAAGTTAAAAGATGCCCTTGTAGTATCTTAGCGTCGATATAGCTCGATAGAATAATTGTTGCGTATAGAATCTCAAACATATTAATCATAGTTAGCTTTATAATAAAGACGCTAACTTAAACTGTTCACCCCATAGCTGGGTACTATTTACCACTATTACGCTTGTATTTACATGCTGAAATCAATATTTTTCCCGGTTAATCCCTAGAAGTACTGAGATGGCAATACTTTATTCCCATTTCAGGTGTTTTTGGCATAAAACAAACATAATATGTATCTGCAACTAAAATAGATGATATCTTCTTAATTTTTTGAGATTATCGAATAGAAGGGTAGATTTGAATTAAAATAGTTTTGCACGTGTATTTCGTTTGTATACATATGTACATACTTATATCTACTTGAGCACATGGTTAATATTTTTCCCTTAGACTCGAATGCCATCTAGTGGATAGTTATCTCGTTATAATTAAATCTCCACCAAAATTGAACCACCGCGGTGAAGATCCTCTTTTTTGTGAGGGATTGCGTTTTTATTTTTCTTTAATTACTGTTAAATTAAAGGAAATATAGTTTAATAATGACACTTGATAAACAAGGAATAGGTAGCTTTAAAAGTAAGTTAATGTAAAAACTTTGTAACGCTGATTGAATAGGCTTGCATTTTAGGTTAAAATAAGCATGGAGTCAATATTATCAAATATTAATACTACTTCAATTTTTTAGCATTGTGGCTTCGGTATGATGCACACAGCGTGAATAAGCATCAACTTTTTCTTAAGGAACATTCAGTGCGGAAACAAGATCCTGAATTACCTAAAGGACATACTCTGTTTTTACTGAATGTTCCACCTTACGCTACTGCAGATTCTCTTAAACATGCATTTACTGAAGCATGTGGAGCTGTTAGAACAGTCACATTTACCACTAGTCCTGGAAAACCGAAAACAGGATTTAAGGCGGCTTATATTGTATTTCAAAGAGAATCTAGCTTGGACAAGGCCTTAGCTCTGCCAAAAACTCATTGTTTGACTCTACAAACAGAATCGCATTCCGTTTGTCCAACTGGATTATCTAGTAAGTCAAATTTCACTATTGAGTGATTGTGCCTATTGTTGACATTATATTAATATTATTTATTTTTTTAGAATGGTGTAAGGAATATAACAGTTCTATATTTGATGAGAAATTACTTAAAAAAGAGATTGAGGAGTATATGAATAATTATGACAAACAAGTTGCTGAGCGCCTTGAACGAGAAAAAGCACAAGAAGGAGAGCAAGATGAGGATGGTTGGGTGACAGTGTCAGGGAGGAAGAAACGTGGCCAGCAAGCTCTTTCCAGAAAAGAATCTACTATCAGTAAAGTGCAACAGAAACAGGAAGAACGAATAAAAAAGAAGCAATTGCTGAACTTTTATACTTTCCAGATTAGAGAATCTAAAAAACAAAGTACGCATCGTATTACTATTCTTATTCTATGGTAGATAATTTGTTTTCTATGCATATTTTAATAAAAATTGTATTCATTGCAGACTTGGCAGAGTTAAGAAAGAAATTTGAGCTTGATAAAAGCAAACTACAGCAGCTTAAACTAAGGCGTACGTTTAAGCCATTTTAATTTGACTAAGTGTTTATCCTTTTCTGTATGTATAACGTGTATAAAGTATCATAAAGGAGATATAACATTAAGTCAACTATGTAAAATGAGCGTTAGGTTTATTAACAGTATTTGTACAAATGAGGTAATGTGATATCAACGAATCCTTACTTTCTAAGAAGCCTTTGACGTATACGTCTGTAATGTCCATTCTATTAAAAAGTGCTGATAAGACAAGGGTTGCAAAAGTGCCAATAGTTCCTCTGTAAGCAGAAAGCAAGCAATTTATACACGTTGGCCCACTTGATTTTTTATTAAAAGAAAAATATAAAAACGTACGTTTATTTCCATAAATACAATTTGCAGACATGGCTGCACTCACTGCTTGTGCTAATCTCTCCATAGCAAGATCACGGAAAGCTGTGTTTGAATCACTATACGTCTGTAACATTGTGGTCAATGTTCTGGTTGTTGCAGCCAAATGTTGTGCAGATATAGCATGCTTATTGCTCCCACTGGTCTTTAAGCGTAGCACAGAGTCCATGAGAAGCTGTTGAATTTTTGAATAACATTTCTGTAGCTCATCTCGACGTTCCTGTGATTCAGAGTCGGGTCTCAGTGAACTTAAAATGGACCACCTAAAAAGACCTGCTATCGGAGCTATAGGAGTCATTGGTATTCCTCCAATGGGCAAAGCAGGGTTGTCCATTAGAGATGACCAGAGTAGACTTGGATTCTCATCTATCCAATCTCCTACTAATCTTAAAAGGTCTGTAGGTGGATTTTTGTCCTTATAAACTTCACCTATGGAGGTTAACAAGTTCGCAGTAAAATATGGTGCAATCGTAGGTAATGTTTTCAATCTGTCTATTGATTTTGGAGTCAAAACAAAATAATCATTGAGAATGTGTCGCGCCAATCCTACACTTTGTGGAGATGTTGCACCAAGTTGTTGCAACCAAATTCCTGTTGCATTTAGCACAGCTTTGTTATGAGTAGCTATTGCTAAACTGACTGAGTTTCCAAGAATATGAAATCTGGGTGTTTCAGCTGGAAAGAGAGACAAGAATACTGCATTACGAACAGCTGGAGTTCCTCCAGGACTTTTGAAGAAGTCATTCAGGACTTCAACCAACTGTAATTCTTGTATAGCCACTGGAATATTTCTTTTTTTACGTCTTTCAATCTCTCCAAATACAAATTCTGACATCAGATCCATCTGCAGATCTACTTGTTTGCCAGGTCTGCTGCATAGTGTTTCTATAAGTAAAATTATTTTCAAAATACTTCATTCATGAAAACATCGTATAAAAAATTATATTAGCCGGGCAAGTATAACTTATGGCATTGAAATTTACCGATTCTGCTGAGTGCTTCTCTGGCACATAATGGGAATTCCAATTTTCTCAAAGTTTGTTTAATGTCATTAGCAGCCATTAATACTTTTAGCAATTAATTTCTAACTGATCGTGGACAAAAGCTTTAAACAGTCAATGCGCGCAAACTCATCGAAATGACGACCAGCTGCTTCTGGAAAATATAGGGGGTGTTTCATTATCTATTGTCCAATAGTGGGAAACTCTAACCATAAAATATAAACATTATCTTCCAGAATTCGTAAATACAAAACGTGAATTTGTAATCACGTGGAAATAAATTTTCTATAGACTTAGTGTTATTTTTCTTAAATATCGTAACGGTAGTTTTATTAAAGGTAAATCATAATGGGCAAGGTTGTAGCATTTCTATGTAACGAAATTGTACAGCCAGTACACCCGTAAGTGATTTGGATACAGAAGAACTTTTAGTTTAATGTCTTCTGTATTATTTTCTGAGTGAAAATGTTCTGTGAGTAAATAATCTGACGAACTAAAGTGATAATCGATATTGGACCAACAATGAATTCTTTTTAACAATGGAAGTTCATTTATTGGTTCTGTGATTCCCCAAAAGCACTACTGGTTCTACAAAAAAATTCGCCCTTACTGATTTTTATTATCGTCACAAATAATTTTGCCGCGCTGACGTACTCTTTACTAATAAAAAACAAAAATCCTATTTTTTTTTATAATAAGTTTATTCTTTAATAAATTAAAACAAAGTTCTTTTTAGTGAAAGGAACTTTACAAAAATGGAATCAAGGTTAAGTGGTAAGTTGAGAAATAAATAGTTGCTATATAGTAGTATTGGATTGGAATTATTATTGTAAATGCTTAGTAATATTTGCTGTAGTCGCATTTTTGTTTTAGGCAATACGTATTTGGTTCTATAGTTAAATAATGTATTGTTTTAATTTTGTAGAATCTAGTGACAGCGGGACAGAGGAAGCACGTCTCAGTTTAAGTGGTTGGTCTACATTAGAATCTGGTGTAAGTAAAAGAGTACATGAAGATGCAGCTTCTGAGTCTGACTCGGAAGAGTCTTCGAAGAAACGGGCTCGTTTTGATGGATCGGAAACTTCTGTGGATAAAACTGCAGCTGATACCAGAGAAATTATTGGGGATAAAGCACGTATGATGATGGCAAAAATGGGTTACAGAACAGGTGTAGGTCTTGGTAAACATGGACAGGGTCGACTTGAACCCGTAGAATTATCTAAACAACGAGGTCGTAGAGGATTGGGTTTGCACATTCCGGGATTGGAAAATGCAAATCTTAACTGGGATCCTACAGAGGAGGAGATCTCTGTACAGGAGGATATGGAATGGTTGGAAAATACGCATTCTGAGATTCCTACTATACAACATATGGAAGAATGGATGAGCTTGGGACCTAGTAAGAAAACAATAGAAGACGAAACGACATTCTGTGACCCAGCAATATTGAAAAACGTTCTTAATTCAAAGACAGTTTTTGATAAACTAGACAAGCATGAAATGCGTAGAGCGCGCACGAGGTCCAATCCTTATGAAACGATTCGTGGTGCTTTTTTTTTAAATCGTGCTGCTGTAAAAATGGCAAATATAGACAAAGCCTGTGACTTTATTTTCACAAATCCTAAAACGATAAAAAGCGATGAGTTACTATATTTTGCCGACGTCTGTGCTGGTCCAGGAGGATTTAGCGAATACGTCCTGTGGAAGAAGAAGTGGCATGCAAAAGGATTCGGTTTCACATTAAAAGACGAGAACGATTTTAAATTAGATGACTTTTATGCAGGACCCTGTGAAACTTTTCATCCATTTTATGGACCTAAAGAAGACGGCAATGTTTATGACCCAGAGAATCAAAAATCTTTCTATAAATTAATTATGGAGCACACTAATGGACTGGGATTACATTTTATGATGTCGGATGGTGGATTTTCTGTTGATGGACAAGAAAATATACAAGAGATTTTATCGAAACAATTATATCTCTGCCAATGCTTAGTAGCACTTATGATAGTAAGAACTGGTGGTCACTTTGTCACAAAGTTATTCGATCTCTTTACACCGTTCAGTGCTGGTCTTATATACTTAATGTATCGATGCTTTGATAAAATTTGTATATTCAAACCAAATTCATCAAGACCAGCAAATTCCGAACGATATCTCGTATGCCAAGGAAAGAAATCAGGTATCGAGGACGTTAAGGAATTCTTGTCACATGCAAATCGTCTGCTACTCCAGAATGACAAGGATAGAGACGTAATGCAACTAGTACCGCTCGAAGAACTCGAAGCAGAAAGCACGTTCATGCAGTACTTGATAAATTCCAATAATATTCTTGGAAGGAAGCAAGTAACTGGTCTGCTAAAGATAGCAGCATTCTGTCAGGACACAACTCTCACGGAGCCAAAGCAAGCAGACATGCGTAAGCAGTGTCTGGAATATTGGGGGTTACCTGACAAAACTCGTACAGCACCAAATACATCAAGGCCAGAAGACAGGCTCAGGAGTATAATACAAACTTCTACCTTAAATTTCCTCAATAGTAAATCAACGGAACTGACTATCGAGAATATGTCCGAATCTATTGTCAAGTACCCCTACGACTGGTATTGTATACCGTGTCAATCGTGTAAGTCTTCCGAAGACGACAAGAAACCTACATTCTACATGGGAATAGGTAGATCCAAAGTTTTTCATTATGTCAGAGGCCATTGGGAACGAGTTCAAATGCCTTTGGAATTACCACCTGACACCCTAGTCTATGCTGAAGTTGTAACGGAAATGCGTGGAGAGCATAGATATCAACGACGCTCACCAGCCCTACATATTCTTGACGCTTACCTGCTTGGAGCAGAAGATATTAGTAAAAATTATGTGACAGTTAGGTGAGCAGATCTTCCACGGCTTTTTATCTGTTATCAGTGCTGTATAATAATAATATTTTATATAATACTCAGGTGGGAAAAGACGAAGAGGTTTTGCGAAGCACTATGGAAACCTGATGCACGCACCTACGCCAGAGTGCGCGTCGGGGATTTGTATACTCTTGATCAAAATTTAGAGCAAAGGCTTCACTTGCATCATTGCAGTATGAAAAATGGAACAAAAGCTCTTGCCTACGTGCCTTCGAAGTTTCCATATCGTGACAGCGACAAAAATGATGAGCCTTATTACTTCGTGCCACAGAGTTTCCTCTTGCTTAATGGCAGTGCTATCCCCTGGTCCAGTCATCGTAGTCGCAAGCAAGGTGTACTCTACTTTTTCAACTCCAAGAAAGGGTGGAATGAAAGAGAGAGACCTATTGATGCTGTGGCAACCTTTGCTGAAACTTTTACTAATCGTATGGTGTGGTATTTGCCACCCGACGGTAGGTTGTCCATGGAATCTGTATTTCTTCAGTTGAAAGATGTAATACCAGCTAAATAACCGTAACGAAGGTAATAACAAATACCCATTATCATGTCTTACATTGAACTGTTGTTTGGTATAATAGTACTATCTCAGTTTACATTGGTTGCCAAGTTTGAAATGCGTTTATCGAGTTTCGAAATGAATTGCAAAACGGGTAGAACTCGTTGAATACATATTTTGGATATTTTTCCAAATATTTTTGCTTTGCAATTCTTTATGTTTTATAAGCTCAATTCGTCTAGCGGAATTGTTTCTTATAATCTTGAAAGGTGTACGTCACCTATAACGTGTATATATTTCATGCAGAGTAATTATAAATAAATTCGTATAAACGTTGATAATATATATTATTATTTATACGTGTAAAATGCATTATAGAGTTTACAAGATACCTTGAGACTCCCTTAGATTACTTAGTGTTAAAATTTGATCTCTAGCTGATACAGTTTATCCTTAGTTAAGAGTATCAAATATTTATTTGTGGCAACAGCACCCATAATTGGAGAAGTGTCGGGTCCTAAATCTACAATCTGTTGTTTTGCTACAGGAGAACCATTTTCAGGTCTGTCGTATAGGAAAGAATGCCTTGTATGTTCTACAATGGCTACATAGGTTCCAGCTGTAAGAATGAAAATTTTTATTTATATCTGCAGAGGATTAATTCAGTAATGTCGCTCTTAGTACCTGGTGGGGAGACGCAAAATTTTTTATTAGTCTTGCCAGCTTCTACATAGCCAAACCCTGGAAACGTATAGATGTGCTTGAATCGCCAGTGGTCGTTCTCGACTTCTCCGGGCATCCAGATGCAGGCATCGTGCTCGTGTCGTAGGCAGAGTATTTGGCTAGATTTCAATTTAATTGTGAAGAGAATGTGGTTGCTTGTTCCAAGCATGGCCAGATGTATTACTTTGTGACTCTTCAAATCTAGTCTCTGAAGGAAGTTATCCCTACCCTGGAGATCACATTCCTCTAGTTGTTCAGCATTAAATCCTATTGCAGACTGTCCTTCCCTCTCTGGTTGATCGGTACACAGATGCGCTAATCTAATGATCAATAGAAATTGAAATCTGATTATTGCTAACTTATACTCTCATGCAATTCAAAATAATTCTACCTGGAATGAATTTCTGCAGCTAGAGTTTCATTGGGCAAGCATTCTCCGCCTATGTCGCCTTTTATCAACTCATTCCACATCTGACCACTTTCGTATTTGACCAGGTCAACTTTCAGAGAATCACTTTCTCGACTCCAGGTTGTTAATTCAGGATCAAGTCGGTATTGAGTGTCACCTTCTATCAATATTGTATCTTTTAACTTGATTGACAGACTGCTTGCTGTTATATCAACTGTAATTAATTTCTTATCAATGTGTTGAGGTACTTTTATCCAGACTGTAAGTGTATCTTCGTCTTGAGACCAACAGTACTTTGGAATTTTTATTTCTGAGACATTTTTGTGCTGTGTCTTCTCTTTGTCTATAGGATTTATAGAATCATATTCAAATATTGCAGAGTCTTGACTTACAATGTGTAAATAATTTCCATTGTTTTCTACTTTCACATAGTCGATAACACCTTTTACTCTCAGGACTTGCTTATGAGTGAGTTTCAGATTTTCCAAACAGTTGTCCTTGTATTCGCAAAGATACCAAAGGATGTTCAGATTGGAGCATTTCTTTCCTTCGAAGTCAAGTATATTGCATAATGCAATTATAATTGTTGAAGTGTCCACGACATACTCTACATCCAGAAGAACTCCAGCATCAACCTTATATAATTCAATTGGTTTCGCTGTTCCCATACTTTCAATGAATAACACATCCAGTGTATTAGAGCCATTGGATATTATTATTATATTTTCAGATGCAAAACCAATAGAAGGATTATACAGAGGAATTGCATGATTTTCATCAACAGCTTTAAGAGTATAAATTAAGTCCAGCGTACCATTGATTTTCAATCTCCAAACCCCTCTTGTATCGTCAATAAACCAACATGTATTATCAAAATGATTTCTAAAGAGGTGATTGTGAAATGCAAAGAGTCTAGCTTCAAGCCAAGAGTCCTGAGTGGAATTTGGCTCTATTCTCAAAACATCTGAAACAATAAAGTCATATACTGTCTTAAGAAATATATGTACACTACAAAACCAATGAATTTCCATTGCAATGAGAAGAGGTTAGGATTACCATGATTCAAACTTCTTTCAAAAATGACTGGGGATGTTCCAGCAGAAAATTGATATTTTTGAAAATTTGTATTTAATAGTCTCTTATCAGGTCTCAGCTCAATTATTTTCGTCATCTTATGCAAATTTCGACTATATTTATACTTAAATACGGGCCACAGAAAGACGTGCGTCTCAAATTACCAATAGCTCGAAAAGCTTCTGCTAAATGTAAAATACCGGGAGAAATAGTAGAGTACATTTTTATAGTTTATAACGTACAGATTTATTACAAACAGTGTTATTACATTATTATATACAGCTATTCATTGACATTATATATATATAATTATATAAATACGCATATATATATATAACAAGTAGGATTTGATCCTGTCCAGTGTCATTGTGGCATTTATCCTACAACTTTGGTATGCAAGGATATCGTTGGGATTCTTTCGTGTCATGGCTATCATCTACATAAAGAGGTACAAATTAAATATGGTCATGATCCTCGCGGTACTTGTGCACATTTTAGATGCAATGGCATATAGCTTTTTTGCCAATCCATCCTCTTATGAATCCAGCGGCGAATATAATTTTCATTGGTTATTCGTTCGTTGCAAAAGTATCATCTATGATAAGAAAGAAGCGTGGCTGCCCATAAGAGTCGCTGCCATATCCACCGGGGTACTCTACATGGTCCAAGACTAGCCATTGCTCCAGCCAAGTGTCGCATCCAGTCCCAAAGACCCCAGGGTGCATGTCCCCCATTTACATAGAGCACATAGGTAAAGCCATCCTTACACTTTCCACGGATGGAGTAATAATATGGTAGAAAGCTATGCAATCTAAAGTGACATCTTTGATAGAAGAGAATAGCTGGTGCATTGCTGGAGAGAACATGCAGGAAGACAGCTTTCACCGAAGACCGTTCTGGAGCAGTGACATGTGCCAGGAGCTGCTCCAAAAGCAAGGATGCAATTCCATTTCGACGATATGCACGTCGTACTCCTAGACTAAGGATATAGCCCACAAGAGAATCTTTTCCAAGGCTGGAACAAAGTATACCACGATCTTCTTTGTTCAATTTGGCATATGGTTTAATCTCAGCCACAATAAGGCCAATAATCACACCGCCATAGACAGCAGCTAAGGCATAAAACCTTGAAGAGCTTGTTATGTCCTCGTACCAGGAGTATGGATAATCTATAGGAAAGAAAGAAATTACGGTAAGGCGCTGATACTTCATGGATGCGTAAGCTCACCTATAGGAAACCAATCTTGACAAAGCGCGCGAACCTCCTCCAGGTCCTCAGGACATAGAAAACGAAGCTGCACTTCGCCAAGAATACAAAGAGGTACAGTGACAGGTGTGACTGACGTTACCGGGGATGAGTGAATATTCCTCGAGGATGATAAATTCGCAGTGGCGTGATCAGAGTGACACTCCGTTTTGACACCCTCGCACTTCTCAACTTCTGGCAAGCTCAGGGTGTAGCGATTAAAGGATGCGGCCATCACGGCACAATTCCTCTCGCATTTTAATAATCATTTGTCGGCCGATCTTGGCTACGTCACGTAGCGTACCGATACCTTTTAATAAACATACTACAGCTTGCAGACATCTTGCTTTCGTGTTTTCTTTCTTTTTTTTTTACATAGATATTCACTTGGCTTAAAGTTCCTATAGAGGGTGCACCTGCTGAAAATGGTACTCATCAGAATTCTCTAGGCAGGAAGTTAAGTTCCCTAGGATTTAAGTGCACTCCAAAATTGGAATTGGGGATCAGCTGTTTTCTACTTCATTCTTGGATCTTCGCATTCGCTGTATTCCGTTCTGGTGATCATCAGCATCATCAGGGTACGGCAATGGCGGCAAATAAGAGTGTAACTGTCCTGGTACCTAATGGACGTCGACAAAATGTCAAAGTCACGGCAAATACAACCATTTTACAGGTAAGAAGATTGATCTTTTTCTTTGAGCCTTGTGATTGAACTTATTGTTTTGACTTGTAGGTCCTTGAGGAAGTCTGTCAGAAGCATGGTTATAATCCTCAGGAATATGATGTCAAGTCAGCATAATTTGAATTTTTATTCAACCTATAAATCTATAAACATTTATTTTATGGTTACATTATTCACTCAATTTCTTGTAGGCATTACAACAAGGTCTTGGATGTCAATTCCATATTCCGCTTCACTGGTTTACCAAATAATGCTCAATTAGAATTGACAGCTTGTACAAAACCAAGACAGGAGTCCAATGTTACTATTGGTATACAGTTGGAAAGTGGAGAGCGTCTGATGGGAGACTTTCCTCCTAGGACGCCATTGAATCAAATTCTGATGAAATTATGTCCTAACGAATCATTTTCTACTGCAATTCTAATTTATATGCATCGTGAGGTATCTTCTTATTCATTCTATTAAACACTGTACTCTATGTAGAAGTCTAAGAGTATGAATTCACAGATCTATGGGCAAGAGGATCTAGAATCAACTACCCTCAAGTCACTAGGACTTTGCAGTGGCAGGGCAATACTGAGATTAATTCATCGCGATCCGTCTCAGTTGAAAACACAAGCCCACGTTTATGTGCCTTCAACTCCAAAGCCTTCCAAAGAGGATAATTCTTCTGAGGATGAGACACGTTCAAGGCCATCCTCATCTTCGCTCATAGACCCTCACAAATCATTAGATCCTATTACGTTACTAAGAGCACAAAAAGCAAAATTACAGTCACTGGATAGTTCCAAAGACAATAAAGAAAATCAACGAGAATTAATAGAGAATACAAATTCATTAAAATCACAAAAGGATGCAGAAGTTTCTGACAAGGAATCTTCAACAAAGTCAACAGAATGCATAAAACCAAATGAATTAAGTATTTCACCTACAGAGGAACCAACAGTAACATTTGTAAGAAATTTTATTTTATATCCTAGAAAATACTATGGATTATATAATCTGATATTCATTCTCTTTATTATTCTAGTTGGGCGAGAGAAACGCTTTGCTCTTTAACCAAGCAGGAGCTGAAGCTCTACCTCGTGAGGAACTTCCAGATAATTTCTTTGAATTGACAGTTCATGATGCAAAAGCACTTTTGCGGGATATTAAAAAAAGAAGAGAGGAGCTTGAAGAAGCTCCATTGCAGACTGTGTCACAGCGTGAACTAGATCACAATAAACGGACATTACAACAACTACATAAATATCGTCGAACAGTGATTAGGATACAATTTCCAGATCAAATGGTACTGCAGGGTCTATTTGGACCACTCGAAACGATTCAGACTATCAAAGATTTTGTGAAAAATTATTTGGCAAACCCTGACGTCGACTTTATCCTATGTAAGTTCTCACCTTTGGAGAATCTTTTACTGAAAATAATGGATTAATCGTTTTAATTAAATTATTTATCAGATACGACTCCGCCAAAACATATACTTAATTCAGAAAAACGTTTGATTGATGAGGAACTCGTTCCATCAGCCATTCTTCACTATTCTGGAGATTCAGATCTTAAATCAGAAATAAAAACAAAGCTGACAGATCCTCGAGCTGCTGGACTTCAAGCTGTCAAATCAAGGTAAAGTGATACAAGTGTCCAAGAGTCTCAGATTTACAATTAGAATAATTGTCATTATAAATGTTTAGAATGGTCATGACACGAGAGGATCCAGGAACTTCAAACATGGAAAGCATAGAAAATATGGAAGTTGTTGAGACTACAGAGGCTATAGCAGTAACTAATCAGGAGGACCTAGTGGTAGCTGGACCAAGTAGAAATTCATCCGTGACTGAAAATCAAGAATCAAGTAAATCAGGAAAGAGTCAAGTACCAAAATGGTTCAAACCATTCAAATGACAAGGTTCAGAGTATGGAAACGTGTATAAAAAAGATCGTGAGTGCAAACCACAACGTTTACTAGTTTATTAAATTTGTATATCATTGTGCATTTAATGAACAAAAAATTATAAAAAATATAAAGCACGTGGAATCGCGTATTTGAACGAGTCTTTTGATGCGTATCAATTACATTTATACGTCAAACTTAAAAAACAATCGTAAACAAACTAAAATAAAATGTACTCCTTTCATTAGGAACATACATGACTTGTAGTTCTCGGTGATATGTCGCGTTGTAAGTTAAATATATAATCATGTGGAATAGACGTATTTCTTATATCTTAGTTTGCAATCATTGTATGACGATTCTTAAAATTAATGGACAAAAGCCAGCTGCTTTAAAATAATCAACATATCAGTCTCATTTAGTTCTATCGTGAGACTGGATATGATGTTCTATTTAAGCTGACCCTTGCTTAGAAGCATAAAAGAATCTCCAGCTTTAGTTTATCATTGTAGTATCTTCGATGCACTTATTAGCTTTGTAGATCAGGTGGTACAGTCGTTGGCGATTGAAGTTGGAGATGCATCAGACGTCTGATAGGACCGCCAATTATGTTGCCAGCTGGTCCGGAACCACCAGCTTCTTCCTCGATGCTCTCTTTGAGGTTAGCTTCTATTGTATCAACGTTTTTCTTTTCTGCGTAACCGTCCTTTAATTCCCGCTGAAGCTGAGAATCGAGGAGACGCATGTGATTGTCAAATTCGCCTCCTCTGTCTTCGTCGTCACCTCCTAAAGAACCTTCTGAGCTACCCTCAAATTCACTGTCACTACCAGGTACAACAAGATCTAAAATGTCCCTCAAGCTACTGTCAAAGACATCCGAGTCAAAGTCTATCCGACCGTGCTCTTCTGGAGTGGTTTTCATGTCTTCGTTCTCACCCAAGTCTCTGTAACAAATAATTATCTTCAACAAATTTTATCTTATGGTGATGATGTCTTTTGAGGTCTGTCAGATATATTACCCTTGAAATTGAACACCATCTATGTCACTTTTCTGATTGAGAAAAGATTGGACTTTTTCACGAAGTCCTAAGGGTTCCTGGTTGCGTTTTTTATCACTTCCACCATAGTGCTGACCCAACATCATTTCTAACTGTGCTGGGTCAACATTCAACCAACTATCACTGTCTGCAGGACTTAGTGATGCCTCATCCTGAGCTGTTAAATTTAAAGTTTTAAGTGTTAAGAACAAATGTATCACCATTAGTGTTATGATAAAGGAAGATTACCTTGCATCTCGATATCACAAGTCTGAACATTTTTCCAAGCTGTCAAAACTCTGTGGGCATCGCTTTCGCTCTGTAGTATTAAGGAGTTGGCAACATTTGAATGTTCCAGAAAATAATACCTTGCAGACCGTAGAAGCTTATCACGTTCCTGGCTTCCTTCTAATAGATCTTTAAAGTAACCACTGGATTCCAATTTCTTAAGATATACTTTCCAAGCAACTTCTTGAAAGTCCCATTCCAAATCATTATCAATGTCCATTTTTTCTCCACCTTTTCGCCTATATTCGTCGTTAGCACTTGCTACTAACAATTCTAAACCGCATGCTATTTTCACTCCTAGCAAATGTGCATTATAATTGGAACTATTTGTTGGTGGTAAGTTCCAACCTGTTCGCGGATCTCCGGTATAGCGGCAATGAGTAGCCATGGCGTATAAACATTTAGTCATCTTCACATTGACCATTATACGTTGTTCTGGTGGAAAATATCTCATTGCTCTACAAACCTGAAGAAAAATATGGTTACCGTATATACTCTTGGAAGAAGTCTTATTTATCATCAATTATAAATTGTGGAGGTAATTATTACCTTTCGCTCAAATGGATCTGAGTGACATATTGTTCTGATGGCAGATGATATTAAACCAGGTTCTTGATGTAGAATTGATGCCGCTTTCTCTGGTAAATAAGCTCTGGCTTTATGCTTTCTTTTTTCAATTTCATCAGGATAAACTTCAAGTCGTTTCTTAATGGCAGCTTGAACTTGGTCTGACATTTTGGTAACTTGTGGTCTTTCGTTAACAATTTTTAACAGTTCTATAAGAGATTTCTTTCTGTCTTTAATGGCATGAATAGCTCCATCGCGAATGAATACACGATCTTGACAAGTTTCAGGATCAGCCCATGGTGGCAGAACATTTGCAGCTTCTATTAATAAAAACTCGCCATCAGCATCCACCAGTCTAGCAATTAAACCATCAAAAGTTTGAGTAAGTTTGAACACCAGAAAAACAGTGAACCATTCATCTCCAACATCTTCATCGTAACACAATCTGGCAAAGATATGAGGTGGAATCTGAGATTCTGTAAAGTAACCACAAAAAAATAATATACGAAAGAGCTTAAAGTCAAACTCAAACTATAAAGCATTTTGACATTTACCTTCGGAGCTGGTAAATCCTTCAAGAACTTTCTCTAATAAGATTCCTCTTTTGGTCTTTGGACAAAACACAAGTGGATCCCTGTGCCAGATATAATTATCTGTATACTTTGCAATTTCCTTTTTATACTTTTCAATCTCCTCAAAAAGGGTTGTCTCAGTCACCTGCTCGGAATTTGGATCATAACAAAATTTTGGATACAAAAAGCATTCAAGAACGTCGTCCTCCCTATTTCTAGAAGTAACGGTATTCGCCATTCTCTTAGACATTAGTATTCCTTTCCTTCCAGTCACGCTTCTTTTTTAGTTTTCTTGCCCTGATTAATCACAGCTAATTAGATACTTCTGTCATTTAACGTCGAACCTTGTTGACAAAAATGAAATGTCGTTAACTACGTTCGGATTGGAGCAATCGCGGTATCTTGAGCAATCTTGAGCAACTTTACGTCTGAACAACTGACCTAATATATTACGTGCCGACTTCTTACTTGCGTGAAGTTGGTCGGCCAACTTTTATTTTTTAAACTTTTTTTTATTCCAATCGTTTGATAGTCGTTTGATAGTGTTTGATAGTCTTGTAAAAATGTTTGATAGTCAATAGTTTTTTCAGAAAATCAAAATCGAAATGACATATAAAGTACCTACAAACGACCTACAAACGATTGCATATGAGCAAAACACGATTAGTTTATAAAATATTTGAATGAGGGGCTAACATAAAGAAAAATTCCCTAGAAAATTAATTTTAATATTATAAATAAATGATGGACTATCAAACGTCGTGGATGCAATATCAAACACTTACAAACGACCTACAAACGATTGCATATGAGCAAAACACGATTAGTTTATAAAATATTTGAATGAGGGGCTAACATAAAGAAAAATTCCCTAGAAAATTAATTTTAATATTATAAATAAATGATGGACTATCAAACGTCGTGGATGCAATATCAAACACTTACAAACGACCTACAAACGATTGCAAAAAAAATAATTCAAATCCGTTATAGATGAGGGGCTAACTACGTGGAGCCTTGATTCGCATATGGTTTTCCCATTTTTCTTGCAAACGATGGACTATTAAACGTTTCTATTAGTCAATTCGTAACTATCAATCGATTTCGCATCGATTGAGCCCTGGAAAAGCTATAAGTCCATTCGTAGAAGCTTTCTCATGTGCGCCGGAGAACTATAGGTGTGTTCGAAAATGAGCCGAGAGCGGAGAGCGCATCGTTGTTTCTCTGTTCATTGGATGCATCTGATCGCGACACTGATATCTGAAAGAAACTATTGACTATCAAACGTTTTTACAAGACTATCAAACACTATCGAACGAGTATCAAACGACTATCAAACGATTGGAAGTAGAAAAAGTTTGTTATGTTGTCTAAGTCAATGGATACACCGATCGAGGAATCGATTGTATCGTATCGATTGGGATCCTTGATACGCATATGGTATTTCTCATTTTTCTTGCAAACGATGCACTATCAAACGTTTTTATTAATTCATTCTCAACTATCAAACGATAGTTGTAGATAGGGTTACGGTAAGTCAATGGCGCCCTAACTGCCCTGAGGATGCTTGAGGACGCCACCGTCGTTGTTCTTTGAGGAAGGGGGTACAAGGCTGACAGTACTCTCGTCGCCGGGAATCACCGAAGATACATTCAGGATTGCTTAGGAATCTGTGATCCGAATGGCAGGCGCGCTGTCATCGACAAAGTTGATTGATTGAAATCATGAGAGCCCAGAGATTAAGGATTAGCGGTGCGTCGTGATCGGAGAAGATGGCCGTGGCGAAGGGTCATCTCGACGGCAGATCGTCAAGTTGTCTGAGAAAGTATAGGATTTTCTTCGTTTTCGGCATAACTATACTTGTAGCTCAGGTTTACTTGGCGTATATGTTTTTTGCCTTGGAAAATGAGGACCGTAAAATCGTACGACTCTTCTCGGGTGAGGTAAGATCTTGGTTAACCTTTTGTACAGTTGTGACAGTGATTGTTCTGCCAAGTGTTTGGCTTGTATCCAAACGTCCTAGATAATTTTGGCAATAATGCTAATTACTGTTGGCTTTTGCTTAATTCTTAATATTATGTATTTTGATACAGGGTGACTCTTCGCAGCCTGAAGAGGGTGAAGGTTTACCAAAGGGATCTCGCCAGTTGAAACTTCCTCCTGATAAACAAGGAAACACTAACAAATCTTTTCAATCTCATCGTAATCGCACCACACGTGTGAAATTGGATTTGAAGTCGTTAAACTTTACTCCAGGGTGTGAAGTTACTGGCAGAGAGGCAGTGAGTGCAGTAACTCGAGCACAGAGTCAAAAATGCAAACAACGCATTGTCAATGTGACGTGCCTTAGTCAGCAGGGTTTACTTTACCCTGAAAAATTACAATCTTGGTGCCCACACTCTTTAGGATTCTCAGTCATGCCAAAAAGCTTGGGTTGCTTTACAGATGACAAGACTCCAAAGTTATTGTCGGGTTACTACGCCGTTTTTAAGGGGAACAACTCTCCAGACCGTTGTGCATATGTCTGTCTACAATCAGGGTATCCTTATGCAGGAGTTGAATACTCGTTAGTATCTCAAACTAAAAAAATATTAAACCTTGAATATTTTCACTCATCGAAATCTTTCAGGTCTGACTGTTACTGCGGTATGGAGGAACCACCACAGACAAAACGTTTACCAGATTCTAGTTGCAATATGAAATGTCCTGGAGAATCAAAATATTCCTGTGGCGGTTACTTGACTATTAACGTCTTTTGGACAGGAATTCAAAGTACCTGATATTTTACTACCACCTTGCTTAAAAAATCCCAGAAATAGTAATGAATATTTGCACTTTTACAGGGTTTAAGGCACAAGAAGCCAGAAACTCAAGTTCGAGAACTGCAAAAGAAACACCAGCACGAATTGCCTACTTATTGACTGTAAATGGTAGGGCAAGTCGTCAAGTTAAAAGACTTATCAGTATTCTTTACGAGCCTTCGCATCTTTTTTACATTCATGTCGATGCGGTAATTAGATGACCCATTAACGCTTCTTCCTTACTCAAAGTTAGCAGTCGTATAATTCCATATTTCTATTTCAGAGGCAAGATTATTTGTATCGTGAAATGTTGAAGGTAGAAAAAATGTGTAAATTAAAGAACATAAGGGTAGCACGTGGTGCAGGTCTACGCCATGCAAGTATCTGGGGTGGAGCGAGTCTCCTGACCACGCTATTGAGTTCTGCACGGGAGATTTTGTCCGATCCTCATCACTGGGACTTCCTTGTAAATTTATCAGAGTCAGACTTCCCAGTGAAAAGTAATGCTCGGCTGATCGAATTTCTCACTTGGAACAAGGGTATGAATTTTGTTAAATCTCATGGCAGAGAAGTTCAAAGATTCATCACGAAGCAGGGATTGGATAAAACCTTTGTAGAATGCGAAGCACGTATGTGGCGAGTTGGTGATCGAAAATTACCATTAGGTATGCTATTCGCAATGGATACTAATATTCTCAATAAATTATTGGATATATATATAGTGCACGAAAAATATTTCAGGTATTCAGGTAGACGGTGGTAGCGATTGGGTAGCGCTAAGTCGCGATTTTGTGGAGTACGTTACGAAATCAATGCCAGATCCCTTAGTATCTGGTTTACTAAAAGTATTTCAGTACACATTACTGCCAGCCGAGTCGTTCTTCCACACAGTATTGCGTAACTCACGTTTCTGCGACACTTACGTTGACAACAATTTACATGTGACCAATTGGAAACGAAAATTGGGCTGCAAGTGCCAGTATCGAGCAGTAGTCGATTGGTGTGGATGCAGTCCGAACGACTTCAAACTTGAAGACTTCAGTCGAATAAGAAATACGGCCGAACGGAATTTATTTTTTGCTAGAAAGTTCGAGCCGGTTATTGATCAGAGGATAATTGACAGAGTAGAGGAATGGCTATATCCTAGCAAATCAAATGTCACAACCAGATCGAAGGGATACGACATGTATTGGCAGAGTCTCTACCATCACGGAGACCTGAGTCCAGTAGCTGATGATGCTCTACTCACAATTTCTAGTTCCCTTGCCAGATTAGCTTTTCGTAAAATCAAAGTCGATCCGAGGAAAATCAATCTTTTGGAAACGACTGCATACTTCAAACAAAATCATTTCGCTGGGGTTTTAATTAGAGCTGAAGTGAATACAAAGAATTTTGAATCCTCGACATTCCAACATGATTTTCCTGATCGGATAGAATCACTCGTTTACCTCAAACGTAATTATTCTACGAGCAGAACATGGCTGGGGAGAATACAGACTCTCTTGGTGGGTACAGATTACGATCAAAAAGAACAGACCTTTAGAAATCTATTGGGAGGAATTGGTCCGTTGTCTAGTCCTGTTCTATTTTATGAATTTGATGCTGGTCTGGTTACTCCAAGAAATCTCTCAGTTCTCTGGGTGGATCCTCATGGAAAATTGGCTGACGTTAATCAGTTGCAACTGGAAGAAATGGCATTGGTAACTGAATCAGTACAATTCTCTAACATATTAATTATTTTGCTGCATTGATAATCAACCCTCACTTCTTTTTAGAATGGACACGTCAAGCCTCAACTTGGAGACTGTCTAGTAATTGGTACGTGGAAAGTAATATTGGTATCAGACTCTGCAGTAGTAGCAAAGTTAAATTTTCTTGTAACGCCTTTGGCGTATTGGAAAAATCAGAGAATTAGTGCTGCAAAGGCGAGAGAACTACACAGTGGTCCATCTACTCCCTATCAGATTTCAGAGGATATTAACGAAAGGTGGAAAAGTTTTCTAGAAACTAAGACTCGTCCTGAGAACGTCTTCGAGAAAAGGACAAATTCTGAAAACGATCAATGGATCGACACGTTAGTATCTGAATATTATGAAGTTGATAGGACATGTTACGCCGCTGATAACATATCTGCTGTTAGAAAATCTAAGATTAAATTACAAAGATGTTTTGAGACCGACTGGAGCTCATTGAGCCCTGATCCAAAGGCTGATATTGAGAATCTATGTCAAAACTAATCTACCAAAAAGAACAAAAAATACGTGCCATTCCCAAAATCACAAGCTCATCGCGCCATTGCAAGAATCATCAATCTCTTAGATATTTTTATAATGACCATGCCTGTATATACCTCATCGTATTTGTATTTATAAAAATATATGACGCGATCTACCTTTTAATACATTCGACGTTACTACCATACGAGTTCTCTTAATTTCACAACCTTAAGTACGCACCGGCCGATGAACAAGTAAAATGGGTGTCGGACTCGAACACCGAGAAATTTGATTTTCGCGATATTTATTGTAATAACAGCGAAAATTTCTTAACAAGATCACTTCTTTTCTGTACAATCAAAAGGAAATTCCTAGCAGATGAATTAATTGTAACGTATCAAACAAGTTCAGATTTCCTTTTTTTGTGAACAACGTCGTCTCCGAGCTCTACGAGTCGGTAATTTAATGCATAAAACATAGTAAACTGGTATTCAGTCTATTAAATACTTGCTCTTCTTGAACATCTCGAACACATAGTCTTCCGATAGAAAAACATTTTATGAGTACCATTTAACGTTTCAACGCCAGAAGGATTTGCTGTTTGATCTTCATGTACATTAGAAAAATTACTACATTAACAAGATGATCTATTTATGTACAGAGAAAATACGACTACGATTTTCGTTTATATATAAGTTTCTCTTTATACATATTTATGTATATATAGACATGACCGCACGATCATAGAGACGAATTACAGGGACTCGTACGAATGCGTAAAACTTTCCTAATGTCTCGATATTCTCAACTGGTTAGATATTAGCTTAAAGTATTAATTTGTTTTTCTCTGTAAAACGCCAATGACTACAATTAGTTTTGTACAAGAAATATATCCTATCGTTCAATTAAGTTCTGGAGTGAGGTAAGTTTCGAAAGAACCTGAGAGCCAGGAAATTACTTCCTACAGGCTTTCGTAATCGATAGAAATATCGTTTTATCGAAATTACCTACGTTCATTTCCGAAAATCGAATTTAATCGATTGTGATTCCTTAAGAAGAAGCTACCATTTGCTCTTGCTTCTTCTAGGTAAAACTTTTAGTTCGACACATTTTCTATACTTGCACTATACAAACTGCTCCGAACTGTTGGCACTGAGGTCCAAAAGTCGCCATGCTGCTCTTGGATTCAATTCCGTTGGGTCACGACATAATACCCAGACATAGTTGACTCTCATAACTTTCTCAGGATCCCCCTCGACAACTTTGTTCTCAGAGTTTCTTACACACATTATTTGCTGGGATTGAAAACTTATTATTAACACTGGACCCTGTTCCATTACCTTGCCCATTACTAGATCCACATTATCGATATCTGAAAGAGAACAGTTTTAAATTTAATATCAATGTTTTCACAATCAAATTGAGCTTTTAAAACTGATGGAAGATATACCAAGTATTTTGTTATCCAGGTAGAGTCCTAATTTTTTTGCTTGTTGCAAGGGCTGTGCTATCAGGTTATAAGGTGCTTCGTGGCACCAGTCCTTTAGGATCTCTAAGTCACCTCTGACCATTGCTTCAAGGATGTTGGGAATGATATCCGTCTCACAATCTCTTAAGAATTTGGCCTTGTCGAAACTAGGATCCAGCTTGCAGATCTCTGTCAAAGTTTCAGAGAGTTCAGTCTTCTGAAATAGACCGCCCATTATGTCGCTGACTTTGTCAGTGAGAAGTCGTGAGGCACGGATCACTGGGTTATCCGATTCCTCATACTTAATCTTCCAGTCTAGAACTTTATTCACGTACGGATTGTGATCCTGGAATCAGAAGAATAGAATAGTTGATAGTATTGTTCAGGAAAGTTTTCATCTATACAGATACCATGTTCCGATAAACAATTATATACCTTGAAGTTTTGCCACGACTGATAAAACTTGGAATCCTTGTGCAATTCGACTCCGGTTGCCTCTTCATTGGCTTCGATTGGTCTATCCTCTGCATTGACCAAAACTTCTACTCTTTTTCTTAATTTTCTAGGTGGTACGTAAACACGACCTGTAATTTACACATATATGAGCATCATTTCAAAGAAAGAATAGTTGGGAAGTGTATGTACAAACCTTGTATGCCATGTTGGTCAAGTTCTTTACGTACAGCTTCTGCTGTCTGGGATATCGTCTGAAAAGCTCCGGTCTTACCAAGTGCTTGACTCTTTTCCGTAATTGTCTCTGCTGCATCTTTGGCTGATTTGGAAATTTCCTCAGTTATTTGACCAGCTTTCTTGCCTAATTCGCTTTTACTGGCTTCTTCAATGACTTCATGCACCTGGAAAGTAAGTCAGTTAGGGATTATTACTTTAAAAAAGTACTTGTAATGCCTAATAAAGATTCTTCAATACCTTCTCCTTTAGACTGTCTAGTTTTTCTTTAAAAACTTCAGAGCCTTTGTTGGCTTCAGACTCAACAGAGTGGAACTTCTGCCTTGCAGACTTCAGTGCATCGGAGTGTTCAAGTTTTTCAGCTTCTTCACGGAATTTCTTTAACGACTCTTTCATTTCCTTATTTTTCTGTATGTCTTGTTTTATGTTCTCCACAAATTGTGAAAAAAAACTCGGCCGTCGTGCAGGATTTGTATAAGGACGGAGCTAAAATATAAAGTAGCATTAATGATAATTGAAATGTACTGTAGAAATTTGTTCAATGAAAATTCAGATAACAAACCGATGTGACTTGTAGTTCTGAAATTTGGCTAGATAATAAGGTAAGTGATGAACTTCGTAATGTCCTCTGGTCTTTCTGTCCATTATTTAATCTGTTTCTTGTTTGAGTAGAACGAGCTGCTCCTGCCAGACTCGTTCTGTATGCAGCAAAGTTCTGAAACTACATAAAACAATCAAATTTATTTTAAAAAAAGATTACATTTAACAGCCACCCCACTACATATCCGCTTTAAGAAAATGTCAATATACCAACTAGTCTCTGCATTATATGTAAAGAATACTTCTATAGCTATATCAATTTGCTGATATAATCATGACTAATAGGAAATACAGGACCGTACATTAGGTGTTATGAAGAACATAAAATATACAAATTACGTCAATAATTATTTCACGAAAAAATTAATAATTGAATTTTACTGATGCAATAGGAATTAACATGAGGGAAAAAGATCCCACGAGAAACGTAACCTCGTTCTGGAATGAGTAGATGCCGGTTTGCTTAGTTGAAAGTGTATGAATGTCCGTGGTAGCATTTTAAAGGGAATAGAAATCTTGGATTTGATGATGTCGTAATGACGGGTACTGTCTCTTTAGTTAGTAATCGAGAAGAATTACCATTTTACGAGCGATTTATCTTGGACCTTTAACAAAAATCTTGAAGAGCCAGCGAATGTGGTGCCGCACCACGAGTAACGTGACAAACTGGATGTGCGAAGATCATTTCTCATCCTCTAGGTTGGTTATTTCCTTGAGAATTCGCAAGTATCGCATGCTTACATGTGGAATATTATTAACCGAAATAATGAAACATTGTACTTACCGGTCGTCTCATTATTTATTGGGAAAACCATATATGGATTTTTCGCTGCAATTTACATCATTGCATTATTGACAAGTGACCTTTCACTGTTATCTCATGAAATAAAGTCGATAAACCATTCAGTTTTGAAGATGAAAGAAGTCTATCCACATTACTTAATTTATTCTGTGATTATTGACTTTTTCAATTTCCATAGAACTTTTTAAATCAAGATTAGAAGAATCTTTCCTCACTGAATCTTAAGTAATGGCATCTCTGTAGAATGAATTAGGCAATTTCTATGACTAATGCAAGCATAGTACTGTTATCTTTAAGTGGCATTGATAATTATCAAAATGTTTAAGGATACTTAGGTAATAAGGTGGTTCTTTTTTTAGGGGCATGACAACTTTGATATTTGGAATAGGTTTAGGACTGTTCATTGTACTCTGCCTTTGGGTATCGGCTGGACTAATTTGTCTGGTTTCCTTAAGGATAGAGAGAAGAATTGGTGCTATAGCTTTGTGCATTGCAACAGCAGCTACAATAATTTTGGTCAGTCTGCCACGATCTACAGAGACACCAAGTGTTCGGGAAGACAAGGTATAAATATAGTTTTTCTCTTGCAATTGTTTGACTGATTAAAATGTTTTATATTCTGGTTTACAGCTGTATGATCATCTCTTTGTTTGGCGTATAATACTCTTAATCCTACTCGCTGTGTCTTCCCTGGTTGGATTTTTGGCCTACTTCAAGTTTGAATTACTGGAACCTATTAAACCTATGAGAATATCAACTTGGGTTCATTAATATTAAGATCTTATAGGATATCTATTGTATAACGATCATTACAATCCTTCTAGAGCTTTTGGAAGCTGCTATACATTTCTGAAGTACAAAAATAAGGGCCAGCAACTATTTTAAAAATAGTTAAACGAGACGAATTGTAGAAGTTAATTTATTTTTTGCAGTATCTACGATATTTTGTATTGTTTTAGATTAACTCTTTGCCTTTAGCTATGACAATCTGAAACTGTACTTACAGAGTACTTTAGAAACAATAACTTTCTCATATTTATTGTATATAAACTCCTATATACAAGATGTTACGGACCTTCAGAAACACACTTAAATTTTCGACACGTGGAATTTCATTGTTAAGTCGTAGCAACAAATGTTTTGCCATAAATGATAACACGGAGTTCGTCGACAAAGTGATGAACAGTGATGTGCCTGTAATAGTGAATTTCCATGCGGAATGGTGTGATCCATGCAAAATTTTAACTCCTAAGCTTGAGGAATTAGTTGGTCCTATGGAGAATTTGCATTTGGCAATTGTTAATGTAGAACTAAATCCTGAATTAGTTCATACATTCGAAGTGAAGGCTGTACCTGCTGTCATTGCTGTTAGTAATGGTTTGGTAGTGGACAAATTCATAGGACTTGTAGAAGCTAATATGATAGAGAATTTGATACAGAAACTTACTAGCAAGAATAGTTCTGGTAAGCAGAATAACAGTACTTAAATAAATGTCATTCGCCATGACAAGGTCACATTCTAAAAAAAATATTGAATGACTACATTTATGCGCATTGCACATAAATCTAATTCATACTGGAACATAGTAAAATATACTTAAAGAATATTAGCCTGCCATACCATTTCTTTATTATAGTACTCTCAAGTAGTATACATTAGTAGAAATAATCAAAGTTTCGTAACATCAACATAAATGTAGTCAATTTCACTCATTTATTATTAAAGTTTGTCTCGTTCTCCATTAGAATGTGTTACACTCAGTAATTTTTTTATCATGACTTATATTTTAACAAAACAGACGTATCTAACAAAAGATATAACTTCAGAGAATATTTGCCAGTTTTTCGGTTAAATAAAAATATAATAATTAGGATTTCAAATGTCTCGATATTTAATGTAAATTAAAATTAAGAAGTATATAAAAAAGAAAAGACCACAGGCAAATAAGCCTCTATATATGTTATATATAAAAATATTGAATTTGGCCTTCGTACCTCCAATACTTAACATAAAATTATGTCCTCTGACATTCAACGAATAATCGTATATGAAAACATGAGAACTATGAAAGCTATTTAGAAATAAACGAGTGTTTCTGAAAAAATTAAATGTGTGTCTTTGTTTATTAATGAATATTTCTTGGAATAGTAACTTTTATGGTAAACCAGTTCACGTAGACTTCTTCGATAGCATATGACGATACACTACCATATTAATATAAGATAATTACAAAATCATTCTAATACAAGTTCATATTATATAATACAACTGGGTTCATGATCAAGGATCCTCCTAATTTATTATATCAGCAATATACAGTGTGGCATTTATCATATCATTCGGATATGAAAAGAAAATCCAACCAAGATTACAAGTGATATCCGAATGATCTGACTTATTTTATATTCCTGAAATAATGAAAAAGTTCATCTTTCTTTGCTCCATTTTATACTACACACTTCTTAAAATTCGCTCAATAATTTTCAGCCTATTAGATTCGTTAATTACAATACGACAGTATCAATGTTTTAAGTATTCGATATTATATATAATATAACAATTACGTTATTTACAATATTAATCATAATTTATTCTCTATCGGATTGAAATACTTCTGACCCAGACAATACAGATCAATTCGAATAATTCGTTGCGAGATCACGTCATATAATTTTGCCCAAAAATACTGAGAAAGTAATACAGATTGATCAAATCTACAATTTCTGTACAATCTGGGTAAAGCATCAGATATCGAAGAATATAGGCCATAGGCTTAAACGAAAAAAAGCGTTGCTTCAGAATATTTCTTCAGACAGGAGACAATTTTTTTATTTTCCCTCGAAGTTTTTTTCCGGCAAGAAGCAAAATACACCAGTTGGACGCTAGCAATTTAAGTGACTAGCCATAAGAATTTCATCTTTTTAATTTTATCATATTTTATTCACTTTTTTTTATTTATTTCATCAGTCAGGCGCTTTCGACACACCGTGATAAGGCAATGCTGTGATTCGCTGGTCACTCGCAAAAAATATCTATACAAAGAAGAGATACTACATAGAGAAGTAATAGGTAGAAGACAGCTGTCTATTCTTCTATATATATAAAAAGACAAAGAAAAAGGAGTATCAAAAAATATACAAGAGAAAAAGATGAAGCAATCCTCGAATTTGTTCTCAGACCTTCAGATATCGTGTAGAATCTTTGCAAGCAACCGTGCGTTTTTATTTATATATATATATATATATATACTTTTTAAATAACGTAAATATATATTTTTTCTATGAACATGTGTAACAATTAGTAACGAAGTGACAAGTAATTTAAAAAAAAGTAACGATCTCGAACAACATACACTACCTGACATAATTAAAAGATGTATATACAAAACAAATAGAGAGAAGCGCGTGTACCTTAGGACGGAGGTACCAAAGTGTCAAATTGAATTTCCTAGAGGGAAGAAAAAAGAGTAATAATTCTTGTACACTCCAGAAAATCATGATTCTGTGAGAACATAATAAAAGTATCTAACAATCGATGCGAGCAGTAGAAAACTCTAGGTACATATGTGCTAGACGTATTGATACTCGAAAATTTGCATTACACTATTCTTCATGATCTTTTCACAATTTCATAATTTTCATAACTTTTACTATTCTAGCGCACCGATATGTCCTCTAGATGCTTTCCTTTATACTTGTTTTCCATATAAGGAGCAGCGTTTTTCATAAACTATTATATATTCATATGCCCGTAGACTCGGCAAAGACCGTCTGCAGTGTTCTTATATTCTACAATCAGCTGGCATCTACATCTTAGTGCTACAAGTTAGTTTAAAAAAAAAAACGTAACAAAATGTAGAAAAACACCATCGTTATTTATAATATATGTACAATTCAGTCGATGGGACATGGCTCATTGTCAGTAGTTCAATTGCAAACATCCTCATTGTCATAGCCCATCAACAGTCAGACACTTGGCAGCTTAAAATAATCTGACAAGGAGATACGTCACGTCGGCTTTAACGCTTTCAGTATTTTCTTTTTCATCTAGCAGTTACGAGATACTTATGTATAATACAAGAATTTGGTTTGCGTTAAGAACGTACGCGCTTACTGTGTCCCGCCATGTGTATATATATATAGTAGAAAGTATCGTAGTAATACTATATACAACACTAGTTCGCGATATAACCTTATGTAATATAAATAATTCGAGTGAAAATCGCGACACGAGTTTTTCCCAGCTAATAAGTATAGAAATGCTTCCAGGGCTTACTAAAGAAAATCTGGTCCGTTCTTTGATTTTTTTTTAAGAGCTTGGCGTTTTTTGTGATTAAGAGAACTAAATGAAATATCAGCTAGAAAGTCATATTATACAGGGCAAACGATTGTTTAGCTTTGGCGAGTTCTCAAGGTTATTTTGTCTTTTTTTATCTTTGCCCTTTCGTATTTCTTTCATTCGCCATAAATCTAAAGTATAGTCTCGTATCTCTTCGCACAGAAAAACGGAGACGAGATTATTCTAAAAAATTGTACAAGCTTATAGCTAAACTTGTGTCATATTGTTGGCCGATATTTTCAAATAGTCCTTTCATTGGCTACACTTCAGCTCCGAGATCGCGTACACCTTGTTCAGCTATAGGAACGTATCTCTCATCAATTTTTACAAGCAGGATAACCTTGTCGACATGAGATCGACGATTAGGATCGCGATGATTCGGAGACCATCTATGGACCACACAGCCTTCCATTCCTCTTTCAGGAACCCAATGCTGCCAGCCGGATCTTCCTCCTTGCTGTCTCATCCTCTCGTCCGGCCATATGACGTCTATTCTTCTACCCAGATTTATGGCGTCGTACACTTGATTAGGATCCATGATCTATCATTGAATTATGGATTAATAAAATTATCGATGCATGTACAGAGGACATTGAATAAACTTTAAATACTTACGCGAACCCTTTGAAAGACTTCCTCCTTCTCGAGTTTCGCCGTGAAGCTAGTTTCGCACTTTGACTCTGTTTTAATGTCACTGTTACTAAGTAAACCAGCGAGACTAGCAAGAGTAGAGCTGGTAGGTTTTCCTACAGAGGCTAAGGAGCCTCTGTTACCTCCTAGAGATCCTGTATTGGCACGTCCTAGAGATCCACGTCCCGTTGATCCTCCTATTTGACAACCTGAATCCATTGACTGAGATCCGGACGTATTATGCCCTGACTGACTGTATCCTGCATAGAAAGTAGTATATTACAGTAAAAAATTATAATATTTCTGAGCAATATATATTAATTCTGATACCTGAATGGATGTTGTAAGTTGTCAATGCATAAACGCCATCATTGCCAAATCCTCCATCGTCCTGGGATCCGGTACCACCAGAAGAACAACCCTGACCGCATCTTCTTCTTATTCTGTTGATTAATTATTTATTTAGAGCATATGGGTAAATAATTATATCTTTATATCAATAGGCATACTAACCTTCGCCATAGCGTTAGAACATTACTCTTAATGGCACCCAAGCTCAGTGGACCACCCAGGATGGAACAAAGTTGTTCATTAGTTTCCGCATAACTTGTTGTCAATGGAGAAACATAGATTGGATATCCAATTGGCTGATCGCAAGAGCTATTGATAATATTTCGCAATGCCTGTTTGGCATTCTGTATCGAACCACGTTCAGGATTACGGTTCCTTAGGTATACTAGTTCTTGTTGTTGACCTGCCCAAAGGCCACGTACGCACTCACGATTCATTTTTATCACCCGAAAACTTAAGTATCGTTTGTTCAGCATTATCACTTTATATTCATCGATACCGTCATCAAGTACATGCCTGTCAAATTAAAATTATTCTATGAGGATGCGCCTTGGTTCTCAGTGATAGCTTCTGATGTCAATGTAAATTAAATCCATTTTAATATACCTTAATGCCAGAAGACTAGGAGCTCCTCCGAGAACAGCATTTCTCCAGAGTGGGTCAGCTTCGTGACTTATCACAAGATTCCTGTCATGATTATCAATGGCCTCGTAAAGCGCAGAAGCTTCTTCATACTCGTCAGGACTCATAAAATGATCCTGGTGCAACTTCAACGCCATCCTTACACCTTTGGCCACAACACCGCACAGAAGGTCCACGTCGTGAAGTACCCATTCATCTCTTAAAGACGTTATACGAAAATCCCCTTTAAAAGAAATTGAATAAATCATATGCAACATACTCATTTCATCTCTATAAATTTGTAGTACCTTTGAACAGAGCATGTAGACCATAGAGAAAAAATTCTACACTGGAGACTGTATTGTGATGGGATGCAGCACCAAGTACTCGTCTTCCCAATAAACTTAGAGCCAGACAGAGTGATACCAGACAGGAATCGCGAGTTCTCTCAAGAGACTGTATATCAAAATAATGGGATGATTAAAATTCGATCAATCAGCATTAGAAATATGGGATAATTACCTTGTCATGTTTTACAGCGCAGAACTGTATCCAATCTAGGTAAACGTTGCAAAAACTACTTCTAGTTATACCGCTGGCACGGAAGTCAAAATCTTCGTCGATGTTCATATTAAAAACTGGATCCAGGTCGACGAAATTCTTTTCCAAGGTTGGCTTTAGTGCTTCTAGAATGTCAGGATTCTTTAACCATTGCGGCAGCTTCGGTGACTTGACCGCGTAGAAAATGATGCTCTTAACGTAATAGGTGACCAGGACTTTGCGAAATTCGAACACTTGCAACATGGACACGGCTGAATTATCTGAGATCGAGTATCCCTCGAGGACGTATTTTGCGCTCGCTACCTCCCAGGCCAACCAACGTTGACTGAACGCTGCATTTACACTAAGTACATTTGATAAGTGACCCATTTCACAGCAGCAGCAATTATCATTATCCTCGATGCCTTCGGATATTGCCTCGACCTAGAAGGGATCATTATATCTTTCTAATATTCTTTATGATCAAATGATACATGAATAGCGAATGATACTCACCTCTCTTTGTTGACAGTAAGTACCACGAAATTCCAGTCCTCTCAATTGAAAAGTCACCAAACCGTTACCCAGCTGAATTACATGCACTAAACAGTTCAGATACTCGGACGCAAGAAGGAAACAGTCGCCCTGAGCGACGTTACCCCATCTGCCAAGAGCCAAGTCACCATAGAGACTATGTTGAAGTGACCTGGTGAGTTGCTCATAGAATATAGAGTTGAGATTGTTGTCATCAGCTCCCAAATTTCTTTCCAGATGAGAAGACATTCTTGTATTTGAGTGATCGACTCTTCTAGTTTTGTAATCACGTTCCCAAAACTTCACAGGTCTTACGTAGGATGATATGAAGATTGTACTGCCCAGGAGAGGATTCAGAGGAGTACTGAGAATGGCCGAGATCAATGCTTGGAGAAATAGCATTGCGGAGTGTGGAACAGAAAAGGGCTGTGCGAAGGCATGAAAGGCACTGCCCCAGGTAATTTGCCAGGGTGCTATGTAAGTCACTACGAAGCGGATCTTCAGGAGCAGCTCATAAATCTTAGCGAATGCTATTCCGGTTACGAAATAATCCACGAGGAAGGTTTCACTGAGATCACGAAAATCAAGTTTGAAGAAGAGCACTGCGAAGACGAGTACCAGGTATCTAGTGGAAGCATCCGAATAGGCTGATCTCAAAGATTTTAATCCACACACCACCACGATTAGGGCTCCGACACCCTCACCAAATTTTGATACAATCTTCGAGGAACACTCAGTGAGGGCACCAAGAAAAACCACTGGATAAAGTATATTCCTTTCAAAAAAAGAAAGACACACGTAAACTTTCTCGAACCACATGATTTTCGCTTGTTCACGGACTTCGAATTGTGCATGTTCGTGACTCCGTAGAACAGGTCTCGCCAAACACAACCAGGGTAGTTGCTTTCGTAGCTGGGGTACTATGTAGTGTAGTAGAAATCCGAGACAACTAGCAATGCCCCATAGGACAGGATTCAGCTCAGGTTGTAAGGCAGTGAACACTGTAGAACAGTGAATAGCAAATGACAGTACTCCAATCACTGTACAGACTATTAGATCATTCTTCAATCTTGCGTTTACAGTTGATCTTAGTTTTTGTGGCAGAGGATCGATTACCTCCGAATCCGAGATCTGTTCTCCGACCTTGATCTTGACATCTTTTTTTTTCCCTGATGATCTGATCTTAGTATCCTTGAAAGTGGTCGTACCTGGAATCTCTTTATCAGCAGTGTTCTCAATTACTTTAGCTTCTTTCTCTTCAAGATATATTTCCGGTGGCCATAGATTTGTTTTTACAATGTCCCAGATGACACTTGGATCTGATGATGATCTACTTAGGTGGTAAGAAATGGCCACAAGCAGTCCAACGAAAATGGAGAACAATATATGCTGCGATGACTTTGGTTCTGTCAATGCTCCGTAGGCAAATCCATAGAGTATAAGGACAGTGATGACACTTCGCAACAAGCAGTATATCGATGACACCAGACTAGTAGTAGCATTACCACCGAATAAATGTATATCAATGTGTTCGCACAGGTACATGAGAAACGTATTGATCTGTGGAAAGAGTCCCAGGGAAAACACCAATGGAAAAAACAAGAGAAACACCAGTAACACATTACGCACTTGAAGTATCACGTCATAGTCCGAGACACGAAGTCCATAAACACGAAAATCAGAACTTTTGAAGTTTTTTAAGGACTCGCTAAAAATCAGCACTAATCCTGAGCACAGTACATAGTAAATCGGTCTTGAGAACACGACAATTCTATTAAAACCATGAGTCGGCGACGCGGCATCAGGTTGTACAGACTTTAACAAGGAGTACTGACACCCGGCAGTCACAAAACAAAATATAAATGCAAAAATGTCACGGTAGAATCCTTGCTGGAGAAGTAGCAATCCCAGACCAGCAACGGCAACAGCTAATAATGTAGAAACGATTGTCTCGAGTATAGTTAAATTTCTATCCAGCAACGCCAGCAACGCAAGACGATCGAAACGCACTTTTATATGAGGTAGCTTTCCGATTTTCCATTTATAATAATGTCTAGATGGTTCAGACTTTAACTTATTGGGCCCATCCAAACCACCGATGAATCTGTTCCAGGAGAGGCTCGTATTATTCTCTGTCTCCTGGTGCGTAGGCAGTGCTAGCACAGGCACCTGATTGTTCGTCTCATTATTATAAGGAGTCAAGCTATCCAATAAATTCTGGAAGTGTCTACTTGTCTCTGCTGGGAAATCCGTATGCAACCGTGGAAAGCCATACCTCTCGTTACTCTCCAGGACACACTGAGTTGAACTGCCAGGATTTGATGAGACCAAATTTTTCGGTAAAGTATTCTGAGTTTTCGTTTGATTATTCTCAGGGCTAGACAAAACCGGTGGGGTATCGATGATAACAGTTAAGCCAGCTGAGTTTAAGGAAAGGCTGCTGTAACTGTTGCTCAGTGAATCAGTCAGGTCCCAATTAGCATCATAGTGCAAACTTTGATTAAGTTGTTGACGTAGTAAAGTATTTAAAAGTTTTCCATGACTGTTGGTTGGGATCTGAGTAGCTGTAGCAATGCCGGTACCTTTCTCATCAAAGGTATAAGCCAGCCAGCGACCATTTTCATCTCGAAAACAATGAACGGCGCCCTCGGATGTGTCGTTGTGGTTGGTAGCCAAGTGACAGTCACCATTTGAGATTAATCCAAAGAGAGCAGTGAGTGGGACAAGATGATCATTATGTCTTCGACGTCGATGCCTTCTAGCTGGTCTCTTAAGTTGTCTGTGTCTTATCGGAGAATATCTGGTTTCGAAATTTCGGCTTAATCTCAGGTCTGACACTGTGCTTGATTGTCCTGGTAAATCTCGACCGGAATTCAATAAGGCTGCCAATAACGGAGGTGCTGGATTTGGTAAGAGCGTACTTAGTTCGTTATTCGAGCCACCAGTCTGCTCGAATTTTCCATCTCTACGTTCTCTCTCTCTTCTAACTTCTACAGTTCTTTTTGGTTTTGGTCTTGGGAGTTCCGGACTCGCTTGATTATTTCCAGCGACATCCGACGCGATTTTTGGACGGCTTTGTTTCGGAATCGCTCCTTGATGACGTTTACTGTCGATTTCTGGTTGTGGTAACAACTTCCTCTTCACTTCATTCTCGATACTCAATGTCGTTGTACTCGACGAACCGGAGTCTGGTTCTTTTGTGTGAAGATCTGAAACGTAGCATATCCGATGTGCTAGGAATTATTAGAAAATAATAAAAATACCAGTAAATATAGGCCAAGTACACATTGCACACGTTACGCAGGATATACTATGCTGACAGGAGGCTAGAGAGTATGTGAAGTGAGAAACACGTAATTTAGGATATTCATAAGACAGGCAACTTACAGTCAGTACTAGCTGTCTGTAGGCTCTCCGAAGTATCCGTATCATCGGATCGCGTGAATGTCCAAAATACTGGCAGCACAAATTGAAAAATACATTGGGATATTTACAATGTATGGAATTCGAGCAGTTAAGAACTAATTGGCTCTTTTTCGATACTTTAATACTGGTAGCGCATGCTCAAGAGGGCCACTATGATACTACTTTTAACACTTTCTTACATATAGATTATTGCTTTTTAAACTCACCGCTCTGACTCTGAGATGGTTCCACTTCGGAGTCTGTGTGCTCGAAAAGCCAATCCAGTCCTACGATGCTGGTAGAATTTAATGGATCTTCTACGTTTCTCGATTTCCCACGTTTCCTTTCTTTTCGCCTTTCACCACCAGAAGGTTCACGACTGCTTTGGCTGGCATTGCTAAATCTTCTTTTGCTGCCAGGCTTACCCTCCTCCAGGAGTGCATCTCGAGAGTTGGCAGAGTCATTGTCGATCACAGTATCGCCATTGAATCTAAAGATAAAACGTCAACAGTCTGTTATTGTATGTAAATCTGGAAGCTCTATAATAATAAGAATTTAGAATTATCGATAACTACCTGGAAAATCTATCCTCGAACCCTCCTGTACTGAGACTTCGGTCTCTATTTGCATTGGGGTTCGGATCGTCGGTTACTTTACGAGCTAGTAAAGGACTGTAAGAATCACGAAGGCTGAATCCTCCAGAGCTTTCATTGGCGAACTGCTCGTCACTTTGTTCAGCGATTGGATAAACAATTTCTGATCCGTAACTAGGATAAGGAAGCAGTTGGAGCTGGTTTCTTTTCAAAGTATTCTGCGGTGAAACCTTTAAACATATAATTAATATGTGGGACGTAGTGGCAGCAGAGGACGACGAGTGTATGAAGAAATGACGTATGATGAGGCTGCGAACCTTTTTTGTATTAATTATTTCAAGGCTCTGGGGATGAAGTGGAAGATTATTGTCATCTGTAGTATTAGTATTCTTTCTGATAGTTCCGATAATCTCAAGACTCTGAGGATGTACCAATTGCTGGTGTGTTTTCTTGGTGATGACTTCTAGTGACTGGGGGTGCGACGGAATTTTATTCTTATCCGCGTCCTCTGTTTTTGATATGATCTCCAGACTCTGGGGATGATCATTTATCAAGTGCGTTTCCATTGGTATCGAATTGGAGTTGAGCCTTCGAACACTCTGATTGATTTTCCAGTAAGGGTAGTCCAGGAGGGACGTCCCATGCTGCTCCAATTCGAGTGAGCTGGTTTGCTTTATCTGACTCTCTGATCCAGTCTTCCCCAGGGTACCCTGCTTCGAGTGTCGACTCTGAGAGTCCTCCGAGGCGTGTCGACATAGCTTCCGCGATGCTGGACGATCCTCCTCTGCGATCACTACGCATTTCTGCCGCTTTAACCGCCACTCTAAAACCCATTCTCGTGTACCGGGCTACACACTCCAGAGGCAATCGAATACCACGAAGACGCACACCCGAGTACTACTATTTCATTTAGTTAAATAATACTTCTTACCATTGATCTTACTCCTGAAACGGGGCTCATGGTCCTGCGTACAGGCTAACTCTGCTTCATGAACGTTGATGCTAGTGGCTACTGGCTTGTTCAGTTGCTGGGCTTCTTCTGAACTCTCTGAACTGTTCTTCCTGTGAATTTCTACTTTTAAATCGATAGTTGAACTTGGCTTATCCCTATTATAATCGGACGTAATGCTATCCGCATCCACATTTTGAGCATTTGGCTCAATGTACGAATTTCGGGATGAACATTCCACAGGTGGTGTGTCAGTTTTCCCTATAAAGTAGCAACAAGGACAGTTATATTAATAAAAGGTCATCGGAATAAGACGAAATTAAATCTAATAGATCGAATACTTATAGGAAATTTAATTTACCATGTAAAACTTGTAGTTCGATTCCAAGATCAGCCTGATCTTGTGGTGGTTCGCGTCGCTTACTTCGACCTGCACGTTTCTTTTCACTTTCTGACTTCTGTTGACTCACACTTTGATCAGGCTCCTCCAAACATTCTGTTGTATCATAGACGCAATGAAGTGCATGATTGACACATTTTATTGTCCCGAAAAGTGCAACAATCGATGAACAGTATGCTAACCATACGTAGAGAGTTGGCGGAAAGTACTGTGAATACAGAAGGAAAAACAAATAAATATTCTGAGTCATGTGTTAGTACAAAGTTCATGTAATTGCATAAAAGCAACACATTGGACCACGTAAGTACAACTGTGAGTATCGATGAAGCATCAAATAGAAAAAAAGTATGATGTAGACAAGACTAATAGCAATTGTCAAAATGCAATAAAAACTTCAGTGCCTTTCTAACGGTCTAATCAACTTCTTAAACTTATAACCAATGGATATGACTCACGAGGTATATTGTAAAGGGTACACAGAGTAAGAAGAGCCACACATAAAGATGAAAAGTATTGGAGAAGACGTCTAGGTGCGGGTCGTAAAACCATCCTCCTGTCAGGCTCGCCCAGACGCCCTGTCTCAGGATTTCCAGCATTTGCGAACCCATGCCAGCAGTTGCGATACTCCCTCACCATCTTCCCATTACCTGGCGTTACGGCCTTATTCACGCGTGCTTAGTCCTCTCTTCCCAAATAAATGCACGGAATCCCGCGTTACGAAGCATTATATTTGTGACGACGTTAATCGATGGATCTCGCGCACAGGACCCAATGGCTCAGCAGCCATATTCAACACTCAGATGATTCTCACCATGATTAACTTGGAATATCAAGAGTGTTTAAATACTCTAGAATCGCTCTATAATCCTTAAGGTGAATCTCCAACTTGTATAGATGTTATTCGTATTCTCTTTAATATCTAACAAGTAATGGAATTCTTGTAAGGCTTACAAGATAATTATTAAATGAGTAACACAAATTATTAAGAGATCAAACGAATCGAAAAAGATTTGAGCAGAATATAAAGTTGGGTCGTTAGGATGCGCGTTCGCCTTGAGGAGTTGGGAAGTCGCAAATCGTGGCCGAGGTTGAAGCACGTCAACGGTGGAGCCCAGGGTCCGTCAAATCGAACATGGCGTACGTTAGGTTATTACCGTGAGTGTGGGTCCGTTTGTCCTGGCGTGAATGCGGAATTGTCGCGTGTTCTGCCGGCCGACGAGGAGCGGCGTGTCCTCGGGGAGGCGTCCTCGGCGCTTTAAGGCGAGCGTTATCCGCCGCCTGAGTCCTTAGGGCCGCTCCCCCACCGAGAATCGGCCGCGTAAACAGTGGCTTGTGGGTATACACACCCTGACGCGAGAGCTCGAGTGTTTTTCACGAATTTTCCGAGCCCTCTGGACCACCCGGGAGCGTCGTACCCAACGTCGGTCGCGACGAGAACGTTTCCTGGAGCAGGTCCCAGGACTGTCGGTTCCCTATTAGACTATATCCTCCAAGGGATGCCGGCTTTCGGTTCACTGTTTTTATACACGGAGTGCTGCTGCCCTCGGTGGTATTAGACTACTTTGGACTCAAAGGATTTATAAGAAAATTTATGCCTTACCATCGGCGCGATACTTATCTTACATGACGTTGCCCGTCAGGTTGGATAAGACATTCAGGTCTTGCTTCAAGATACCCTGCAGAAGCATTTACATATTATCAAGGAAATCTTGCACATACTGTTTTCTGGCATACTAGTCTTGGAAGGTGCTCGAGCTTGTTCTGGATACCTTATGACTTTAAACAGCGAGTGCTGTTTATTGAGGTACGAAGCAGGAGCATAGACAACGGTGAGAGATAGTCCATACAGGATAGCGTGGGAGGAGAAGTGTCAAGCCATATGCCACCAGCCGGGCTATCGGCGCGAGGCTTGTCTACCTTGATGGACCACGGACATCCTGACGCTCGTCATCGGAGCGAGCGGTTTTTACTCTACCCAGAGAATGGCTCCTCAAACTCGCACACACCTGGCACCTCCAATTCTTCTCCGAGGTATCAACATACTGCCAGAGGCAACGGTCATTCTAGCGGGTAATACTTCGCTGATGCTTTCAACATTCAAGGGATAGTTAATTAGATATTCAGAAATCTTACACTGGATCATTTGCCGTAGTTACGGATATTTCTCCGGTCGTGCATCCAACAACAATATGTCAGACAGCAGTGTATCCGATACGCACAGTGGCGGTACTGCGAGAACTGTTTCTCAACAGACTAGTCCATCCCATGGAACACACTCTTCATCGCAATCCCGTCACGACAGTAGCACCACAATCTTCACAGCTCTTTTTGACTACATTGCTCAGGGGGAGGACGAGCTATCTCTACAGCGTGGAGAAACTGTTGAGGTAAGCTTCAAAAACTAGATTTACTATGATACAGTGCTATAAGAATTCCTTGGGCAACTTTAAAATTTCTGTAGGTTTTATCAAAAGACTCAAAGATCTCTGGAGATGAGGGCTGGTGGACAGGAAAGATTCGAGGGAAGGTCGGTATTTTTCCAGCGAATTTTGTCGCCGAGGCAGAAAGTATCGACCGAGTATCCTCGGTGATAGACAAGGTCCAGCCCATCGAGATTGACTTCGAGGAGCTGGAACTCGAGGAAATCATTGGTGTGGGTGGTTTCGGGAAGGTTTACAGGTAGATAATTCAAAAAGAACCAAGCCTGACTTTCTAAAGTTTACTTGTTAACATATCATAACTTATTCTTTGCCTTAACAGAGGATATTGGCAAAAGCACGAGGTCGCCGTGAAGGCGGCACGTCAGGATCCTGATGAAGAACCGAGCGTTACGCTGGAGAACGTTCGACAGGAAGCAAAACTCTTTTGGCTCTTAAAACACGAAAATATCGTTCAGCTGGAGGGTGTCTGCCTTAAAATGCCACATATGTGTCTGGTGATGGAGTATGCCAGAGGTGGTAGTCTGAACAGGGTTCTAAGCGGGCGTAAAATACGACCGGATGTTCTCGTCGACTGGGCAATACAGATAGCGCGAGGGATGGACTATCTTCATAATAAGGCACCCATCAGCCTCATCCACAGGGATTTGAAGAGTTCGAATGGTGGGTCTACGCTTTCACTCTTCGTATCATTTTCTTTCGCACGATAGGCATATAATAATGCTGACTTCTGGTGTTCAATACAGTTTTACTCAGCGAACCGATAGAGAACGACGACCTCCAGTACAAAACCCTGAAAATAACGGACTTCGGCTTAGCCCGAGAGGTATACAAGACTACCAGAATGTCTGCTGCTGGTACATACGCCTGGATGGCACCGGAAGTCATTAAGAAAAGTACCTTTAGCAAAGCCAGCGACGTCTGGAGGTTGGTTTTACGTCTTCCTCTGGACATGCATTCAATTCACATCATCTTAATTCATTAAAGTTCATCACTCTCATTACTTACAAAATTATTCCGTTTTTTTTACCAAAGTACCTGAAATATGTATTCGTAGCTACGGAGTCCTCCTATGGGAACTACTCACTGGTGAAACACCTTACAAGGGTATAGACGCTTTGGCCGTAGCCTATGGAGTAGCTGTTAACAAACTGACTTTACCTATACCATCGACCTGTCCCCAGCCATGGAGATCTCTTATGGAAGGTAATCATCTCTTCAACTTCTGCTTGCTCTTATTATCATATCTATATGTCTGACAAGTATCAACAAGGTCAAGATTTTTATACATATTTATATCTTTTCTACAGCTTGCTGGTCCTCCGATAGTCATTGCAGGCCAGGATTTGTTGGGATCCTGGTAGCGTTGGATGAAGTACGTAGTGCTTTTGCCGCGACGCCACACGAATCCTTTCATACGATGCAAGAGGACTGGAGGTTGGAGATCGAGCAAGTTCTTTATGGATTGCGCATGAAGGAAAAGGTAATATGAAAGTTGTATGAAATACATAAAAAAAATTCTTATGGTTTCTATTAAAATTATGACCAAACTATTGTACTTTTTTAACAACATCTGAGTAATATAATTAATCGTTTGTTCAAAATGCTATACAAAGGCATGTCGCTCCTTAGAAGAGGTAAGATATAATTGTGTTCTACATTGGAATGAAAGAGAGGATAATACGTGGATCGTTTTCATCACTTTTCATTACTCTTATCAGTAATAATGCTCTTGTACTTTGTCAAATTGTATTTGTTTGTTCTACAGGAATTGCGTTGTAGAGAAGAGGAACTAACGAAGGCACAGGTGCAACAGAAACAACACGAGGAAAATTTGAAACAGAGAGAACAAGAGCTGGCGGCTAGGGAAATTGATCTTCTCGAGCGTGAGCTGACGGTCATGATAATACAACAACAAAATACGCCAACACCCAACAAAAGACGTGGCAAGTTCAAGAAATCTAGATTGAAATTAAACAAGAAGGAACCAGGAAGCAATATTAGCGCACCATCAGGTATGACCTGAATATTTTGAATCTGTTTATGTAATTTAGAATTCTATGAGGATTTTTATGTTCTATGCTTTTATCGTAGATTTTCGGCATACTATCACGGTTCAGCATACGGCTCTTGACAGAGGAAAAAATAGGAATCCTTCGAGACCAAATAGTCCACCAGGTTCGCCCAGCATTCCCAGGCTACGAGCAATAGCCCGTAAGTGAAATTTGGAATTGTTTATACGAGGTTTCCAAGTTCCGCGAAGAGAAGATCCCTGTAAAGGAAATTCATGTGAATCGATTTTTTTTTTAAACTGCAAGAACGGAGTGTTTGTGCTTATTAGTAGAAACGTTTGAAAATGTTCAGCATCCGAGTATTCTGTTTCTATATATCTATAAAACGGCATGGTGTGACTAGCGAAGTATATTCCTGTGTTAATGCCTCTATCTCTATTTCTATTTCTCACTGTGATTTTATATATTTATATTTTTATTTTTAATCGAGTCCACGAATTGATTTTTGCTTATCTTTTTTTTTTCTAAAAGACATTGTTATCTTGCTGTTACAATTTTCTTTTTGTTCGAGTTGTATCAGTGAAGTTTGTCCAGTTGCACAGAACTCTTGACACTCTGAGTTTAATTGAAAAGATGATAGGATGAACCGACTGTAAAGAAGAGAGGTGAACCGTAGCTGCGCGTCCGATGAAGTAGCTAGTTACAGTAGCGAGTAGAGTTTTGTTTTTTTGTCCTTTCCAATCTAGTGCCAGCGGATGGCGTCAAGGGTAAGACCTGGGGCCCATCGACCCTCCATCAGCGCGAACGTGGGGCCATTATCACCCAGCCACCGAATCCTGCTTCCCCAGGTGGCAAGCGGTGGTCCCGCTCTGCACCGGATCTCGAAAAGACTCCACTTCGAACCGCCCTGCTGGCAAGCGCGCATCGCTCTCCGCTTCTTCAGGAAATAGGTAACCCCACATCCCGAAAGTTGTACTCCTCGGCGAACAATTTGATCGACGATCACGCGGGATCAGAGGAGCTTGGCAATATCGATGGTGTCTCTTACGACTCGGGAAAATCCTTGTGCGCAAGGGATGAACACTTATGCGACATACACGAGTCCAAGGACGTTCCGCGTACTGGTACTAGCAAGGCCAATCAAAAAACTCATTTCTCTAGCGAGTATCTCATTATATCCGATAGCTATTCAAAGGCACCTGCTCAAAAGTTACCTGGTGAATCCTCCAAGGGTTCGTCGAGTAAGAGTAGTAAGCAGCTAGATTGCGAGCATTGTTACTCACCGAAATTCGTTCATAGCGTCACTTCCACCCTGGTAGGCACCGCGAAGAGGGTCAAGAACAAAAGACGTGCCAGAAGCAAATCCAAGGAGCCCAAACGAAGGGACAGTTCCGAGTCCCGATTGAATTCACTGGCCGACTTCTTCCGTTCGCCGTCAGGCTCCAGGAAAAGTTCACTGAACTCGCCTCGGAGCACAGAGAGAAAAAATTCCGTAACGATTAAGATAAACGACGCTGACGGACTTGAATCCAGTCCAGAGAATTCCATAGGGAAGCAATCCCGTCACAAGTCACGTGGCTCCAAGAGTCCTCTGAGGGTCTTTAGTAAAATTAAAGCATGGGGCAGCCGGGACGCCCTGGACGACAAGCAGACCGCCTACAAGGTCGTCTACGACGTCCTCGAGCACAGCGTGTCCATTCCAAAGCTCGAACGCTCCGATTCTGAACAGGTTAGCTTCGCTCCACGGTTTCTCACTGCAAATTCACGCGAGGGTGTTGACTTTGAGAATCTTGAGGCTGAACTCTGCAATCTCGACTCCGAGCACTCTAACGACAGTTCCAAGTCCAAGTGTTCCTTCAGATTTCCCGAGGAATTCGAACCGGATGAACCCCGCGCCTCCCTCGACAGTTCCACCAGTAAATTCAGCCTGACTTCCAAGAGCAGTGGACAATACTCTGAACAAGATTTTCCATCTAACTCGACGCTTCTCAATCTCAAGTCTAAGAGCAGCGAATATCTTGGCAATATTGGACAAAAGGATGACACGTGCGCGACGACACACCGACCAATCTTCCTCCAGGATTATGCTCGTCAGAGTTCCGATCCTAATTATCATCTAAACCAAGACAATTTACCTATCCTCAGGAATTCCATGGCGACTCTGTCTCGTCGCAGCTCCGAGGGTGCCAACTCTATTAGTCCCATAACTTCTGGTGTTCTGGCGACTGACAAGTTTTTCCGTAAGAGTGACGAGTGACCGGATAGAATTCCTAGTTACATAAACGTCTAGTATTCGATGTCACTTTAGATTCCCTTTAGATCAATGAGCAAGCGAGCTCCCTTCTTTTCTGTATGGCTGCCATTTTAATTCCTATTATTTCCTTTGTCGAGGTAAAAACATTTAAGTAACGAACAAACGTTCTTTTCGTCACAGGCCTTTCCGAGGAAAACATCCACTCCACGCGTAAGTCGTCTTCTTCTACCATTGCAGCATTTTTATGTCTTAAAACTTTTAAGTCTTCTTTAGAGTTTAACTTTTTTGCTTACATTCACTCCCTGAACGAGTCTGTTCTCGTTATATATGTACATATAATAGAAAAAGTGCCTTTTAGCCCACCCGAATTTTTATAATTCATTCATGAAAGCCACCTCCTCATCGCAGATAGTCTTTCTATAAGTCGAGATCAGATCTCATGGACAGGCAATCCCATTTTGTCTAATCAGAGGCAAGAGCAACTTTTGTTTTATTTTGTAGACTTATTCGTTTTTTTTTTTCTTGGACTTAGAGATTGCCTTTTTTTTTTCTTGGACTAGAGATAGAGATGCCTTACTTCGTATGATTATTAGCGATAGTGCATGCACGTATGAGCACACGTTTTTTCTTCTATCTACTTCCGTCTATTTTTCTTCTGCAGTCCTGACAAAACGATTAGAACGAAAAATTCATGAAAGACAAAGAGATAGGAAGATGGCCCTTGCGGCTTTTAACGTACTCACCTATACGTGATAGCACGGATTCCTTCTTTGGATATGACATTAAAAAAAAAAAGAGTAATTATTCTGGCTACATATCACGTATCGTTAGGTAGCGAGTCTAGTTTGTATACTTGAATTAATGAATTCTTCAATTCTATTTATATCAGTACATAGCGTACTGTCTAACGAGGTTTACTCTATGGAATTCCAAAATTATTGAAAAACAAAAAAACATATATCTCGAGAGAGAAAAAACAATTGGTTCGTCGAGGGTTCTCACGATTCCTATGTTATATATGTATAAAATCGTGAATACCATTCCCGACGAGATACGGTGAGGGACCAGACTTAAATTTAAGTATAATATAAGAATGAAAAAAAAAATATTAATAATAATAAGCTGCCTGGTGGATCAAATGTTATTAATAGTGACTAGTCTTAGACAACGGAGTCTAGTCGTTTGGACGCTCCGTAATTTCTCAAGATTCAATGTTAATAATGTAAAGAAAGAAAAAAGACAAATGATACGCATAAACTACGACTGTCGCTTAACGCAGGATCCTCCAGTCAGATTTGACTAAAAGTCATAGTCGTTTGGAAAAGGATTTTTAAAAAAGGGTTAAAAAATACAAGTAAAAGAATACGAAGAAAGTGCCGAGACGCAAAACGCAAATTCTTTCTGGTGGCGGTTCTCTTCCGTTATTATTTTGGAGTACATAACACTCTAACAAAGCAGAGCTAACAGTCCGCTACTATCTGATTAAATAAATAATAATAGAGCAAGAAAGAACGAACAGAAAGGGATGAATACTTGAAAATATACGATTCGGCAATGATTTATCTTTTAGAATTTGGTGTATCTGCATTTATGTAGTCATGGTAAAAAAAAAACAAGAAAAAAAAAGGAATATAATACTTGGCTACAAAATGTAGAAGTACAGAGATACAGGTACAGTACAGTACAGTCCACCGTAGCAGTAGCAGTAGTAGTAATTATTTTGCCAATTTATATATAGTCATATATACATAATAGATTTATTGATATTTCTTTTTTTCTCATTCTCTCTCTCTCTCTCTCTCTCTCTTTTTCACAATAATCATTATAATTATTGTTCGTTATCCTTTAAACGACAAATTACCCTCAGAAAAGTCTCGTGAGATTCTCAGGAGAAATTTCTAAAATATTCTCTTTGACTGTACCTACGGGATGTCTGCCCTTGTGTCTTCGATTTATAAATCAATGAAATTTTCCATGTTTTTTTCATTAATCTTAAAGTGTTCGTTTACGTGCATATTCACGACCCTTGGATATTTGGAGATACATTTCATACGTGCACGCACGTATCCACGTAATGAGGCACGTGCGTGTATACACATTTGGCAGAAACAAAAGAAAAAAAAAAGCAAATTTACATACACGGCAGTTTGATACAATGAGCCACACGAAAAAGCACACACCTGTATCTAGCAATAGAATTTTTTTTCAATAAAACCTTTTCAGTTGGACACGTTGAATTTTGTTTTTGAGTTTTCTCACAAATTTTTACGCTCGGCCTGTGGCAAAGGTTCTCTTGGTCAATTTTTTTTGTTTGGTTGTGCCTTAGTTATATATTCTCTTCGTGTTAATCTTAATGTCACTTATGCACTTATAAACACTAGATAGTTAGGATACTTATTATTTTGTATACACTATTAGAATTGCTTAAACGTATTCAGTGACAGAACTCAAAAGCGATCAGTGATTTGAAATTTTTGGGTAAACAGTTTCAAATCGTCTGTTTCAGATGTGTACTTTTGTTTCTCTTTGTTTTGTAGAGTTGTTATTATATTCGTGTCAAGAGCTGAGCGTAAAAAAATTACCTTGCATGCATCCCTTTGGGTTCCTAACTGTTAACTTCCTTTGGTTTTGGTCCTGTTCCTTCGATACATTTCTCCTCCTCAATATTTTCCCTTACGTAGCTGCATTTTTCACCTTAACCTGATATACTTCAATTCTCTCAAATGACTGTTGATTACATTTTTCAGTTAGCCAAGAACTCGTCCAGAACGATACACACCACTTGTGGAACTTTACTAAAAATTTGTTGCCATTAACAATTTCCATGCTGCATCACGTGATACTTGTTGCTAATCTTAATATGAAAATTTTATAAAATCATTTTTCTAGCTTTTTTTTCACATAACTGGCAAACAACAATTTAATACCTGATACGATGCTTCCTTTAAATATGTATTACATTTTCTTATACTTGAATGTCTTTTCCATTCTGATTGCTGTTCCAAACTTTCTATCTGAAATTCTAATACTTTGATATAAATGATTTAAGAAAAATAGTCATTGTATCATGAAAGAGAGGATGGTCTGTCAATTGCTTTATATTTTTATTCTAGCTATACCCGGCGTGTATGATTATTATTATGTCTCAAGGTCTTAGAAGCATGTTAAACAATTAATTGATCCTTCATGATTTGCTAAAAACTCAATGAATCCCAAGATCCTTTTGATATTCTTTAATTAGTCAAGAAAGACTTTGGCTTGTTTTCGAACGCTTATGCATGCTGTGCAACTGCTTCTTCGTTTGCCTGCTTAATTAGAAGTCGCATCCACGCAAATAGCACTGCTGGTAAGTCGGTGCAAGGGTACTAAGCTAATCCAACCCATGTGATAGAGGTAAGAATACACTAATGAAAAAAAAAAGAAGAAAAATAGTATTAAAAAGAGATGCAGAGAGTTGCGTTAACGATTAAGAGTGTGCAAGATTTATGGATCATGACAATTGAGTTATAATTAAATTATATGAATATTTAAATGAACGTCATCGCAGACACCTCATTATCTTTTGTAGACTATACCGCCCTACCTCTTGAACTTCCAACTGATTGGATAACAACGGACTATCCAATAAAACCAGGACTGACTGGTCCTTACATAATGCCGATGCCTGTGCCGATGCCAACTCTCTACAATGGGGAAGCGAAGAAACCAAAGTTAAGCATAATAGAGCTGGTACTGTACAACATCGCAGCCATGATAGCCGGCGTCGCGACGGGCTACGACGTCCGAATGTCCAACATATCACCGATACATCCCAGGTTGCAGCCGAGAGCAAACGAGTGCGAGGAAGAGCCTCCACGTTGGTGGTTTCAGGCAGAAACTGGCTCCGATCGTAACTCTGGATATCTTGGTCCTGATTACGAATTCAGTTCTACCAGCGGTTACCCTCACAATACTTATCATGGACCGGCACGACACTATAGGTGAGTTATCAATTTTGAAGACCTTCGCCTTATCATTCTATCCTGAGGGTCATTGTGTTTCAGGCCGTTCTTAAGTAACATGGGTGGTATAGCACCGGGTCTTCCACCTACAGTAATGCCTGACAAACCTCTGCGCTTCACGGATTCACCTCAGCACTACGTCAGCGGTGCAAGTTCAAATGCACCTACTCCAAGTCCAAGAAGAAAGAGTTCCAGCACCAGTAACGAGGACGCTTACTCGCCGGAGATCGGAAGGATCGATAGGATTGAGAGAGTGATCTACAAGGGTAACAATGTCGTACCTCCACCAGATTATGGACCACCTGTTTATGCGGTTGTCCCACCTGAATATTACAGACCACCCGAACCAGCATACTTTGTCCATGCAGAATATCAGTGAGTAGAAAGTTTCCTTGATCGTCCTCATCCAGTACTTGAGCATTATTGGTAATTCTTATCTCGTTTCTAGTGACAGGATGTTGGAGTGTCCAGAATTTCCCCATGCGTACGACAATCCTAGCAGCATAAGCAGTCCGGCAAGACCTACACCGAGGCTTCCCCCTTATACTCATCACAGAACATCCTCAAACGTCTCCAACGCGAGCACCTCCAGTCAGAGTAATGTAAATCCAACGTTTCGATTGGAGGACGAAGCTGACTATTCCTTGTATTCGCCAAGTCATTATTACCAACGGCCTTCGAACGTCATCTCGAGTATCGCAAGTTATGGCTCTAACATCCTGAATCACGAATACGGCTCGCAATACCTGTCAAGGCAGAATTCCCACGATTCAAATCCGAATTCCGGGGACAGACCCAGTAACCTAGAAGTCGTCACCAGGTTGCGATCAAGTCTCAAGAGATCCAATTACTTGTACAACTTACCTAGCAAGTGTGCCAGTAAAAATAATTCTGGTTCCGGGACACCGACAAATCCTACACCTCCAGATTCTCTCACGTCTGAAGATTCCAGCTACGTCTCCGCCAAGGACAGTCAGATATCAATAGGCAGAGTACGCTTCTCTCCGGTTACGTTTGACCGCGAGGGTATTCCCTCTAGGGAGCACCGAGAGACACTCCTGGATATCCCTGTGCATGGACAGACTCAGGACGTGACTATACCTCTTCAGGCTAATCGTCGACAGAGCAGAATCAGGAAGCCCAGTATCTCCGAGCTGGAACGTGAATTCTTGTCATAGCACTGGCTTATTTAAAACCGTGCGTGTGGCTCCGCGGTTACGATATCCGAAATATTATCTGAAAGATATACAATATAAGAAGTGAAGTTCCCAAGAGCTTGGAAATATATATAGGATTGCCGTCATGTGGAATCCAAAGCATCAAAGCCACCGGTAAGAGTACACGTATCTCAAACTGTCAAACTGTACGACTTTGGACATATGGCGATCCCGATTACGCAAACACTGCCCCTCCGATACCTGCACGAGAATCTTTCATACCTAGAAAGTAATCGTGGCAAACCTCGTACGCTAAGAACTCGACGATTAACATTCCATAAGAACGCGGCCTTGTTGCGAGATACACTGTGTCAAGTGTTCGTGCAATTTTGTAACAGGTCATCTTAGAATCTCATAAAATATTGACAAGTAACATAACCTCGATTCACAAATGTACAGCATTGCCACGAGCAATGTCTTTCTTGTATTATTTGATTAATCCAATTATTTTACATTCCAAGACGAAATCATGGATTGACCTTCTTTTTTTTTTATAACAATCTCTAATCACTTTTTACACAGTGTATTTCTCGATACCAGATGCAATCCCAAGCAACTTTACTCAATCATTCGTTCCCTTAGTGGTTTTTCATTTCAACAACGACATTCCTATCGATTCCATTATGATTAGAAGCCAACTCGACGTGTACAGAAAATCATTGGAATTCTCTATTAATTCTAACTTGGTAGATGCTTCATCATTACCAACGTACATGCCATTCGTATCCATCTTATGCTAGTGCTTCAGGCTGTTAAGAATCGTGTGCAATTTAAAATTGACGTTTTTCCATTTATACAACACGCGTTAAAAGACCTACAATAGAGAACAAATTGATATTCGAAGAGATTACTTCGATTATCTCGTTATAATCGTTCATATAGACACCATTTGAATGGATGGATGTACAGTAGAGAATTTTCAGGATTTGAGATCACCCAGATACTCTATCCTGGGCGTATTTTGTACAGAAGTCATCGTTTGGTCTTTTTCTATGTAAAACAGCACATAATCATTGATGCGGTAGAGTCTACCATAAACTAATATGTTAGCATTTTCGAAATGAGATCATTCAGTGTCATTGGAACGTCGTTACCTGTACAAGTTGTGCTTCAGCATGGTATATTAGCATGAAGTGGCAGCTCGTCTGATTATTCTTTAGAAGATGAATTCAAAATAGGATATGCTGAGGTTCCTGTAAATATGCAGATATATATACACAGGGTTATATATTTCAAAAGTATCAGTCACTGTCACGCGGATATTTTGAATCATTGAAACTTATTGTCATTGAATGTAGTGTCCATAGCGCAATTAATTTTAGAAACGAAACTCACTCAATGATTTCAGCCACAAAGTATGGTCGTCCTTGTGTTGATTATGTCACACACGTGAGTGTCTATGGGTCTGACTGTCTTCGACACGTCTCGGATTTCCATTTGAATAACCCTGTATAATTTTAAGCAACGCTATAGGATCAAGACACTGCATATTATACATAATCAATGTTGTAAATATAAGTTTGAACGCTGAATAGGGTTGTTAGACTTAATAAGCGTTCAGCGAGAGAAAGAGAGAAACGAGCAGCGGCAATTCTTACATTCCCCCTTAGACTTTAAGTATTGGATGATAAAGAAGGCAGGACTAAGGCAGAGAGAAAAGGCAAAGTAACAAAACGACGAATATTGTACAGAACGGAACAGAGAGATGAAATGAAAAGTGAAAATAGGTCGATCGCGACATACACTAGGTGTACGCGAAATCTCTAATCTCTATGTAATTTTTAATTAATTATTATAACGAGGACGAATAACTCGTCTCGCTTCGTCCGACTGGATGAAGTGCGAAGTAAAATCAAAAAGAGAGACAACAGACGAGAAACTGGAAGTAGCCGAACGAGACGTAAGATCAGGCAAAAACGTAATAGGACGAGGAGCGTTTTTGTTTCATTTTTTTAAATATATATAAATTATATATATATATATATAAAATCCTGTCACGTATCGTTCAGCGCTGTTTTTGAAATCAAAAAATCTCTTATCTCTTTCCACTTCGTTAACTAATTCGAAGTTGATCATGAATCAAATGACTCGCTGTGCATAATTTTTATTGCTTCGTTTTCTTTTTTTTTTTTTTTTCTTTTTCAATATAAATTATGTTCTCTTCTCTGTATTTATTCTTTCCATTTCTCTGTATCTGGCTCGACGTAAGCGAGGACAGAAATTTGTTTTCTGCAAGCAGCATTTCCCTTTTCATCATGAATTCCCCAGGAAAGAATGACCATCAGTATTGTAGGATACGCATCGCAATGTATATAGAGTGTATAACGGTTTGGATGAGTGAGCAATGTTGTGGTTCGTCTGGGAGCATTCGACTTGGCGTTCCTGATCCTGAAAGCACATGAAAGATGTATTGAAAAAGTGTTGCCATTTTTAATACGTCGTATTTCACGTAAGCGATTATTGGTTTATACTGGAACCTCGTGTATTCTTAGTGTTGAAGATTAACATAAGGAGAAACAAAATAACGTCATGAAGGATCATACACAGGCGAATGCTTCTTGAGATGATGAGATTGAAGGATGAGAGAGAGAGAGAGAGAGAGAGAGAAAAAATAAAAGTGCTTTTGTAAAAGTCCAGTGCGCATTTATATCCTTTAGCGAGATGCGAATGAGCGGATTTCGTTATGGTTATTGAAAAAATAAAAGTGCTTTTGTAAAAGGGATCATACACAGGCGAATGCTTCTTGAGATGATGAGATTGAAGGATGAGAGAGAGAGAGAGAGAGAGAGAGAAAAAATAAAAGTGCTTTTGTAAAAGTCCAGTGCGCATTTATATCCTTTAGCGAGATGCGAATGAGCGGATTTCGTTATGGTTATTTTTCTCTGCAAAAAATAAATAAAATTTAAAAACGTTTTGCGTATTGATCTTCAATAATGGCAGAGATACGCTAACCGCTTGTTCGCGTCGAGGGAAAAAAATTCTGCGGTGCTACAAATCGCGTACTTAAAACATGATACTTTTTAAGAGGACATTGATAAGGAGGAAACGACTCGAAATGCTTCCAAGATACACGAGAATGAAATGTGTTAAGAACTGAAAAAAAAAGAAAAAGAAAAAAACATTTAAAGAATTCCCTAGAACGCTAATTAATATTCACTAACGGTTCATAGTAATTAATAATTTAATTAATAATATATCTAAATAATACTCGGCAGCTATCGACGTATCGATTGTGTAATGGCGCTTGCTCGCCAACAGTGCTAGTCTAAGCTATATTTATTTTTTATATATATTACACGTCGTCTAGCCTAATTTAAGCGAGGAAAATGAAAATTCTACATTTCTCTACTTTATTTAATATGCCTACCATTCTTTGAATCATTGTCTAGAGTGAAGAAGATACACCGAGAGTATACTGTTGGTAGTATATGAGAAAAGTTCTGGGTACTTAAACAGTATGATACTGATAGTATCATGATAGCATAAAAGAATTTTGAAAAGTACATCCATGAAGGGAGTTAATTTTAAAATAATATAAGAAAGTAAACGGTTACCAATTAGCACCATATCGATATTTCAAAAAACACTGTGAATTTGCTTTTCTTAAATACCAAAATCATCTGTCTTCTTTCTTTTATATCATGTAGCAATTAGGATGATACAGAGATCCATTGGTTTTCTAAAAAGAAAAAAGAAAAATATTAGAATGCAGCTAGTGAATAAAACAGTACATATTGAGAGACTTTTGGAATACCCAGCACTTTTTCTCTACGATTATCCACATAGTCTTACAAAAGAAAATGGAAAAAAATAAAAATCTGTATAAAAAGTACGAAATACGACTCACTGTTAAATATAAAACTGCATATTTACTGGACGATTAAAATTTACTAAAATTCCCAAAAAAGACAGACTTACGACCAAGCGCAATAATCAGGACTATTATCAATGAATGATGGTTCATGTACGTTCTCTTTGCTCCTGGACAATTTTTCTGCAAAGAGAAATGATTTAGAAATACGTAAAAAAAATTCTTATCCTAACCCACGCGATTAGTATGAACCTTTGACTATTCGTATGAGCCCATGATAAAATTTGTCATTTTTTAAAATCGATATTTAACCGCAATAGACGCTCTTCAATCAGCGTCGTTCTGTCATCTCGCGAAATTACAGATTACTGATTGCTCGAAATTAGATAAAAAAATTTATAATGATTCACTAGGGCTAAGTGTATTGTTAAGCTACTAAGTGCAATGTGTTCCACGTTTATAATGAAAGGACAACAATAAGAAGACGAAGAAAAGAAAATAAATACATAAAAATATAAACGTGACTGCTTCGGTAAACGCCTTAAATAAATGGAGAATTCACAGTCAAAACGAGGGACTTTTTAGTTACAATTAAATCGCAAGAAAAGTACTAGTTGAAGAAAAAGATACATTTAAAAAAGTAAATCGACTCGAATCACGAAGATATTACCTTTTTCTCCTTTTCAATCAATCACTTCACTTGACGCTGTTTCTCCCTTTTGGAGGTGTCTTTGAAGATTCAAGAATCGAGGACAATTGTTTTTCTATCTTGTCTCCTTGTCTATCTTGTGTGCAAAACAGATAAATTATATGATTTAATTTAACAAAGCAAGTGTTGTGCGCGTGATGATTATTATATTATGATAATAATGACTACGATGACAGGAGAATATGTGTGCGCGCGTGTATGCCATCAATGGTAACGAAGAGGAGAATTAAAAACAAAAATAATTCTCACAGATTCAATTTGTATTTATACCAGTAGTGCGACAGTCGAATTAATGAATGAATAATCGTTCTTTAGAATGAAGACGAATGCAATATCTTGTAACGCGTTTGTAATAGGCCCGTTTGATATACCAGCAGCTTTAAAGTCTGGATTGTATGTACACAGAAGCTAAGATGGAAAGTGTTGTACTACGCTGTCTGATCTGCACTAAAAATTAATGTATTTTTCCAAGTATTGTACATTATAACTATAAATATTAATTATACAAATTATAAATAGTAATCTGAATATAAATATATATATAAATATGAATACGTATATATATATATATATATATATATATATATATACATATTATATTAATTATTATTGTAATATTGCGACTTCGCGTACTGTAGGTTGTACGCGTTATTATTATAATAAACAATTTCGAATAATGTGCGAAAATTCATTATACTTTCAATACCCACTTTATACTGTTGGATTGTAATATTATGTACTTGCTATGAAACAAAAAAACTGCTGCAAATTTCCAGTGAGAGGAATTCCATTTTTTTTAATCTACAAACGACACAAATTTTATTTTGAGATTCTTGTATCTGTAAAATTTTCACGATAAATTATACATTATCTCATTAGATCTACATGGCTGTTTCTGATTGTATGTGCAGAAATGCTACTATAGTGGAAGGAATATTTGGGGAGATTGATCCAGGTAATTTTATAAGAGAATTGAGTTTATATGATTTAAAGAAATGCATTGAGCATAGGTTAAGAGTGAATTTTATGAAAAGTCAGACAAGAATCATTTTATATTTATGACAAATTAAAGGAATCGGATCAGCAAAAATTCAAACGGATAAATTGAAGTATGGCGAAGAGAATTTCATGGAGAGTGATTCCTTGACTTCCGGCAGTAGCAATGGCAAACTTTTTGAAGAGTCATTGCCAGTGATCATTAAATCGTACACAATGACTAATACTAATCGTATGGAAGTAGTAATAATTACTTTTGGTGCTACCATTGTCTCACTTAAATGTCCAGATAAATTTGGAACACCAGCAGACATCGTTTTAGGTTTCAATGATTTGGATAGTAAGTCATAAAATTTATTTTCTTCTTTAATGACTGATTAATCATTCTCCATTACGCACAGGTTATTTAAATCCCGCACTAAATCCATTTATCGGTTGCGTCCTGGGTAGATGTGCCAATCGTATAAAGAATGGAAGCTTTAGTATAAAAGACATGGATTATCAGCTGTCGAAGAATGACAATGGGAAAGATCACTTACACGGTGGAGTACGTAATTCTATATTCTGACAATTATTTGAATACAGAATCAAAATCATCCTGTCAGGTAAACGGATTTGGTAGGCAAATATGGGATTCTCACATAGATGGCTGTAGTGTTGTCATGAGCTATTTGAGCGAAGCTGGCGACGAAGGATATCCAGGAGCAGTTTTGACGACGGTTAGATTTAAATTGACGGCTGATAATAAATTAGAAATTACCATGAGAGCGACGACATCCAAGCCGACTATAGTCAATCTGTCACATGGTTCTTTGTTTAACTTGGCTGGTCACGTAAGTCATTCATGTTTGACTGCAAGTCACAAAGATTTTGAAAAACATTGGTTTGGTATAGGGTGCTGGTGAGAAAGAATTGAAAAATCATATAGTCTCTTTGAATTGCGATCGATGGACTTTTGCTGATTATACGGATCCAGTACCAACAGGAGCAATTCGCGGTGTGGGTGGTACTGTAATGGATCTTAGAATACCAGGGTTGCTGGGAGAGCGTATGAGCAAAGTAAGATTTATAATGGTTGTATGTGGTTCTTTATATTTATTAGAATCGTTTAGGTCCCACCTGGTGAAGGATTTGATCATAATTTTTGCGTAACTAGAAGTTGGCAGCCTGGTTTATCCTTTGTTGCTAGAATGCTCCATCCACGATCCGGCCGGTAAAATCAAAGAATTTTGATGGCATTTTAATCTCTCTGTAATTAATTATTATACTACAGGATTTTGGAAGTTTATTCTGATCAGCCTGGAGTTCAATTTTATACTGGAGGACGTCTTCTACAACCAGAAACAAATTTACCTGGTCTTGATAAACGCTGTGCAGAATATCTAAAGGTAATGTAGAAATTATACATTTAAGGATAATCATCCAAGGAATATGGATTTTGGAATTATGGTGACTGGAGTGGGACCCAGTTCTACCACGTATTGTAGTCGATTTAATGTGTGAGAAAAACGTTAAGGAGAATTACAGTATATAAGGAGCGCAGTAGAGAATGACGGAGAGAGTCAGGAATGTATGCTGCCTATCATTTATGTCTTTCTGATACTTTCAATCTTATTTTTTCTATTTACGTAAACTGACTAATTTTAGATCGATGATCGAAACATAAACCGATTTGCGTTTTGAATATTAATGAATTTATGAACAAATTTATGAAAACTCGTCGTTTGTCGATTAGAGATTGCTGTATACAGTAACCTATTCATTAGATTTACTGTCGCTTCTTTTCTTTACCCTCTGTTTTATTGATTTGCAGCACAAAAACCTTTGATAGAGATTTCTGCTAGCTTTGTGTGATTTCGCGGGTTTATTCATTCATAATTAGAATTGTTTAAATTCATAATTTACTGTACTTTTGTTGTCACAATGTTTGTATAACTTCGAAACAGTAGGTAAAAAATACAACCATAAATAAATGTCAAATCAAGGGGCCGAAGAAATCGTAATCGCCCCTAATTCCGTGTAGAGTTTGGCGTGTAGAGATAATCGTGTAGAATTTTCCATGTACATAGAATTACTCCGTGTAGAGTTAACCCGTATAGAACTGGGGTGCTCCACGATGACAATTAATTATCGACCTATGTAAAATTTTTCGGGTTAAGGAGCAATCTGAAATGGAGTACATAAGTTATTACGAATATGGTGAAGAGGAGGAAGAGACAGAGAAATCTGAACCAAGAAGTTTAAAAAGCACTAAACCAGTTGAGTTTATACCAGGAAAAAATGGAGCGTGTTATAAAAAGAATCATGCCTTCAGTATTCAACCTCAAGCCTATCCCAATGCTGTTAATTTTGTACGTAAAAATAATGTGGTTTGTAACACAAATGAATTGCAATAATGTATAAATCAAATTAATTTATTTTCAGTCACATTTTCCATGCACGATACTTCGTCCTGGGCAAATATATTATCATGATCTGACCTATAAGTTTGGTGTACAATTAGGCAATTACATGTAACACAGTGTCAAACGTGTTAAAAATAAAAATGGAATTGTTGAATAATCATAATTTTTCTTAAATATTACGATGCTGCCATCCTGCGGAGGAACTTGGAAACAACTGGCATCTAAATTTATACCATGTATGTCGAATAGGGTCGATTGGAGCGGCTGAAACACAATGCTGACAAACGAGTGTGTAAATTTGCGGCAATGAAGAAGAGAAGCTCGGCTGTAGTTTTTAGGTCGCCAAGCGACTTGAATATCAAGTGCAGCATTTGGGAGTCTAAGTTGTTTGTAAAATAAGATCATAAAGAATCCAAAAAAGTAAAGAAATAGTTTTATCTCAATGGAGGGAACAGGAACGAAACACGCTAAGCTGGTGTGTCCGTCCGCTGAGGAATTGAGTGTTATTGTAAAAAATGTTCAATGCGTTCAGTGTGGCCTCGTGTTTCAAAGCGAGCCACGATTGCGTTTACATGATCTTAAGGTTCATCAACATAAAAAATTGGATAAGACCATCAAGGAGAATGTACAGTATCATTGTCCTGTTATAACTTGCATCTATGCCCTCAAGTCGCAGAGACATTTTACTACCATGAAATATCTTAAGCAGGTCAGTTGCTCTAATGAATAATTTTTCAAATATGTTTAGTCTTAAACTAATTCCATATCCATTTTGTAGCATTACCTTAAAGTCCATGCAGCAAAGACATTTACTTGTACTAGATGCAACAAGGGTTTCTCCACAGAAGCTGCTAAGGAAGCACATGTCAGAGTTTGTGGAACACAGTTTACTTGTGCTTGTCTCAAAATATTTAATACTTACGAGGCTTTACTTACTCATGCTAGAAGATTTTTTCATACTGTGGATGAAAAGTATAAAAATTCCTCAAGGTAATCCTATGTTGATAACAATACGTTCCTTCAGTTCTTAGGTGTACATATATGTATTTTTTAATGTAACAGGAAAACAAATTCAAAAGCTCCATTGGCTGCTCGTATGCCATTTATCTCACTCATGAGGACAGATAAGCCCATCACTATTTTACCAAACAGTGGAGGGTACGGAGCAATAGACCGAATTACTGGAGTAGGTGAAAACCTCAAAGTGGCCCATGATATAGCAGTGCAGACTGATGAGATTAAACGTGGAAAAAGAATGCCAACCCCAGTGAAATGCAATAGTGTCAAAGAACGTCGTGTATCACGGCAAACTCAAACGAGTGTTACCACACGGGAGAAACGTCACAGAAGATCTGCAGAAACACAAACTGGCGAAGACTGTAACTCTAAGAAAATGGCAGACGTTTCAAAGGTACGAAAACGTAAGAAGGCTGGACTGCCAAAGAAAGCTGAAAGTGCCATGGTCAAGGAAGACCTAAGCTTTCCTGAGAACTTCGTTTCCGAAAACTTCTTCCCAAACAGTCCACTTCCATTACGTCACGACGTGGGTCTTCCTGATTTTTGGGAGGACAAAAATACTTCCGGTACACAAACAAGTCCCGAAAAAGATCTCCTAGAAGTATTAAACGACAGTGTCACCCAAACCGATCTGGACGCATTTTATAATCCCCAGGAACCTACTTCTATGCATTGCGGATCTCAAACAACGAGTCTCAATGCTTTATCCTATGTAGAAGATGCATCTGTCGCCAATTCGTTTTCATTTACTTCCACTTCCGGCATTTCACGCTCAGATCCCATGCTAATGGATGAGACTTATAGGGATAGATTCAGCAGTATAGAAACTCAAACGGAACAAGCCCATTTACAGGCATTTTTTGATTCTGATACTCTCTCAAGATCTTTTGCATTGAGCTCAAATATCGAAACTCAGACTACAGAGAATTTTGAAAATATGGAACAATTACTTTATAGTAATACTTGTACTCAAACCTGTGATGAGATATTGCCTTCGGATTTAGGTCTCTCGAATATACAAACGCAAACCGCCTGGCCGCGTTTGGACGACGCTACAGTTTCTACGGAAACGCAAACAAAATTATCAACCTGTCACGAAGATTCTAATATCTCATTGGCAGCAAGATCCTGGCTGCATACGCAAACAAGTCATACGGAAACTCAAACAGATTTACTGAGTATATTCGACGAGTTAGAATGATACACTCCTTACATACAATTTTCAAGATATTTATAATTCATTGCTTAAAGCGCGTTTATTAGAATTCGGTGACAAACTTAATGGAGTATTCAATGTGCTCTTTCAGTCTCTTTTTGATAAAGGATACTTGCATTACGATACCTAAGATCAGGTCTTTTTCAATTCCCACGAAAAAAGGGTTTACAAAAATTATACATATTTTTTGGAATTCCATAATAATCATATAAATGCATACCACTCGATAAGCATTATCATAAATAACATTTCTTAAAGTAATGTAATAATTAGACAAGTTTTTCAATTTCATATACATAAATGATTTATTTTAATTGATTTGACCAATTAACGATACGTATACGTAGATAGTTGATTTTGCACCGGAATGTATATCCTCGATATTTTTCAAGAAAGTTACAAGGATTAATTTCGTTTAGGTCGCGTGAAATTTCGCTTTTTCCAAAAGCGTTGCCGCCGCCACTATTATATTTGGAAATAGACCGAAGCTGCAATGCCATTTATGATGGATAAACATTTGCCGGATATTACAAGGATTATAATTAATTTATAAAAGCAGGACGATGCAATTTTCTCAATGAAAAACATTGGTATCTGTGTAAACGCATATAGCCATTACGTTACATTTTCACCTTAAAGAATGTATATTGTGTTGATCGTGTAAAAAATTGAATATTTTTAAAACTTCTCGTCGCTTATTCAATTATCCCAGATGGCATCGTGTCGTAGATGATAAAATCCAAAAGTGATGATTTAACATGTGATGATTTTTGTTATCGAGCAAATAGGGGTTGATCCAAGAGCGATAGATAAGCCAACCCGAAATAGGGTTTACTCGACATTTAAATAGATCTTAATAGAACCTATCGTTATTAACGTATAAGAAGAAGTACAACAAATAAGTTATAAATAACATGTTTCACAGTGTGAATAAGTAAAATCTATTAGCAGTGTTACGCGGTGTGACATGAGCCGAGGAACTTGACGCGAGTAAGGGATTCAATGGGAATTCAAAATTTCAACAAGAGGACGTTATAACGCTGGACCCGTAGCGTTGTCTTCCTCGAAGTCAGGTAGAAAATCTTTGGTCCTATCCTCTATCCTGTCTACGTTCTCCAGGGCGGATGCAATAACGCGCAGATTATCCACACCGGTCATTAATTGCCTAATTACATACATTAATTAAAATCCTATATTCAGTAGTTTCCTTCTAATTTGAAATTCTTACCGGAGAGACACTTCAGCGGTAGAAGCTGCAGTCTTTAGGTCACTGGTCAAACGTCTTATCCGACCGTCCAGACTTCCTGGAGTATTTACACCGTAACCAGCTCCCATGCCTGCTCTGAGTTCCCTGTTTTCAGCTCGCAGCACCGATATCTCTGTCTGAATAGAAGATGCATTATAACCGATAGGATCTTGTTCTTTATATATCTATCGTACGTACCGTTAGGACTTTTATTTCTTGTTTCAATGCAGTTACTGTACTTTCTGCATTTACGGCTCTTCTCTACGATTGGAATGGTATTATGTAATTTTCGTCTGTTTCAAAACTGAGGAGCATGGCGCGATAATTACCGTGCTGCGTTTTAAATTATCTTCTACTTGTTCCATGGCTTTTTCTAAGTGTGCTGTTTCCTCGTGATCGACGACTCTCCTCGTGGCCAATTCCGTTTCCAACAATTGTATCCTGATTCACAGGAACACGTTGTATAAAAGTCATTATTATTAAGACGCGATGCTGTACTTACCGCCTTGCGCGTTCATCATTTTGTCGACGAATAATTTCCAAATCGTGGCGTAATCTCTCATTTTCAAGTATTAACTGAAATTAAAATTAAGATTTTTAGTAATAATACAATTTTATGATATTAATTGACGTACCCTACGGTCTGTGGATTCTGGAACACTCGATCCTGGACCAAGATCTGGTGTTGGAGCTGCTCTAGTGCGAATGGGACCATCACTTAAAAAATCAGGCAATGATTTTGTTACATTAGCTTCACTGCTTGGAGGACAACTTCTGGCACCTGTACTGGAATTATTGGGATCGGATTCAGCTAATGGTAATTGTAAATCAAATGGGAATCCTGAAAATAGATTATTGTGAAATAGATTTGAATACAGTACTTTTATATATATTTGTGCTAGGGCTAAATATACATACCTATTGATTCAGGTCTCTCTATGGGTTCATCATTGGGCCTGTCAAAGGCTGGTAAATCCAAAGGCCCTTGAGGCACTGCACTTGGTACAGAGCGTTCTCTACGTCCCCTATCTAAAGTTCCAGTTAAGTCAAAGGGGAGGTCCCCTAAGACTTCTGACTTGCTTTTTTTAGGTTCATTCCAATGACGAGGTTGTCTTTGCTCGACACTGTTCAATGCAAAGTCTGGAAGATTTTCCAAATCGACAATAGGTTGCGCAGCTGCCTCATGATTCAAGTAGCACTGTTCAATTACTAAGTGATCCTGAACAAAATCAGGCAACTCTGTAGGATTACGAGGATAAACTCCAGTTTCAGTGTCCAATCCAGGAGGCTCAGGACTCGTAACAGGTGGAGAATAAACTTTGGGTCTAGCTCCAGCAAGCTGGTAATTAGTCTGTGGTTCATTTTGAAGGAAATGCTTAAAGCTAAATGGGTTTTCCTCTCTTCGTGGCAAGTCGGGACCTAATGTGCAATCAGTATAATTCATATTATTCTGACTGACGTGTCAAACATCTACATTTAAGGGTAATCCTAACCTGTCGTGTGGTCGGTATCAACGCGATATACGCGATTTGATAGACTGAAGACTCGATAATTATTTCCAGGACGGGTGATGCTCTCAGTCTCATCCGATGACGAAGGCGAGGAAGATGCCGATGACATTCTCGAAGTCGTCAAGTCTTGTCGTTTTACAATTCGTTGTAGAGAAGACGAATCCTCCCTCTTGCTGCTATTCGCCATCGACCTTAGGCTCCTCCACCCTGTCTCTGTTATAATAGAACTATTCCTCTCGTTTATCCGTCACTACGAATCCCTTTATTCATCTTTCAAAGTGAATCAACTTATTTCGTGTCCTTTTGCACAACATATCTAAGTATGGTAGCCACAAATATATATATGGCAACTTGAAAACCAGATGGCACCTATATAGATATACATCCTATGCACATATGACAACATATGATTATACGTACCGACATACTTACTGTATCTTTAATGCATAGATATACAGGCAGTAACCTCCTATGATGAACAGGTGCCGCTTCCGACTACCTGAAGACGATGAGAGAAGCAACGACGTTAGAAATACCTTTTGTAAGCATAATTCAAACCTTCCGATTTTCCTCATTGGACACAATAGTATCGTAAAATTATTAGATACTCTTCTAAATTTCAGAAGTTAAAAATCTAACGGACTGAACCAAGTTAGACTTTGGGATCATTACAAATTTTTGTAAATTTTATAAACAGGACTATGATTGTCGTAATATGTAATTATATTTTAATAAATTGACAAAGTTATTATGAAAAAGAACAGGAAGTATAAAGAGGATCAAGTAACGTTGGCTAATGTCATAATAAGTCCCAACGTGATCTCAGTGTCCAGCATAAATGGCGTCTTTGATCGATCTGTACATACATGTGGAATGGTAGTAAATTGAACTAACAGGAATAAATAAGCGACTCGAATCTATATTCTAATAAATAAATAATCGAAATACTCAGAAATTGGATACTATGTTTAAAGAGACTATAACATACGTAAAGTTGGTAAGGTACATTTACAGTAGTGTGACGCAATAACTAGGTCAACATTTTTAGTAACAATTAGAATATCTATTAACAATTTTACGCCTCGGTCCTTATAGGTGCCGATTCTCGTTCATTAAACACGTTAAGAAGAACTCCTTAACGTACATAATGAGTTCAAAGAAATTATCAACAATTAGCCAATGCCTCTGCAATAGGCGAAGCCCGGCAACGAACGAGCAGGCAAGAAACGACGTTCCAAAATTTCATTTAATCGAAGTAATCATCGCCAATATTCTAATTATGCCCCTGGAGCATATACGCTTATTTGACTTCGTTTTTATTGTTTCATCGATTTCCCCTCTGGCTCATCTATATAAGTACTGCGTGTCGTTGCGTGCACGACTTTTGCTATGGTATACTGCCATGGGTTATACATTCTCTATGGAAAAGGACAGGAGTATATCCACCAGCCTCATAAACATTGCTATAATGATTTTCTAAATGTTTCAAAGAGTTTCCATGACAATGAGAGATCATGAGGTCAACCTCGAGAACCGGCAGATACATGCTCATCTTGACCTTGTCTTAAGTAAGATGATTTAACTAATGATAACTTTTGTTCAATGGCAAGATCCCATTAACACACACCATCTATAAGTATATCTTTCTCTCTCTCTCTCTCTCTGCGTACGAAAAGGGTTTTGCGTGTCGTCGCCTAGCATGCATTCGCGCACGCAACTACGTTAAAATTGCGTAGGAGGCGGAAAGTAAGAAGCAGCCACGATGCATTGGAACACGCATAGGAAGTACAAATGCAAATGGATGAAACGTGGATAAAAACAATATATAAATTTTACTGGGAGAGAATGTACCCACAAGAAGATCAGTAAATGCGATCATATTGGAGGAGCACCTTAAGCTTTTATCTTGAATGACGTTTCAACTGAGCAATGGAAACTCTGAGGTATAGATGATCAATATATTATACATTAAATATTATCCGACATAAGATATACAATAATTCTAACGTACTATACAAATTCTCAAGACTCTTGATTGTCATTTTAGCATTTTGAGTGCCCTCCAATCGTTGTATTACTAAGGTAACGACCGTCTAACACCAGAGCGTCCAATTCGATGCGGTTAGGGTCAATTTATCTATTATTGCAGTTTATTTATTATACTTCCAATCGCGTGTGGCTATACCACTCGCGGGGATATACCGTCCCTAGCTTTCATAGCTGCTACCAATCCAATTGAATGTAGCACAGAGTAGGGGAACTTTACACCAGCCCGTCGTGAACCTTCTTCGACGGATTCTTTGACTCTACGTTTAAGTCGCGAGCGCCTGCCGCGCCGCGTACTTCGCTCCTGCATCGCAATACGTCTGTATCTTTTTCATTGAGGAAAAAAATCGACCCTACTCTTAAAGCGTGCCCGGAACGTTTGAAATAAGGGAAGGAAGTAGGGGCGCGTGGGACTGACTCGCGCTTAGTCACTCACCGCTTTCCGTGGTGAACGCATCGCTCGGAGGAGATTGCTTCTCGCGCTACTCATTGAAAGTTCTCAATAAAGTCTAAAATACAATTATAATCGGTATCGGACAGTAATTAGTGTAAAGACCAGGAACTCTCAGTAGTTTAAATCAAACTTCCAAGACTTTGTAAAAGGATCGAGAATTTTGTTTAATTATTTATTTTCTGGCAATACCTTCGGTGTCCATTTTTTTCAACTATCACCAAAGTGAAATCTTATGCCCGAACTGACTAAAGTCCTAATTATTGTTAACCACGGAACGCGCAGTTTTTAGTGAAGAGTATTCAGGCATCTGCACTCCCGACAGGAGCATGTGGTTCGTGTGACCGTGAGGTGCTGTAAGTACAGTAATGCTGCAGCGTAATATGATTAATAACCATAGTAAACTAGTGCGCAAGGTCCTCGTGCATTCGCAAGTTATTAAACAAAAAACAAACTTTTACTATCAATGTAGTACGATCCGCCGAGTTACTTAGTATCTTTACATTTTGATATCCTTTAGTCGGCTCGAAACATACAGATAAACTTGTAAATCTTTGTGCTATATAATTGAAAAAATACTGATTACGTCAATAGGTATCAACGTTGTATGCGGAAAAGCTTAACATTCCAACAATGTGACATTCTCTCTCTCTCCCTTCCCTCTGTCTCTAAGCAATACTTAAATATAATTGATACATAGACTTTACTATATTACTGAAGCAAAACGTGGAGAGTATTAAAGAAGCGGATGACGTTCGGAAAAGCGAACGCAATTTCGTTCTAACGTTAAAGCCGTTCCGTTTCAAATAGTCCAATCAGAACTCATCCTCACCGCTTAATGCTAATTCTCACTGGCCGACTGTCTTATATATTCTTCACATTAATGTCAATTGCAACTGCATGGCTGCCCGATATTTACCTTGTGATAATTCTTGCGACAGTCCTTCGAGACCAGTCTCGTTCATAAGTATACATTACTCTGGAAAGAGATTTAGCTGTTCTTAGGTGTTCGCGTTGCTTCGCTACGTAGCGAACCGGTTGCACATATGTATGTATATATATATATTGTATGCAGTACAGTTTACACTCCATTCTCATAGATGAAAGTTAAGAATATTCTTAAGAATTGTACATACGACGCTGCTAAGCCTAAGAGAGTAGATTTTACCCCGTGCGACCGATATTAAACAGTGTATATGACTGTTAAAATGATTGATGATATTATAGATTGGCGTAACAGGGTAGATAACACCTAGACAATTATGTCGAAGGAGTATAGGAGGGGCTGGAGTCGCGTGTCACCGGATAAGAGATGAATAACAAAAAGTAGGAACGATGTGTAGAAAAACCGATGGGATGTAGTTGTTAAAGAAGTCACGTGTCTAAATTGTGACTCATCGAAGAAAGGGGACTTCTTTGCATGGTCAATTGATCAATTCCTTTCACGCGGTTCATGTCATTTGTTTCAATGTACATGATCGACTTCCGTCATGCAAATGATCCAAGTACCAGTTGAGAAAAGGTCTGATATTTTTTTTTATTGTCTGCTTTTGTTTTTCTCTATTCTGTTATTTGATATACGTATACCTGTACTATGTGCTTATACTGATGTTGATCTTATAGTTTGTAGATCAGTGACTGGATCAGAGTACATATTAAGGACGGTCAAAAATATGACAGATACGATTATCCGGTCGGAAGTGGCACGAGGTAACGTTTTAATATGATATATAGATAGATAGCGTAATGTCGCTCGAGGAACCCGATGACCCACTCAGAGGTTTGCTCAATATATCGATCTTCCTGGCGACAAAAGGAGACCCTGCTACGACAAGAGGCCCTGTTGGAATCCGGAACATTGAAAAAAAAGGAAGTGGAATCCTCGAGGTGTTCGAGTAGTCAATCATTGAAGTGCAGCAGATGGGAATAAAAGTGGAATTCCTTTTCTGAGGCGATTTAAGTCGCCGGGAGATTTGTACTAGGACCCTCAAAGGATACTAAAAAGAAATGGTACACGAATGGGATCCTGGTGTACGGATATTGGTCGAAGAGCAGTGCTGAGAGTGCAGAAGTGGAAGCTTAAGAGTACTGGGTATGATCTGGTTAAAAAGTAGAGAAGGAAAGTGAAGATATCACAAGGATCGCAATGAAAGTCAATAAGCCATGATGAGTAACGAAGAGTGGTCGGAGTTGTATTAATAAATTAGTGTCTACTTGCGAGATGTAATGCACGTGCACGATGTGCAGCTCGTATTGGCGGCTGTGCGTGTAGTGATAGTGAAGACAATTGACTGTCTGCCGCCGCCCCTCTGAGCTTCCTGACGTCACATCCTGCCCCGAGCACACCGCGATCTCATCTGAAACACCAGTGCTTAAAAGTACTGAGATTTCGTGCCAATGAGCAATTTGAAATTCTTGAAATATTTATAAACAGGTAGTTGTACATGGAATCAGTTTATTAGGACTGGATGAATTATGAACTAGAGATTTGACAATGAGATTAATTTTTTTGTTTTATATCCATATGAGGAAGTTTCTCAGAAAATTGGGATGTCATCGTATATGTATATTAATTTATGAAGAAATTTTTATGGTTTCAATGATTAGAAAGTTGAGGATTCAGTGTACTTTGCACCCGGAAGGAATGTCAGTGATTGCATAGGATAGAGATAATCGTGAGATTATCGGATATTATTATTGCTAATAATAAAATGACAAGAAACCTGTTTGCAAAAAAAAAAAACGATCAGATAAACACGCCATGAATGATCGAATCGCCGTGAGAATAGCGCATGAGACTGGTTCCAAACAAACAATCGAGTCTTTCCATTTAAACAGTCGAATTCAATTGACTCCGAGGAAGTACTTAACGCCGAGAATTGCCTCACATGACGCTGACTAAGCTATTAAGGAAAATCTTGGAGCATCCTTCTCGCAGAAGATACTTCGTGGCCTGAGATGGGAAGATGAGTTTTATGCAGATTTTAAGCCTGCGAGTATCTCCCTTCTTTCCTGTAGGACGCAGTTCATGGATACTTGACTGGAATTTTTAATTGAAAATACATGACAGCCTGGAGCGATTCTATCAAAAGTTATCGATGGTATCTTGCTGCAGGACGGAAGTCGTAAATCCAAATGCGTAGAGAGGAAATCATGCGAAATGCATCTGGAAGCGAGCAGATACGTAGATATGTATCTTATCTACCTTGGGGTAGGCTAGTGCCAACGCGGAGACCGGAAGTAAGTGGTTTCTAAGCGTTTTATGGAAAAAGCGTAGGTGTACACGTGACAGAAATATTAAAGCTCATTCGGATTCCAGAGCGATGCAGTAGTAGGTAGGAAGGTAATGAGCACACGGGCGGCATGAAAATCAGGCAAGGTCGGGTCGAATGAGTAAATCTCGACCAAATGATAAATGGGACACTCGATAAGTTTTCAAGGAGGCAGCCCTAAGAATTTCGATAAGCCACTAAGACGAGGGAAAGATGTTAACGAGATAGGAGATCCGAGTAGATGTATTTTTGTAACTTAATTCAGAGGAATTGCGTAAAAGTCGGATTTAGTGTGTTAATTGGATATTACTTAATCATAAAAGACTAAGTTACGTAAGGCACCTTGTTGTATTTTATTGGTATATTTAATGGCGAAGTTGTTATTGCGCTAATTTTGATACAGTCAAGGTGGAAGACAGAAATAATGACAACCAATAATTTTGTGGTTGCGTAAAAGAACAGGTTTAACGTGAATGTTATCCACTGGGAGAGTTCAAATGTCGACTCTTAAAATTTATTAGATGATCCTGTCCTCTCTATCTCTGCGTTTAATTACCTCAATTCATGTTTGGTAATTGCCAGGGACTCCCTGCAACGCCGGTTTGTATAAGTATCTCAGTACCCTTGTTTGTTTTCAGCGAATGAGGAACGATGATTGGCGTCGCCTGGAGGATCCTCGGGATCCTACTCCTCGTCTGCGATGTCGTCCCTACGCATCTTGTCGGGTCCACGGAATCGCCGGAAATTATCGAAGAACCGGATAACTATACCACTACTACCAGGAGGATATTGCCGGACAGGTGTTTAGTCAAGATGGAACCGGGACCTTGCAAGAATTATATTCACAAGTGGACCTTCAATAATGCTGAAGGAAAATGCCGGACGTTCCTGTACGGCGGTTGCCTTGGCAATGAAAATAGATTCAATTCAGAAATTGAATGTCTTTATCATTGTGTCGGAGGACCAGATCGTAAAGGGATTTTAATATTTTATTTATCATTCTAAATCAGTTCCTTGATTGATCTTTATTGCTCTTCTTAGATACTCTACCCTCTTATATGGTGACAAAGGGTAGTGTCTTTGTTACCACGAGTACAACAACGACAACTGTCTCTCCACCAACAACAGCAAGTAGACCGCCACCCACATTTCTACCGCCGAAGTCAACAAGACCTCCTGTACCTAAACACGAGCGTGGAAAGGTAATTGAGATGATTTATGAAATGTTTGGGAAGGACAAAGATCACTCATGAATTTCTCTATTTAAGGAATTGACTTTTATGGAGTCCGGACACGAGAAGACATTTATGTTCGCTCAGAACAATACGTTTATACAGTTGGATGGCAGTGGAATTAAGACTTTTCAGCTGAGGTACAATTTTTAACTCAGCAATATTTATTTTTCACAAAAATAATACTTTTGGTTTGTAGATTGTGTCGTGAGATTTCGTTTAAATTTCGAACAAAGTTGCCACATGGTCTCCTGGTTTATCACAGTGTCAAGGACAGACCTGAAGGTCTTGATCCTTATGCACTTTATGTAATTGTCGAAAAGGGTCAACTCAAGGTGGTCCATGTCTTTGGAAAGAAATCTACCAGTCTGACAGTCGGTGAAGGATTGAATAGAGATCAATGGCACAGTGTCCTAGTAAGAATAGATGTGCACGGTGCAAAGTTGATAGCCCGGGTTGATGACACTCAGGAAGAGACCACTTTGAAGGTCCTAGAAAACGTGATCAATTATGGAGTATCCGAAGAACTAGCTTCTGTAGTTCTGATTGGAGGTAATGAACGCTTTGAGCCTAGACATTTTACATTTCAGATTAAATAATTTTACTGAATTGTCAGGTCTAAGTTCTGAAGAGCGACTGCACGGTGTGAAGTACATCATCGAGTCATTCGTAGGCTGTATAAGAGACATGGTACTCAGTTCCGGAAAATCAGCCAGTGATTTGTTACCTATCAGACCGTTGATCGCCACAAAACATGAGAACGTAAAGGAAGGCTGCATAGATAAGTAAGTTTAAAAATTCCAATAGATATACGTAAATAGTACAGAAACGTTTGATATTTCAAAACAACCTTGTTGCCGCTGTCCAGGTGCAAGACCAGAGAGAATCTCTGCTTCGTGGGCAGTCAGTGTGTGAACCATTACAATAGTCTAACGTGCAACTGCTTTGGTACGAGATACGAGGGGGAAAGATGTGACGTTTACAGTAAGTATAATAAAAGACGTGGAGGATATTATTAGAATTGAGTCTAATGAGTGCATGCGTTATTGAACCGTATTAAAGGGACAGGAGATTAACGAAATTCTCTATTCTGAAAATGATTTGCAGCTGCTACGATTTTAACTCTGAGAGGATCCTCGTACGTGTCGTTCAGGGTCTACGACTGGAAGGACCGTGTCCATTCGTCGGTCAACAGGATTAGCTTGGTCTTCAAGGTATGCGTACCTTACGTGAAACCATAATGGGAGCCGCATTATGTGCATTCCTACAGGAGCTCACGGTTTTCTATGTTAAGATATAATCTGGTTGGGAGCAGCCCAGTCCTTTTGTAAATTCCCGACCACTAGTGGGATCTATACACACTGCATACATTAAACATAAGGCTGTCAATATATCGTAGCCCTTTCAATCTCAGGATACAGATGAAGCATCCATTATAAATAAGTGTCTATAACTTATCTATTCATCCAGTAGTTTTACATTCTACCCATTGTCAGTCATGGATTCATTTTAACAGACTAGATGGGACGATTCTGCACTTTTCTATGCATCCGGAGAGATCGATGGTACAGCGCACTACGTTACTGCATCAATACTCAATAAATCTGTACACGTAGCTCTGGACTTTGGACACGACTCGAAAGTCGGCACTGCTCTTGGACAATACATTACTTCAAATCACTGGAATAATCTGACCATCTTCCATAATGGATCTTTGGTATTTGTCAGTTTGAACGACGAGGTAAAGATACTCGAGATACCTGGTGAGAATTACAATATGATAATAGACCCAGAGATCTATATAGGCGGTGGTCCAGAATTGTATAAGAAGAAGGGATTACTCTCCTATAATAATTTTGCAGGTACTAAAAATTCTTTAATTTTTTCATCCATTGCATTCATTCGTTTTGGTAAATAATGACAATGAATAAATTTAATGAATTGCAGGTTCCATGAAGTACGTCTTTTTCAATGACAAATCTATCATTTATGAATTGAAAAGATCTAATCCAATGGTTCACTATATTGGCGTCTTAGAACCAGAGTACTACGAAGCCGACGTAGAAGTGATACCCATCACGTATCCGTTCGCCGAGAGTCACATATGGTGGCCCATAGAGACTACTGATTCTCTTAAATTAAATTTTGATTTTAAAAGCTCGACACCCATAGCGGTGGTAGCTTCTGGGGACGTTAAAAGTGATCTTGGTTCTGGATACTGGGAGGTAACACATCATCCTTTCATCTCGCTCGATCCGACAATGACGAAAAAGGTTCGACCTATAAACCTAATGTTCCTTAGGTACGGCTAGTGAACGATGAGATTCGTTTTCATCTGATACCTGTCTTGACTGACAACGTTACCGTTTTAACGGCCGTCAAGATTCCACCTTATAGTACGTCCTGGCATGCAGTCGAACTTGACTATTCTAAAGGAGATCTTAACATAATGGTGGATTATAGAAATAAGCAGAATAAATTCTTTGCTATGACCTTCGAACTTGGTGATAAAGTTATTATTGGTAGCGGCAAGAGTAATGCTGGTACGTGATGTTTTTGAAAAATTACGGAAATATGAAATGTACATTGTATAGCGCAATTTTTTTATTTCTTTTCAGGTCTTGTTGGTTGCATGAGGGAAATTCGTGTGAATGATGAAAGAATAGAGCCAAGATATGTGATCAATACTAAACGAGTTGTTGGAGAAGTTGCCCTGGATAATTGTCAATTTGTGGATCCTTGCAAGAGGCCTAATACTTGTGAACATGGTGGGAAATGTTCAGTAAAGGAAGACAGGATAACTTGCGATTGTACTGACACCGGGTACATTGGAAAGAATTGTCATTTTGGTAAGAAATAATTGAAATTATTAAGATTGCAATGGGTTGATATAAAATTTTTGGTATTTCAGCTCAGTACAGAAAGACTTGCGAGGAGCTTGCTCTACTTGGTTACAACCAGGATGACGTCTATAGGATAGATATTGATGGGAACGGAAGATTTCCACCGGCTTTAGTGAAATGTGAATTTCAGTCGATAGAGGACTCGACGAAGACAATCGTCGAGCACAATTTACCATCTCAGGTGGACGTTAGGTCCATTACTGAATCCGATTTCTCATTCAGCATCAAGTATAGGCAATTCACAGCCGAGATGCTTCAAGAGCTCATTTCTCATTCACTGTACTGCAGTCAATATGTCAAGTACGATTGTTATAAAGCTCCACTGGAACTTCACAGCGCTACCTGGTTTTTGGGTTCGAAGGGAACTACTGTGAATTACATTGGAAACGTGAATAAAGGATCCTGTCCCTGTGGAAGTGAGTAGTTAATAATACCACGAATTTCATAAGGCTTACGGGGAATTTATTCAATTCAGTGAACAGAACTTGTGTGAATCCAAATTTGAGTTGTAACTGTGACGTGTCTGCCGGCAAATGGTTGTCCGACGAAGGATATTATGAGAGTCCTAACTCTCTGGGGATTATCGGTATGGTCTTCTTACAACAGCGAGACCTGGAGGAGGATGCTCAAGGAAGAATAACATTGGGTCCTTTGGAATGCGTGGAGACTAGTGAGTGTGCTCGTGCATCAATCATGGAATCCAAGAGATTGTTAATTTCAAAATTAATTTTCAGATACACAAAAGTATGTGGTGACGTTTACAACTTCCCAATCCTACATTGAAGTTCCTGGTTGGAGAAAGGGAGACATAGCTTTTAGTTTTCGAACAACCGGAGAGAAGGCAATTCTTCTTTATCAGCCACCAATAAGAAGCAACTACCCTTCCTTTATGGTGGCATTGACATCCGATTATCATCTAACATTCAATTTCACTCTGAACACTGGTACCATTAGAGAATTAGAAGTGAAGAGTCGCAGGAAATTGAATAATGGCGAGTGGCAAAAGATTTGGATCGATTACAATGATTATCACGTACGATTTATGATAAACACTGACTTTCAAATGGTCGAACTCTTACCTGAGGAGGAATTTGGGCCCTTTGAGGGATCAATGTTCATAGGGGGAGCTACAGCGTAAGTGTTATTTTTGAAACCAGTTTTTAAACTGCTACTAAACTTGATTATTTCAGAGAGCACCTAAGAACTTCTTCAGTTCGACAAGGCTTGATAGGTTGCTTCCGGGGTTTGGTTGTTAATGGCGAAATTCTCGACATACATAGTTACATGTCTGTTCATCTATCAGAAATTATAAAAGACTGTAAACCCTCCTGTCAGCCTAACAAGTGTCAAAATGGTGCGAGATGCGTGGAACTCTGGAGCAACTTTGAATGCGTTTGCGAAAACAAATGGGCGCACTTGGGAACTTATTGCGAAACCAGTAAGAGCGTTTGCATAGATTCATTAGATATACAAAGTTCGGGACTTATTAAGAGACACTTTTATTCCTTTAGATATAAATGATAAGGCATTGACATTCACGTCACCGGGGGCCTTCCTTAAGAAGAATTACTTTGGTACGGGCGATGACGAGGAAAAACTTCTGCTGAAGAGCATGCTCGTGGAGAACATCCTGATCAACCTGAGGACGTACGACACCCACTCGCTGATTCTCTACGCGAATGATCATCTGAATAATTTTGTTCATCTCTACATTTCGAATGGGACCAGCATCGTCTACCTGTTCAACGCCGGGAACGAAATCAAAAACATCACCATGGAGTACCCAGGTGGGCTCAGTTCTTTCTCTACCTCAAGGATCCATCGGAGATGTCGAAAAGAGTCAAAAACTCACGTAAGGCCCTTCAGGCTAGTATCCTTACGTCAATCCTGAGTGCGAATATTCCCTTCCAGGAGTCAATACTGGAATCTCTATACAAATAGCAATTATACGTGGAGAGAAATCCACGACATTACATGTTAACGAGCAGAATGTGACATTGGATGCCAGTCCTTTGCAATTGGATTCCTATTCTAACAAACCCTGGACAAATCCTGAGAAGGAGGTTCTGGCACCGCAGCGACCACCAGCTCCCCCAACAGATTATTTCCAAGTTAGCATCTTTCTAAGAGAAGAATCATTTTTATACTATATAATTTTAATTAATACTTCTTCTTAGGTCAACTTAGGCGGATTTGATTCAGACAATTTATTAAGGGTCGGTACGGAGGGCACCCTTACCCAAGGGTATGTGGGTTGTCTACGGGGGTTAATGATTGCTGAATATCTGGTTGATTTACCAAATCTAGCCAGTGAAGCTAATCATGAAGGTAGTAAAGGCGTACTGCCAAATTGTCGAATGAAGTGCGACGCGGTGCCCTGTAAAAATTTGGGTATCTGTACTGAAGACTTCAGGAGGCAGGAGTCCTCCTGCAACTGCGAGTTGACTTCATATTTTGGCGAATTCTGTGCCGATGGTATAAATATAAATATCATTTATTTACATGGAAAATAAGTCATCTAAAAGAACCGGATATCAATAATTCATCTTTTTTACAGAAAAAGGCGCAGACTTCAGTGGAGAGAGTGTTTTACAACGCGAATTTAATATAGAAGGAGAAGTGAATCAGGTCAAAGTTCAATTGGCCTTTTCGACAAATGATCTCCGTCAGCGTACAACGGCTTTGCTTCTTCTTCAAACTGAAAATAAGTAAGAAATTTCGTGCTATCCTGTTTCAGATATTCTAAACTATATAATTGTCCTTCTAGGAGGAGTTATTACCTGTTGGTAGCGTTGACTTCCGAAGGTCAATTGATCTTTGAAGAGGACAGAGAGGGATCTGCATATGGGGTTCGTGTAAATGATCGAAACTTCCTTAACGGTGGCCGACATAGTGTTTACTACGTACGGGACAACAATACGTCAATTTTACTAGTAAGTATTATAAGTTTTCTTTCTTTTCTTCGATAAAAAGATTTAACATCATTTCAGATCGACAGAGAACCCGTACAACTTCTGCCTATTCCGGTCTTGAGTCTAGCCGACGATGCCGACGAGGAAGATGACAGTCCTGGAGCAACGGAGATTCAACTAGGCGGTCTAAACACTACCGATCCTAGATTCAGCGCATATAAAGGATATACAGGATGCTTAAGCAGTGAGTGAAATAACTTATTTTCTACTGAAAGGAATGAAATCCTAAAAAAAATCTCTATACAGACGTGGTGGTATCCATCAACGGAGATGCAGGAATGAAGCCTTTGGAAGAGTACATGCTCTTCACGAAGAAGGGTAGCGAAACAGTACGGGCTACAATACCAGCCGGTGTAAGGAGTGCACAGTGTGCAGTATTTCATGCTCAACCACGAGGACCAGAACCTCCCAGGAACGACAGCGTGGTAAGATCAGAAAATCTGTGAAATCTCAATGGAATGTCTTATATAAAACCGTATCAGGGCCGGGAAAAAGCTTGGGTGGAAGATCCTCCCGAGAGGATTCTATACAAATCGCAGTACTCGGATGCGACTAAGGAAGAACAAGGTGCAGGAACTTACATATTCATCGTCCTCTGCTGCGTCTTCGTGGCAGCTGTGATAGGCTGCTCCTATGAAGTATGGCGAAGTGCTCGGAAGGATAGGAGGCGCCGAAGATCCGGATCAACTGGAGCTGGTGGCGGGTCGGCTTCGGGTTCCCAGAGATGGCAGCCACCGTATAATGACTCCATGGTAACGTCGACTGGTGTGAAAAGTGTCGGATTCAAAAATGTTGGAGAGGAGGACAAGAGGCCAAATGGTACTCATGCCAAATCTATTTCCAAGGAATATATAGCGATTCCGAACTCCGAACCCAAGTCTGATTTAGTAAATGAAAAGAAAGTCCACGCGAAAGGTATACTATTCTTCATTGGCGTTAATGATCCTTATATGTTTTATGATTATTTGTACTATCTAAAATTTCAATGGTTTTCGTCTCTCTCGCAGCAGACGAGGAATCAGAGAAGAAGGAGCTCCTAGGGGTAAATACAGGCCTCGTCTCTAAACCTCCGAAACCAAACCCATTCGTAAAGATTCATTTTTTTATATCCTCTTATAAATACCTATAACGCTTGCAAGGCTTGCAGGGTTTGCTTTTGCATGAACTGTGTATGTTATTGTTGTCCAATGACGAATCTATACGATTCCCGTATTAAAGAGTAAACCTATAAATAATTGTGCTTGATATTCTCCTCAAAGAGATGAACATCTTTTTCCATTCAGATATTGTCTTAATTTTGTATCATTTCTCTCTGCCCTGCCTCTGCCCTGCCTAAATAAGTTCAAAATCGAAATATTTAATTGTACTCAACGATATTCTTTTGTTATTGCACGAAACAGTCTATGGAAGATCTGAGAGAGGAACCGGAATTGGAGGAAGAGTCCGAAGAGGAGGTCGAAGAGGAGAGTCCCAGTATCAGTAGCGACCCGGATGCAGAAATACTCGTGAAACCGTCACCGGTAAGAAAATCACTTGAGTCCTCGACGAGCGAAATAGACAAAAAGAATCTAGGAGCCACTCTGACAGGACCCAAGAAATTCCTGGAGACTAATTTCTCCGTGACTGGTATAAACGAGATAAAAACGGACCAAATACCAACAGACACGAACATCTTGAATAAGTCTAACGTGCCCAAGAGGCCAGTGAGTCTAGATTTGAAGGGGACTACGATAGGATATAAAAAGCGACCTGCTAGTATACAGGTTCAAAAAGTCACTGCGAAATTAACTGAGATTCCAAAATCCAAGTGACCATAGTCTACGTATTCAGTATTCTTATCCGTACCAGGAACATAGACGTTAAATTTTGTAGAGGGATAAAGGAACAGTAAGAATAATTACAAAAACTATTTTGAAGTCAATCAACGATAGTATAATGGTCTAACATAAGTCGTAGAATAATAATGCATAAAGAATGTACTTAAGAGTTAGCGCACAAAGCGTATGACAATTATCTTTTTTGTTCTTAAACTCGATTACAAATTAGAAGTCTATAACGTATCATGTACAATTAATTAAGCGTACTAATTAATAATTTAGCGCCTTCGTTGTAAAAACCTTTGTCTATATGTGTGCTTTTGGTGGCGACTGTCCAGCATTGAAATCATCTCGACCAATTGAGAATCATTCTTCGATGGCTTTAGGATGGCTTTAACAGGTTGCAGTCAATGTTTCAGATGAGTAACTCATCCTCGAGGACGAGTATCGAGGAAAGTGTGATACCATTAAACTTCATTGCCAATTCCGAAGTACCGAAAGCACCCTTTGACGTTTAGAGGTACAAAAAAGCCCTTATACATCTTTTAAATCTTTCCCCAAAACAATCTCTTTCTCTCTCTCTTTTTCTGCTTAATTTACAATTCATGCATTCCTTTACCATACATATAGATATACAGGAATTGTATTTCTGAATTTTTTCAAAAAAGGTACGACGTCACTTGCGACGTATACTAGCTTCTAAAAAAAATTACTCTCTTCTTGTGCCTTGAAGAAATAGCTACTGCTCTTCTGGAGTAAGAGTGATTCGAGGAATATTTTATAGCATGTTATAAGACAGACGCGAGAATTGAGAAAGAAAAAATATATAAATTTTCCAAAGAATAATACGCATTATCGATTACAGCATCCATCGAAATTTGCATTAATCTTATCCTCTAGAATTAATCACAAAATGCTTTATTTATCACCTGCTGACCTGAGCTACTTGCAGAATATGATATTTTGGACTCTGTCACGCAGTGCGAATTTGCAGAAATTCCATATATAATTTCATGGCATGTTTCGCTTTTGGGCTGCAGTCGGCTGAGCGACCGAACGAAATATTCTGAACCGCTTATTATTATTAATTAATTAATCATTCGTTAATCGCGCTGTGTCGTCTTGAGATTTTTTTCACATTTTCTTAACTGTCTTTACTGAACGACTGAAAGAATGCTAAAGTAAGTAAGCTTACGTAATATACTAACATAGTAGGATATATTCTTATTTCTCACGCCGATTATATATCAAGGATATATCTAATATCTTATTAATTGTACGAAAAATGTATTCCAGTTGCTTTCTTAATTAGCTGCGCCTAATTGTATGATAATAAGATGAAATAATTAATTGCCTAGGCCGGTGTACAGGATGGAGATAAAAATCATTCCAGATCTTGGGGAACTGGCTCGGCAGGTGCGTGTCTGAATTAATTCATCCTGTTTAGAATAATCATAACAATGGAGGTACATCCCCTGAAATTTTTTTAACGTTTCAAAATGTTCTTGCAGATTTTTCAAAGGTGCCGATGTTCAACATGTCGCCGGTTTTTCTCTCAGATGATCGGCGAACCTTCAACAATCCTATCAGCTATCTCGGTGGACCGAGATTCCAGCCGAGAAACAAGACGTCGATCGAATCTGTCTTGTCTGTTGATTAACTTTATCATCACCTAATGAAATATTTAGGAAGAAGATATACGCACGTCGTATATTATAGTTCTATACATACAGCTCCTAGTCAAGTTTTCATTGAACTGTCTGTACAGCCTCGTTCTAGCTAGACATTAGTGTATGCATTCACTATAGCACAAAGACATCCTGACAACGTACTCAGATTGTCTTAAGTTACTTTTCCGATGCTTTTTAACGAGTGTCTAATTTTTATTTCTAGGATATCTTTATTATGATGTCTATTTCTATCTTATATAAGAGAGATTTCAAAAGTCGAAGCTAAACAAAACATGGTCGCCTTTGACAAAACTGTTTCTCTTTAGTTAATTAAAAATTATTGATACTTTAACGTTTTAACGTTGTCAATGTGATTTTAAAGATCTTCAAATCATACTTGCGTTTAATGTCAAATAAATATGTTTGGTCATGCTCTTCGTTACACATTTTCAATAAACGACACAGCGCTTCATGCGAGTAACGTTTCTTCGATTGCGTTTAAATCCTATTGCTGTTGACTAAAGATAAATTAATTACACAATACCAAACCCGGTATTATTATTAGTCCATCAGTCTTTTTGACGACCCGTGAACCAGGATGTAGTTGATATCTGTAGATTAACTTACCTATTCAAATGGCAAAGTCGAAAATGCTTGTGTGCGTGAAAAGGTTAGACGAAGACTATCGAAACCGATGACTATTTTCCTTTAGGTAATGCTTATATTTATTAATTTACGTTTTTAGTAATCCTGATGGAAAAGAGGACTGGGTTTTAATCGAATTGAAGGGCGATGGAGGTACATCTAATGACGAGCATATGAAGAGTCAAAACATTGGGAATTTTCATTTTACCAAAGATGGTATTCTAATCCTTATTATAGGGTACCATATTTTGTACGGGAAAGATACTCGAATCAGTAAACCCATAGCAGTCTTAAAAAAGAAATCTAATAGTGAAGGATGTCTAAATGGAGAACACGCTGCAGAATATACAGTGAGAGCAATTGCTACGAGGAAGATAGTATTCAAGACTCGACCAAAACGTATTGTTAATCACTTCATAACACAGTAATTGTATGTATATAAATACTTTGTTGGATTCCTAATAAAATAGACGATTATGAAAAAGAGTGTGATTTACTTTATATGGAATAGATGAGCATGTGTAACTTAAAGTACAAACTTTAATACAATTCTTATACAGATAGCTAATCCTTCATTTCTCCCTCTTCGTCTTCTTCTTCAACACCACGAATGTACATCACATTGTTACATCTTATTAATACTTCACCAAGGTTCCCTGTTGAAGTTCCATTTACATGTTCTTCAGTATTCGCTAATTGCAGATTCATGTAGCCATCAACCGACACAAGATAGCCTTTGTACTCTTGGCCCCACTTTAGTTTTACCATTACAGGCTTGCCTGTTAGACCATTTAGGAATGGTTTTGGATTTATTGGCATAGTAGCCGCCATAGTTATAGCCGTTTATATACCTGCAACAAAAATTGTTTTAATCGACAGTCATTCGACTATAACCTTATTGATTGGCGGTTAAAATAACGAACATATTTGAGATGAAGTATAGAATAAAACTGTATATTTAAAAAATAAAACATAAGTGAAGGAGAATCTGTATGAATATTTGTATATATTAATAAAATATCTGCAATACTAACAGCGTTAGACAAAAAATATGAAACGTAAATATACGTTCTTCACGTTGGAGCCGCACAATGCTTGCTTCTGCCTATTTCTTAGACGAATTGTCAACTTTGACCAGAGATGAGTAGGGAGATTGCCAATGAGTTGATTTTCATGATCCAAATTTTAATTCGGCGTCGACACGCCACCTGAACGGAGAGCCCTGGAACCAGACTCACGTCTTTTGATTGGTCGAGTATATATAGTAATACTACGTATGATATTCGTGAGCTCGTGAGATGCATGGACTACGTTTACACGACAGCTTAAACCGGTTTAGTTAACACTGATCTAAAAGAATTAACCAATCTTAAATATTCCTTACAAGTAGTAATGTCTATGATTTGTCTATTCTTTTAGATCAGTATTAACTAAACCGGTTAGGTCCGTCGTCTAAACGTAGTCTCTCTGACACTTTTCGAATTGGAGATTTCCTATGACGATAATGCAGTTTTTTCAGTCCAAATTCAATTCCTTTAGTAACAAACCCTGTTTATTGTGTATGTTGGGTTATGTGTGACTGGAGTACACGTCAAATTGTGACAGTTTATTAGATAAAAATGAATATTTTGCCAAAAAAACGGTACGTAATATGATAATAATAATTACTAATAATGTATATTTATTATATAAAAGTGTGAAATACTATGACAATTTTGTATCTTGGTAGATGGCACGTTCGAACGAAAGAGAATATCGCCCGCGTACGTCGCGATGAAGCACAAGCAGCAGAAGAAGAAAACGATAGGAAGGCCAGGATACGAAAAGCTGTAGGTATTTTAGTATATAAATATTTTGTGTTATATTTACATTGTTCTTATTGGTATGTAGGAAACCGAAGCACGAATAAATTTGTTGAGGGATCGTGCAAAGAGCAAACATGGAGATAGTGAAGAAACCAAAACAGAAGAATCTTCAGAAAGTACTGAAAAGTTAGAGCATGTTAATTTCTTTGCTGATCTTGAACAAGGGAAAGTTGATTATTCAAAGCCTAATCAAGAACATGAAAAGGAGAAGAAGGAGGAGAAAGAAAAGTATGAAAAGCAAATTGGATATTTGACGTATCTTGGTCAAGATACCGATGAAGCAACAGGAAGAAAGAAGTGGTATGATGAATTACCTAGAAGATTAACTGACACAGAAAAGCATGTGGAAATTGAAACAAAACGAAAATCTTTTGATGATCCTTTGGGCGATATCAAAAAATATCTACGCATTATGGGGTCATCTGCAGGTGATTCTGGTTCAAGGAGTAAGATTAGTGATGAGAGAAAGAAACGGAAACGTGAAACTGATAGTTCGGATGAGAAAACTAATGTTAAATTAAAACAAAAAAAGCATAGCAAGAAGTCAAAGAAGCATAGTCGCTCAAAAGAAGTAGAATTGGTATCTAGTACTGTCAAACCAGCATTTGATATTGAAAAACTCAGAGCAGAACGATTACTCAGAGAACGTGCAGAGAAATTAAAAACTGAAGCGTTACTAGCGAAAATGCGTGGTGATCCTGTACCCGTTGCATCTAAATCAGTTCCCAAACCTGTTGTCAAACAAAGATACCATTCCCAATTCTTCCCAGAAATTGCCAGACAAAATGTAGAAAGATCACCAAGGCGTTAGGTGCATAAATTACGAATATGCGGGTATATGCCATTTGTTAACGTGCTGAACATTATGTATATTCAATTATATTGTTACATTAAAAATTGATATAAGATGAAGTGATTTTTCATTTTTAATTTCAGTCAGATCAGTTTCATAATAAGAATAGTGGAAACATGATAAGGAGCATAAGAAATTCGTGTTGATTAATAGTTTCACTATCACGTGATTCAAAATGGCTGTATTTCACATATAACTTGTGTCAAATTCTGGCATTACTGTCGGTTTTTCATATCCATGAAGATTTTTGAAAAATTCTTCGATTTGGGTAAGTAGAAAATTAATTTTGCCAAGATATGATATGTCTGTCATAGAATTTTTATGGGAGACTTGTAAGTTTCATTCGAAAACCTCGAACCAGACGCCTGCACGCGCGAGTCGTTTCGTGAAATACGATTTTCAAATTTAAGGAGCCCACGAGCAATTCTTATTTGAGTTGATACGAAATTTCATTCAGGATATACAAATTTTGTATACAATCGATTTCATTTTGGAATTTGAAACTATTCATTTAGACTACACTGCATAAAGATGAATACATAACCTTATATGTCGTCCAAAATAATTTTAATGTAAAAAAATAACTTAACTTAAAAATGTCTTGCTCTTAAAAAGGGTCTTGATAGCAATTTTGCTTTTATTTCCAGTTATAAATATATTTTAATGAAATGGATGGTTTATACAAATATTGTTTGTTGTTATCAAAAGACAATCACATTTGTATTTATTCCTTATAATTTTAGATTAAAATACTGATCTTACTAAAATGGTTTTATGTAATGGCTACTTTTATATAAACCATCAGCTGTTAGGAAAGAATTTGATGCATCTAAGATCTCATCAAAATGTATTCTTAAAGAACACATTAAAGCTGCCTACCTTTTTTATGATTCTTTCTCAAAATTATGTAAGTCCAGATTCAAAGAATATCTTGGTATGTAATTGTATAATCTTTTACACATGATATCAGTAATTATATTTTTCAGGCATTATGATCCTTTATATGCCTAAGTAAGGATCTTGAATAGATTCATGTATTGAAAGGATTCATGTAGAATTATGAATGGACAAACAAATACAAGCAATTCTTCTTATCAGAGCTATGAAATAAATGGTACCCAGATTATCTTACAGACTCTATCAGATTCAATGGATACTTTAGTAAAAGTAGCAACCTGTGATGAGGATCAAGCTGGTGTTAACTATGACGAGGAAGCAACACAAGTTGAGCATGAGGAAGAATCGATCCCTCTAGTTTATTTAGATGGCCAAGTGTATGCACTTAGGAATGGTGAACTTCAAGAACTCGATCTCAATCACATTGTAGATCGAAATGATTTTCAAGACGACTCAATAATAATATCAAGAGATGTGCATAATAATGATGATTCAGAATGTGCAGTCATTACAGAGTACATATCTGAGGATAATGTTCCAATTGAAAATGCAGAGATCAGTCATGAAGAAGAATTCATATCTGAGGATAATATTCCAATTGAAAATACAGAGATCAGTCATGAAGAAAAATACGAAGTTGTATTAGACAGAAATGAAAAATTGATTGTTGGAAAGGAGAGTCTGAATGCGAATGATTTTGTCGAGGTTGTCACAGCTTTCAAGTGTAAAATCTGCCCTTACACAACGCAAGACAGAACGCAGTTATTGGAACATCTTGAAAGTGTACACGTTAATCCACTAACAGAATCACAGGTAAAGCAACTTAAAGATTAGAAGATAAACAATATGATTATATATGATGTTAAAAAATTTATATATATTAATGATATTTATTTCTTTCAGAAAAAGAAGGAGGAAGAAGAGCTCAAATCTGGAAATGATGTTAAGCTGGTTTATATGTGTGGAGAATGCTCCAATTGTTTCCCAACAATTGAAGATTGTCGACAACATATGATAAATGTACATAGTCCAATATAAGTGAAATGGATTAATACAATAATAGAAAGTTTTTAAAGTATCATAGATGTCAATCTTTTTTACAGGATCATCAGCTTACGGATCGTGGAACTGATAAAAACATTAAAGAAAATCGAGCGCATCGTGTCGAACAGTCAGAATCATTTGTATCATCTTCAAATGATCTCGCCGATAGCGATGAATCGAAACAACCACAACCAAAAGTACAGAAAGAATCACATAATGGCTACGTAATTGATAAAAAAGCCGTAGAAGTAAAAGATCGAAATATAAAGTACGTTATTAATTGAGAGATACAATAGGTATCATCTTTATTAATGCTATTTTATTACTTCCAGATGCAGCTTCCGGGGATGTCCGTACAAGTTTAGCACAAAAGAGAAGATGCAGCAGCACACTGTGTGCCATGCGAAATCGCAAAATGCAAACTTATACAAGTGCAATCTCTGTCAAGGCATAAACTTCGCTAAGTGGAGACCGTGTAGTCTTCACTTATGGAAGAAACATCAAATCGGTCGGTTCAACACTGAAATTCATGATGATTAATAAAGATCAATATTCCCATATAAAACATATAACGTGATCTTATATTACAGATATTGATCTTCTATCCTGCAAGGTCTGCAACACCTACAAAAGTGCCACCATGGTGAAGATGCTGACACACTTGCGAGTGCACAGTGACAATCGCGAATACGAATGTCCAGAATGTGGAAAATGTTTCAAACAGTCAAGTCAATTGCGAAATCATCGCGTTATGCATATGGATCGTAAAACTAGCGAGACACAACGTTGGTATACCTCGAAGACTTGTGAAATTTGCGGAAAGACTTACGCAGATTCCAAGTGCCTCAAGAATCACATACAGGCAGTACATTCGAAGTTGCGTCCATATGTTTGCAACGTGTGTGGACACTCGAGCGCCCGTAAGGCTATGTTGCAGATGCACCTGCGACAACACACTGGTGACAAACCTTTCAACTGCGGGCTTTGCGAATTTAAAACAGGAGATCATAATTCACTTCGTCGACACATTATGAGACACACAGGTAATATCTCTGAATATCATGTGAGATTTTCTTTAATATTTCATACCTAAAAGCTTGTAAATTTTTATTAGGCGTGAGACCATACAAATGTCCACACTGTCCTTATTCGGCTATACAGAGTAACAGTTATAAGAATCATTTGCGATCAAAGCATCCGTTGCTCTCAGGATCGTTCACGTGTGATTTGTGTCAATTCAAGACGGTTAAAAAAGAAAGTTATATGCAGCATGTTAGCGATCATGAAAAAGGTCTAATCAAAGTGCCCACACAGAAGAAAGGTAATTTTGAAAAATCCATAGATCTGTTTATATAATAAATTTTCTATAAGCTTCATTGTGATGTGTGATTCGACAGATGACGAGAACGTCGAGGTCTTCCCTGGAAATATAGCAGCTGCTCAGTTGATCTACAGTTGCTTAGGTGCGTTTTCCAAGGTTGGAAAAACAATAGAAGCGAATCTAATGTCTTCCTCGACTTCGGCCGACGGTACTTCGCAGACAATTACAATTCAGATACCGTCCAAGGATCTAGAGGGATCCTTACCAACGAGCAATGAAAATCCGAAGAATAATGCGTTGATCGAGCAGGAGGATGAGGAGACGATGCATTGTTTTCTAAAGATTCCACGAGAGGAAGAAGAAAACATTGATACCGGTGGTATCACCATACCAGCCGAAACTGAAGATCCAACAGGATTTAATATGAATGTCAACAATTGAAAATTCTTAGTAAATACCTTAGATATACATATAAAAATGATTATAATGATGAATGGAAACATACACACTAGTCAAGGTGTTTAGAGATTACGCCTGGATTACTTTTGATGCAGAATTCATGATTTTTGTTTACTACATTGACGCGAATTGAGTATCTCGTTTAATTTTCTTTTGATATGTGGCTCCAACACTGTTGATATACGAAAGTTATTCGGTATTTGTTGTTTTTGGTGAAAGGTATTGAAAAGTGGCTGTGCGTAACGCGAAAAAGAATGCTGTGAATTTAGAATATTTGTTTGTTGTAATTCTATTGAACGTGCGCGGTTATCAGAAAGGATCTTATTATATTTTAAAACTAAAAATAATGAAGTAGAAAGAGAACAAAGTGAAATAAATGAAGAGAATTCGTACTCGTCTGTTCAGCCATATACTGAGCAGGTATGTGTGTAGAGCCGTAGCATTTTTTCCCCTATTTGTGTAAGAAACTAGTATGTAATTTTTTTTAACGCTTAGGATACGTAGTCTTTTGTATTGTCCTGCTGTAGTCAACAGCGAATTTTGATAGGTGGCAAGAATCGTGTGATATTTCAGATAATATAAATACGCATTATTAATTTAATGCTAATACATTTTTAAGACTCATAATTTTGATACTTACCTCTTCTGTCCCAATAGCCATACTTCGTTGACAAAACATAATGCACGGATGTGCAGGAGAATAACGAATAAAAAGAAGTCACAGAAGTGGATTTTAATGTTCCGGGTATATTTATTAATTGTCGATACTAAATTAGCAGAAGTGTACACAAAAACTGTAAAATAATAATCTGGAAGTCATTGTAAAATGTAAAATACACAATGTCTCGGCGAAGTTATCTAGTCTCTATTTACGGAATTAAAATCAATATCTTACATTGCCATCGAAAACAAAGAATTGTGTCGATGAATATTGTTCTGGCAACTTCCTCTTTTTACTTTCTCTTTCATTCTGTTACTCTCACTGTTAGACTTAAAGTTAAAGGAGTACTCGATCGTTAACGCTATGGAAGATTCAAATTGAATATTTCACGAACGTCCATGAATACTTGATGAATTGTTAATGATGAAGTCGCGAACTACCTTCGCCGTATCGATTTGCATAGGCTGGTTTAAATCTTTAATCGTCCCATTAGATTTCTCAGGATATTCAGTGCATACTCATCAACTCTACTCTGTCCCAAAGCTACTTTGATGACTGACTCGTACAAACAGACACGGCATGATATTTACAGTAAAGAGTTCGCGAAACAGGAGAAAGAGGCCTCTCTTACTCGTTCTCCTTCTTTATGAAGAAGTTCGATTCGTGATAGTTATTTTTTTTTAACAGTACAGCTCATATCACAACTAACAGTCCTTGGGTAGTTCCCCGTAGTAAGCCGTCAATGCTATTAACTTACGATCGAGAAAATTTTGTTCCACTTCAACGCCATTTCCGGCACCGGCCAGCATCGCAAGCTATTTCCCAAAAGTGACAATCGTTATATTTTCAAATATCATCTATCACGTAAATTTTTAATTTGGAAAAATGTTGATCTCACCTGCATGGTGTCCACGTTTCTAGGTAAAAAGTAGGCCACGTGATCCGTTATTTGTTTTGCTACTTCGTAAAGATGTGTCCCACCGGCCGGTGGCATGATGCTGTTGAGATCAAATGTTTCTACCCTGGCGTATGCAGGACCACCCCATGGTGGGCTGAGGAACACTACATCCGCTATGAGCTTTGGCGCTAGTTGGAAGAAATCGCCTACGATAAATTCTATCCTGTCTTCCACTCCGTAAACTTTTGCATTGTGTTTGGCCAGTTCAATTTTCGTGGGATCTATGTCAATTGCGTATACTGCAAATAGAATATATCTCTTAGATGTCTCAATAAAGTCATCATCTTATTAATCCAGCATCTCGTAGAACAAAACATACCTCTCTCGCAGGTAAATGCAAATTGTATAGCATTGCCACCAGCACCGCAAAATGCATCAACGATTGTGTCGCATTTGCACCTTTCTGCGATATGCTCGGCAATTTTTTCAGGTGTCACGGAAAACCAACTCTCTATAAAAAGAAGAAAAAAAAGTTAAAATTTTTGACCCATTCTCACAGAAATTGGAGCTATTTCTGAAATGTCACCCAGTTCCATTTGTTACTAACCACGATCTAATTTTATTCCTTGATCGAACTTGCTGAAGAGACGATATCGTTTCAACCAATACTTCATTAGCGTTTTATCATTGGCCACTTCAATGGGAAGACTGACGTTTCTTTTTGTTTGCTTCCGTCTTTTTTTCTTTTGAGTGCGTTTTGAGTTATCTTCATCGGACATCTTAACAGTGAGCAATTCGCCATTACCGAATTCACAGTCAATCTCCATATCTGCGTTTTCCATACTCTCTTTTTCAACAAAAAATGAAGACGATACCGACTTAACACTTTTTAATACTTCATTATCCTCAAATACGTCATCGAGATCCTCCTGAGTCTTCAAGGTATCACTGACTTTGTCCGTTTCCTTATCTTTGTCTGGTTTAGATTCAAGAGAACTTGTGCTTGGTTTACTAAAGATGAGTCTCTTAGCGTGTAATTTATTTGTCAATTTGGGATCGCACTCTTCGTCGGAACTTGATGAGAACTGTGCTTTTGTGTAGGAACCTTTTTCGTTGGGTTGAAGCTCCTCTTCCGTTGAAAGTGTTATGGGACAATAGGATAAGTAGTGCTTCACCTGCACAATAATAATGATGTACAAGAAGAAAACGAAGAGGCATAAAAAATTAATTAAATTATATTAACCTTGTCTATTGTGCTAGTAATTTCCACTCCGTTATCGTCAAAGTATATGTGCTTGTTGGTAGGTTTTGGTCGGGTGAGTTTCATCTTGAGCTGCCTGTTTTGTAATCTAATATTTCGTTTTCTATACACGACTTCTCCCTGCATCTTCATCTGCTTCTGATTTTCATTGAAGGTGTAGCCCATCAAAGAGAAGGCCTTCTTCACAGTTTCCAGTCCTTCTCCGTTCTCATCACAGTCGGCTTCATGACTGAAAATTAAAAAAAAAGAGAACCATCTAACACCACTTCGATACCTGAACCGCAGTAGAACCTTCATTTACCTTCTCTTAAGGGTCGTTGGTTTATCTTCATGAGGTTTGTCGCCGTCACCGCCGGATGAATCCTTTCCATTTTGTTTAAGACTATTTTCGGAATTATCTCTATTAAGCGACAATGAGTTAATTCCGATCTCGCTGTTAACTTCTGGTTTTTCACTTTGATCCTCTTCCCTCGTGGTATCTTCACCCTGTACAGGCGTTTCTTCTGATCTCATGTTCAAATTTTGCATTAGTACGCCCACCGATTCCATGATCATTTTCTTTTTCTTCGAATTTTCTCTTTTTGAGGATACTGAGGATTTTCTGGAGCCACCCTTACTTCCGGGTGGCGTGGACAATTTGTGCGGCAAGGTAGATTCATTTACGGTCTCCGTAATATCCTCCACTTTGTTATTGTGGCCATCAGCTTCTTCATTCTCTTTGTACGTTTTACGGCTGTTGTAATAATTCGCATTGGATGCCAATTGTTTGCTGTATCTTTCCACAAATAAGTCGTAATGTTTGCGATACTGTTCGGAGAAGTTTTCTTTCCACAGATGTTGCCAGTACCTATCGTTATCTTCGGGATTATATTCATTTTCTTGATCGGAGCTGCTACCAGTAACGTTACTTTCGATGGAACTGGTTGCGGAACTTATAAGACTGGAAGATTGAATCGAGTTCGAATCAAAACTAGAGCTGGTCAGAGTCATTTTAGTAACGTTAGTCATTGAATCTGATGTAGCATTGGTCTTGGCAATGGAGTCGCTGGTGGAATCGCATCTAGAGATTGTTATCAATCGTTCATCTTCAGTATTAGATTGCTGATTATAACTTTCCTCTGCACTGAAAGGACTCAGTGGATTCCATCCTTCGCCTATTTCCGGAGATAGTTCATGATTAGTCAATTTCTTTCTATTATCTTCGGCATCCTTGTCATCCACGTTAGACCTATTGGTATTCTCAAAAGAAAAATTCATCCCTGCTGACGTATCAGCTCCTCGTAGTTCGCAACTAGTCATCCCGTTCTTTCCAAATATTCCCTCGAAGTTAGAGCGACCGAGTTCACAGTTTTTGTGCGCCTGATTGGGAAAGCATGTATTTTGTTCGGGAAAACGATCAACGCTTTTATCTTTAGGTTCCACGTGCTCTTTTTGATCATAAGAATAGATTCCATCGTTTTCTTCAATGTATCCTGGATTAATATAATCTGCATATTTCTCAATCCACGAGGCCCAAATAAGTTGTTCGCCATTTTTCGACCAGAATTTCTCCCACGCAGAGTCCACTGTGCTCTTTTGGTTGTGATAGCCGCCGTAACTAATCAGATATAAATTTTGAATATATATAGAAACTTCGAGTGTATTTTGATTAGAAATTAAAAGACTATGATCATACTGTTCATAAGATTTAATGACGTCAGTTGACGAGTCGTTCATCCCTAAGTCGAAGGACGGATGTTCGGATTGACGGTGTCCTGGATCCACAGTCGAATCTGTTACATCGTGAATGTCCAAAGTTTGATCGTGATCGCGGCATTCACGATATTCCCTGAATAACTCCCCGTTCTCGAAACCATTCTCGACCTCGACATCAGCAGTACCAAAAGTTTTACCATAGGAGGCCAAGAGACTCTGAATGCTCCTGGCTTCGTGCTGGTCGTGATATTCGGACAGATCTGCCCCGGAATCAGATTGATGAAGACCTAATTTTTGAGTGAGAGATTGTGCAGCAGATGGACGATGAGCCGAGTCGCGGACAGAGTCGTGCTCGTCCGTTGAGTAGTTGTTGTCAGTGTGTGAGGCACTGCAGTAACAGCTTACCGGTTCTTCCTGAATACATAACAAAAATAAACACAGTCATCAGACCTTCTAAACGTTTGCATAACAAACCCATAACGTTTTACGATATTTTTCTTACATCGTGCTTTTCTGCAGATTGATTCTCTACAGAGGCCCTTTTGGGAAGATCCAACATCTCACCCACGCGATCCCCTTCGGCATCCTCATCTTCGCTTGCATCCTCCGGTGCAGAAATCGTGTAAACTTCTGGATTTCTATAAAATCAGAAAGAGGGATGATATAAAGTTAATAGTTATTTTAGATGTGTAATTAGCGTGTGGAGAAGAAGCGATTATAATAGCTTATTGATTCGGTGCGAACAATCATTATTCCAGAAGAAGTCGACCTGGTGATCGAAGTGAGTGTCAAGGTTAGGTCATCTGTCACACCACTGATCAATAAGCATAAGTTTTTTTCCCTTGGCTACTTTTAAAGTGTAACAGATATCCAGAAATTTCAGCATGCAGTCTCAGAATAATTAAAGATTTCGTCGATGACACTTTTCTCTGAAGATTTTTATTTACCGAAGAAATACTCTGCTGCAGAGACAATAAAAGTAACTATCGGGGTCAAGATTATCCCCGGCCTGCTCCGCGATGTACACTTCTGCGAGAGGTTCCCAAAAGTGTTCACACATGCCGAGAGTATTCGGTTTATCTACTGGACTACTGAACGTCACAACACCCACATGTCTCGCACTCAAACTTTCATGATTTTCTTAAGCAAAAACAGTCCGCCATTTATTCGTAGAGAGACGACCGTGAAGTCAGCATTGTAGGACAGATTCATAATCGATGTATATCGAAATTTCCGTACATCCCATGCGCGAACTCGTCGCGTTTCCATGTGGCGTCCATGAAACCCCTTGAAACTTCTATATCAAATGAGTCAAACCATTAAACCCCATCTATGAGAGAACACAGTGACATCTGCCATCGGTATTGGTACAGTATGAAATACCTAGGAAGCACGGTACTTCCCCTACGCAAGACAGTCAACGATTGCTCATCTCCTGTGCAGATGGCAGCACAATAAACTTTTAAAATTAAATTCTGATATACTATCCCAGCTTTAAATACATTGTCTTATATTCGCTGTGTATAGAACGAATGGGTGCTACTGACTGGTCGAAACAATACTAATAAAAATAAATATTGAAAATTGCATAATAAATAATTTTACAAAGATTTTCAATAGTCATTTCACGACTGCGACCAGCTGGCATATATTATATCGCACGAGTTACAAGAAAAACGTTTGATTCTTCCTCAAGTTGATTACTACTTGTGGGTGTTTTCAAGTCCCGACAGATAACGCTATCTCGCGGGATGTTGAAGAATCGTGGAGCGATCGAGCAATGGCGTAGGCGGCGATCCAGTGATAAATTAATTTTTATTACTTCGTGGGTGGCGGCTCTTTCCATTGGCCGATGATCGGGCGCCTCCCACTTTGTTACAGGGCTCTCGCGGGATTTATTCTTTGCCCGATGATATCACTTCGCATCGGCGACCCTTGCGATAAATTACACTGAACACGCACCTCGGCCTCGACGCAAATTTTAAAGGTAGGCAAAGGTTAAAGATAGGTAGGTATTCATAGCCGATAGTAAAAATGGTCTAAAAAGTACCTGAAACCGAGTCTCAAAAAGCGTGTACTAAAAAATGCTGAAAGTTAGAATCCAGTATGACAGCGCATGCGCGTCAAACACAGATGTCTCCGGGTTATAAAGATAGCCAAGCCAGAGCGGATGACTCGTGCGTGTCTCGCGCATTGAAATCTCCCAGTAAAAAGTAAACGAACTTCTCCACTACATATATATAAGAACACTATTTATCCCCAGGTGAATGAGCTTCCCGTATCACAAATCACGCCGTTCCAGGCATCGATGCATCGGAAGCTTTAACCGTTTCCACCGGTTACCTTCTGGTTACGAGGAACAGTCGTGACTCGATCGTCAGCACACATTGACTAGCAGCAAGCATCTTCAATAACGTGGCAAATATAAATCCAGTCCCTTGATTACTTTGAATCACCAGCAACACCTGCGAGTGCTCGGAGGATAGTCTGCCCCAAGTAATTTCTGTCAGTCATACATGGGAAAGATCAGATCAGCAGAGACCCTGTCTCCAAGAAGAAGCATATTCGAATCAACTCGAATACCAGCATAATCGCACATACGATTTGTGCTAAGGTATAGAGTGTTCTAGAGAAATATATATATATATATATATACATATATAAGTATATACGAATATGGCAAAGATCAGAGGAGGGTATAGGCGAGTGTAGAGGAGCAGAGAGCAGAGAGCAGAGAGCAGAGAGCAGGTTGTACTGTTGCCGTGGGCCGTGGCGCGCGGTGTGGTGCTGGTGATGCTGGTGATGCTGGTGATGCTGGTGATGCTGGCGCTGGTACCGATGCCGATGCCGATGCTATACGAAGAGAAGGAAGAAGGACGCCGCCACCGCCACCGCGGTAGTCTTTCTCCAGCGAGTTGGTAAGATAAGGAGGAACGGACAAACGGACTGACGGACCCGAAGGTAGGGGATTCAGTCTTGCGGCCACGTGCTACACGAGCGCACGCCCCGCCGCCCGGTCTTCGATACCACGTACTCTCTTTCGTATCGGCCCCTTTTTACGCACCCGGAGGACTAGGACACGCGCGGATATTCTCCCGTCCCGGACCCCCCGGCCCTTGTCCTGATCGGTATCGACCTACGGGAGTGATCCTCATAGATACCGATCTACCTAGATCCACTCCTAGAGGGTCTATACCTCTTTTGGATTTTTCGCTATGTTCGTGCCGTGCGCGTCCCCTTGATCGGTATAAGATACCGATATCTTTGTATTGTGAAATTTAATCGATTTTATTATTGTTATTATCGTACGGGCGTTTGACGTTTTTAAGTGCAAGTTTGTGCATACATTTTTTTTTAATAATTTTTTTTTAATAATATAGTGTCGTTGGTGATTTTTCGCGATACTTGATTTTTTTTTTTTTTTTTTCGAAAAATTGTGCAAAGTATCGTTACGATTCGTATGGATATGATTTCCTCGAGAGGTTTGTGCACTGTGCGGAATTGTCGAGTGTTGCGATTTATGTGCCATGTGTATGAGGGGTTGTCGTAAGATCTCTTTTGTAGTCGTTGTCAGTCACTAGATTCTCGAGTGCTTAATGCTCGCGGAATTTGACGAGTACGTCCTGGGACGACGGGGACGATTGTGACGCAGATTGCACAAGGTTCGTAGATCGGGGACGATTAATTTGTCATTGCGACACTCGTAACGATTTTAGCTGTCAGTTGCCGATGATTTTCGAGTGACACGTAGTCGGTAACCGGTTCGTTAAATGGCAGCGATCGTTTTAATAATTGAGACTCCGACGTGCTTGGTTGTCACTTACCGGCTGGTTTCGTCGCCAAGTCGAATCGAACCATTCGAAAATATCATCAGCTGTAAATACACGCGATGACGTATGATGATCATTGACCATCGATAGGTGCTGGGTCGGTTTATGCGAGGTGGAACGACAGTTGGGTCGTACTGAGTGATATGATGAAAATGAAAAAAAAAAGAGAAATTTTTTTGGAAAATTCTACGTCGATAATGTATACAGGGACGTAGGTAGAGGTTACGTTGGCACGTAAGGTATTAAAAGGTACCGATGAGGGGCGGTACCTGCTGTCGGATAATTAATTGAGATTAAATTTTGTTAATCGGAAATGAGGGACTCTTCGCGCACGATCCTGGACGATCGCTCGAAATTAATACGCGGCACGACGTTGCAATTAGCCCTCGTGTTTATGCGCCTTGGTGGAAACTAATGTTAACTTCGTAATGGCACTGCACTGTCGTAAATACAGGGTTGACTTTACATTCGTCATTACCTCTCAGTTCCCATAGAAATATACTAGGACTCGGATAATCATTTAGCAGTTTAATACTTGCGGGATGGAGTTAAAATTATTATGGGGGAAAATAAAAGAAAATATTTTCGCTTTAAATTAATGGACGTAGTAAAAGACGTGTTTTCACTGACAGGTCAGAGGCTTAAGGGGAAAGGTGGAGAGGGAAGGGGAGGAGGACCATTGTTGATACCAACAATGAAGAGTAATTATTTCGAGGCGACATTAAGAAGAGGAAAGATTCTCTCGATGATGAGAGAATAGAGAAGATCGAATGGACGATCGGGGAAATACGGCGGCGGGATTGGCTGGCAGCGGAACATCCGGACCGCCGCTTGGAACGACGACCGGCTGGTGGACGCCGACGGCGACGGGGACGTCGACGACGACCACGGCGCCGGGAAACAGCGACGTGGTGAGTAAATCTCCAGGTCTACCGAGGAAAAGAACTACGTCGACCGGGAAGGACTACGACGAGGACGACCTGGTAAACGACCTGGAAGCGTCTCCTCCGCGTGCAACGACCGGGAATATTTAGTTCCGTTGGATTGGAGCGGCCGCGGCCTCAGGCTTCTGCAGGGATTAGAACCGAGGTGACACAGGCGCGTCATCTGTTGGACGTTTAACCTTTTTTTTTCCACCATCCTTTACCTACGCTTTGCCTTCCTTCCTTACCGTACAGTATAGACTACGACTGTAGGTACACGTTCCTCATTTTTTTAACTTTATTAATGCCGCCACAGTTGCTGTTTGGAATCTTTTGAAAATTTAAGTGGGAAAATTTAGTCTCGTTTATGAACGCTGCTTGGCGAATATCTAACTATTTGATTCTATTTACGGGATGGCTGTTTTTCTTACTTCTCGGTCGCCCGAGCAACGCCAATGTGCTTGAAGCATCGGTAACGACCGGCTAACTAGACTTTAATAGGAATATGGCCTCGCGACCGAATCTCCCGTCTCGTAAGTGCGGTAGGTGAAGCAAGAAGAATCCTCTTGCCGTGTAAGTCCCTCTTCTCTTTGGTGTCTTCGGGGAAGTCCCTCGAGCCTATTTCTCCTTACGACACGCAGTTCGGTGCCTCTTGCGATCCCGGGGAACCCCCGTGGCCCGATTTACCTTTAACGATTGGTATAATTGCCATTAGGCAAACTCCTTGATATCTCTGAGCAACAATTGGGACGATTGCTAAAATTTACATCGACGTACGTGCTAATCGGTAGTTAAATTTTGTAAAATCTGATTTTGCAGATGAATCAGCTTTGCAGAGTATGCGGAGAACCAGCCGCGGGTTTCCATTTTGGAGCCTTCACGTGCGAAGGTTGCAAGGTTAGTTGATTTTGGTTTTATGAAAATTTTGAAAAGAAAGACGATTTTTTCAAATTTATTCCAGAGTAAACAAGTTTTTTCAAATATTAAACAATTTGGTAGAGTACTTTCATATGATCAGTCCTTGCTTTTTTTTTGTTCACAGTCCTTCTTCGGAAGAACATACAATAATCTGGGCAGCATCTCCGAATGCAAAAATGGCGGAGTCTGCGTGATAAATAAGAAAAACAGAACAGCCTGCAAGGCATGTCGACTGAGGAAATGTCTGATGGTGGGAATGTCCAAATCAGGATCCCGATATGGTCGACGTTCGAATTGGTTCAAGATCCACTGCCTCCTTCAGGAACAAACCCATCAAGCCCAAACGCGCCTGAAGGACCCAAAGTCACCGTACGAGAAGGTCTTCAGCTCTTTGGATGCTGCCAATAATAATGACGATAATGACAATGATAACGACGTTCACCGTCACCATAGTCATCATCGTCATCATCACCATCTTCATAACCCCCATCAGCCACACCAGCACCAACAGCAACATCAGCAGCACCGTCTTCACCATCATCATCCGTCCCACCGGAACGACGGCAGCGTCTTTCACGAGAGGTTGTCCAAGAGAGAAGACGCGACGCGAAGTCAGGAGCTTCCGGGTGTCCAGGATCTACCTAGAGGACAGGATATAGCCAGGACCCACGATCTGATAAGGCCGGAAGCTGCCAGATTTCCAATATGGCGGGGCCCCTCGTTCTTCCATCCGGCCCTGACTCACATGCAGCTCCTGAACTCGCCCTTCTTTCCGTTTCCACAGAGATTCGTTGTGCCCTACGCGAACCAGGTTGCCGACCCAGGTCAAGTGACCAGCCTGTCGAGTTCATCGAGTGACAGTGTCACACCAAGGTCGACACCGTCGCCGAAGCTATCGGAGGAGGCGAATCCAGAGAAGCTGCAAAATCGGCAAGATCGTCTTGGCAGATCGGTAGACGCGTCTTACGACAGGAGCCTAGCGTTCCTGAGGTCTCTGGGACCGGAACAAGAAGAACCAATGGACCTGAGCACGAAGAAGACGAGCGACGAGAAAAAGGAGGAGGTCGAATCGACCGATACGGATGATGATCGATCCTCGGTTGCGGGTGACAATGATAACCAGGAATCGGAAGCTGGTCCTCCTCTCGACCTGACGAGAAAAACATGACCAAAGAGGCTCCGAGAAACAGTGCGACTAACGGAAAAGGAAAAAAAAAAAAGAAAAAAAAACCTAAAATCAAGTGAAGTGCCTGAATGATTATATAAATCATAGTAATAAACTAATGACAATACTTAAAAGTGCCAGTATACCCAGTCGAGTGATAGTGACTGATAGTTTTGTGCGAATACAAATCTTTGCACGTTGTAACCGCAAGTGTCCGAAGAATTAATCGAGTCGTGATAATAATAATGGGAATTATCATAATTGAATTGTAAATACGGTAGAATATTTTTGCTTAAAAATGGCAAATCAAGTGAGCGGATCCCTTCGATCGTTCGATTATATCAAGGGAGCACGGTTGAACGTTGAAAGTCGAAGGCCAGTGTTATTTTTGACATTATAAAAAGCATTATTTATGTTTAAAGCTCAAACTACTTGACGCATCTCTTTGAATAGACGAGTTATCCAAGTCCCGAGTTATCGGGATTAACGATAGAGGTTACAGACGATAACTTAAGATTAATCGCGAGGCCAGTACAAAGAGCGACAGACAGCAAAGTAAAAATACGAAGCGCGTAAATACCAACTGTTAGACGATACGAATAATAAAGAATATTCTGTACCTAACGATCTGCTCGATCCAGCAGCATGCAAAAGATCACTCATTAAAACCCTTCCCAAGATCGGTGTAAGATTTGACCGATACCAGTCCCACATATCGAGGAAGTCGGAGAAAGGAAAAATAGCTATGACAAAAGCACGTGATGAACGAAGAGGAGGAATTGGAATTGAAAAGTAAAAAAAAAAAAAAAAAAAAAAAAAAAAAAAAAAAAAAAAAAAAAAAAAAAAAAAAAAAAAAAAATAAAATAAATTCCTCACGGTATCCCAATGGGACGGCTGAATTATATGTGTTTCTCAAGCAATTGGTAAAGTGACGGGACAATTTCTCGTTCGGGATGCAAGTTAAGTTCCTTCACGACCCGAGAACATCTCTGATTCGTTTACATGCCCGCGACTCGAAGCTGAGACGGTATTCGATTACTTTCGACTTGAAGATTTTTTTCATAAGAAAAGAGACGAGCGATCTTACGCGCCGCGTCTAGGTTCTTGCAGCCAGGTGTATATAGGCATGACCCAGCATCCCATCCTGGTACAGCTGGAGTGTGCATAGAGACCCAGTAGTACAAGTGATCACGTCTATTCCGCGTTTGGTTTCTAATAGGTGTATATACGTACACCTAGTACCTAAAGAGAGACCAGAGACTGGACCGGGAGGGAGTCCAAGAGAGAAGGTAGAATCATTGCTCGATACCAACGTTACATCTCCGGTAAGGATCATTCGGCCGAGTAGCAAAATGGATTTATCTCGCGAGTCCCGCGATATGCCTTTTACGAAATTTACCTTGGCTTAACGCGATTTAAATATTAGGACTGAGCCAACGTTAACGAGATGGATTTACCTATTGACTTTTTTTCTTCTCGCCGCCATAATTTCAAGAGCCAACTGCCGTGATGCAGATGCGAAGAGTCACCCGGCAGAAAGCGAAGATAATTGAATTACGAACGCCCTGACATTTACCTGTATTTTTCACCGTTAATGCACTCTCCTACCAGACTAATTGCTTATTTCAAAGAGTCAGTCTGAGCGGCCACGGAGGAACGTAGGGGAGCAGGGCCAGAGGGGGGGTTAGGTAAAAGGATTCCTCTAACGATCCTCATACCCGATCCCCAAGCTTTTCCTTCCTTGTCCTTCTATACGGAATAACAATTTCTTTTCCTCGTCTTCCTTCTCTCCTTTTTTATTCAATCTTCGTATTAATTTATCCACAGGACTATGGACGTGCCCCGTCCTCTTGGACGTCTTTGCCGGACCCATGCTTCCTTCTCGCTCTTCCTTCTCTTCATTCGACACGTCACTTCGGCCCACTTTAACGTCCCACGTGCGTTCGCGAACTCGTGTAATGTTTGTCCCCGAAGAAGGCACGAGCATCGTGTCAATATCGTGTTGGAAACCGGTCGCGTCCATCTGGAACGCTCGTCCTCCTCTTCGTCAAACATCGTGCCGAGCGCTAAGTAAACGGGGTAAAACGATCTTTCGCGAGTACGTGAAATTTGGAGCTTTCATCGAGGAGCCCGGCTGGTGGCGATTCGCACACTGGAAATATTTTAAATACAGAAAAAGAAGTAGGGAGGGTAGCGAGAGGGAGAGAGAGAGAGAGAGAGAGAGAGAGAGAGAGAGAGAGAGACAAAGAGTACCTGTAAAGTGAAGTATCCGAACGAGTTCCAAGAGGGACTCTGTAAGAATCTATGGATCTTCAATGTTGACTTAGGCACCATCACTGGCATCGTCGTCATCACCGTCATTGAGAAGTGTTGGGGCTACCTGCATATGTATATATATATATATATATATATGACGGAACGAAGATGCCAAGTACTTGGAATAATCTTTAGACCATTGCCAAGTTGCCTCTTAGACCGGAGAATCGGTGATTCGCAGCAGCTTGAAATGATTTTGGTCCACCAGTAAAATCCTGAAATAATTTTGGAGAAGTTGTCGAGTGTAAAGAAAAAAAAAAAAAAAAAAAAGAAAAAAAAAAATATACGCAGTCGAAATTCTCGTATCGTCAACATTATGCAAAATGTATTCTCCCTCTGGGCAAATGGGCTACAGTTCCTTTTCCTTCTTTTGCTTTCTTCGTAGAGTCGTATTTGGCCAGGATCACGGATACGCAGACGGAATGCTATTAGTTAAACGTTCCTTCGAGTTGTCGAAGATTTTCGGCTCATAAATCATATTCACACCTCCGTCATGAGATGGCCCTCTAGCCACCACGTATTTCCTTGCACGGGCATGTTTCTTCGGGACTGGCCATTTTTTAGACCGATCCTCTCTTCGCGGCTCCCTAAAACGTCCGAGACCCTCGTTACTCGTCCGGCTGATTTGTCAGCTGGGTATATAGATATATACATATATAGATCTATATATACATGTAACACCTGAACAGTAAGACACGTGTATATGGAATAATCAACATTGACAACCATGATGAAAATTGCCACCGTGGACCACAGATACACCAGAAGTATATGTCACCGAGGAGGAGATCGATCTGTTGTCGGTAAATTTATATAAAGGTCATGAAGACCATTTTGTCTGATCTTCTGGCAATAGTAATTTTTTTCTTCCTCTCGAGTCCCGAAAATTTATGCAAATACGGTAGACGTCTGGCATATGCCAGAAGATGGCACATATGCCACATGTGCCACGCGGCCTGTCACGACCGAAGCGATCGCAGATTAATAAAAATCAAGAAGCTAGTAAAAGGAGCATCCGAGTTGGTTACGAGACATATACACCATAGCTAGCGATACCTGGTCTTGGTTAACCAGAAAGAAAGATGACCATCCAAATTCGACCATCTGCAATTAATTGATGGATACCGTCACTCCAATCTTCGTTTTACTCGTCTCCCTCGTGTATAGAAATCGAAGAGTGACGTCTACCTATATCGAGGTAGAAAACCTGTCGACTCAATTCTATTTGTATGCTAATTCGTTTTCGTTTCCACGGGTTCACGTAGCTGAACATAAAGTATAGAGAACAGAGGACGTGTGGACCGAGTCTAAGGCATTATGATTTCCTCCGACAAGTATGCGGCCAGTAGGTGACGTTATCGTACAGTAAAGTTTCGTGAAACTGCTTAAAGCTGTACCTGGTAGAAGCAGTCCTAGGAAGCAAAAGTAGGAAGTTAAATAGGCAAGCAGGGGACAAAGGAGGTTTAGGTCGCATCTCGTGGAGTAGGAAGTGTTGGGTGCGTGGATGGATGCGTGAGCAAATAGGTGGGCAAGTGGACGTGCTAGGTAAAGAGGTTTACTACACCTGTGGCCTGGGCCTTATGGGCTTGGCTATGGGCATTGGCTGCATACGAGAAGAAGAGAAGACGCCTGGAGGTTGACAGTCCGGGTCACCGACTGGTGCTTCGTCTTCCGATTGGTTACCTGGAAATTCATAAGTTTTTCATTCGGAGACACGTGACACTTGACCCTGGACTGTGGGAAGGAGTGACATTTTCTATACGGGCGTTTCGCCATGTGTATCCGCAAGCTAAACAGAAGCTGTAAATAAAAAGTAGCTGTTGCCAGTGACGGTTGACGTTATTGCCGTTAATGATTTGTTGGGAGGCAAAAGGCATATTTTAATGGAATTGAGGATGATCGAGGGTATCGAATACGTGGAGGGATTAGGTTCCATTGGTGAAGATCGAAATGAAGTCGTCGACGCCGTCGGGTTTAGGAATAAAATAATCATCGCTCTTTCCTGGAATCTGGTATATGGAGAGTGGTAAGCGTGCGACTCAGAAAGAGAATGAGCTATCTTCGATGTAGCTGCGTTTCGAACGCATGTGGATTCTACGGAGGACCGTATTGGCGTTAAACGTCGAAGACGAGGGATTTGGAGAATCGAGGTGTTTCGTAAGCGAATACGAAATAAGCGAGTGTCGCGTTACGTTCATTACAATATACACGGAGTTTTACCGAATTTCAATGTGGATTAGCATTTCAAAGGGCATTCGTTGTGGGATCCCATCTCGGTCGGACACCCGTGAATTCGATTAATATTGCATATTTATATTGGTGGCCCGCTCGCAAATAGCCCAATGTGAATCCGTCCACGCATGTGCTGCCATCTCACTAACCCGTCTGTAACTCATTCGCTCGCCGTCCGCGATCTTTCGAAACGTCTCGCTTATTTATCGCTGCCTTTGGGCCACCTTAAGTATCCATTATGTGGGTCAGACGCGGGGTCGCACGACCCAAAATCGACCACTGAATCCTCATTGCATTTAATATTACCCTTCCGGCGTCGTGAGTGTAAGACGACGTCAGTCTTTATCCTAATACGAGTCCTCGTTAAATGTGGATACGCCAACGCCACCTAGACGACTAGGGTGACGCGCCTATGGAAAATTCACGTTGCGGAGTTATACGATAGTTAAACAAGGTTAAAAGGTGCTGGAGGATGTGGATAAAGGAGGATGTAAAGGAAGGAGTAGGTAACCGCGAACGGGTAAAGTGTTGTCTGCGAAATGTGGACATTAATAACGTGCCGTTTGCACGATAAGGACCGAACGGTTGGCCGGTCGCGAAGCGTTCCTTGGATCGCAAGTCCCTGGGAGCAACGGGGTGCAACGGGGAACAGAAGGGAGGAGCAGAGGAAAGAGACAACGTGGAGCGACGAGGAGAGGAGAGGAGAGGAGAAGAGGGCAGTCTTCCATACGGCACGGGCTTTTTCGCATGGCGTTTACGCATCGCGGGGAATGCAGGACCTTCCTTTCGCGCGGACTAAGGTAACTTATTCTCTGTCTTTGTGGGGCTTTTTTGTAAGCGCGGGGCCTCTACGGGATGGGGTTAAGTGGGTGCGACCCCACGACGCTAAATAATATCGAGCTGTGCCATCTACCGAGCACGTAAGCGCGCCATCTTGAAATATTATACAAGCGGCTTTATTCGTTCGCCGCAACCAGCGACGTTTACCGACCCTCGGTACGACGTTGCTCAATGGAAACTAATACGACCGTCACGTAGATCAATGGAAAGATCAATTGCATTTAACGTCCTATAGGATACGAGAGAGACAGAGAGAGATTGAGAGAGGAGGTTATTCTCGAAAATTCTACTCTCAGAATTCAAGAGCAAACATGGGCGCGCTTCTCGGCCAACTTTGATTTCCACATCGCGACTTCTCACAGGACCAATGTGTCTATATTCACTCGGTTACTGCCTTATTCACTCTCGTTAGTAGCTAGAGAGACTCGACGAGTGACATTTGAATTTCAAAGAGTTACGCTAAATGTATATATATATCCTAGCTTTTTATCTACACTCTCTTAAAAAGTCACTTCTTTTTCTTTAGTTCTCTTCTATTAGGGCCTACGTTGCCGGTCCATTATTCCAATAGGGTTGCGCGTGTTCAGCGATTCCGTGTGACTCTGTGGTAAGAGGAGAGAAAGAAAAAAGAGAGAAGCAACAGCTACTCCCTCATGTCCTACGAAAACTTCTGTCCGATAGAATGGACTGAAAATTAGTGGTAATTCCTTTGATTCCACGGAAACGCATGTTTACCATCGAGTAGACACAGTGCTGCCACCACGTCCCTTGTCGCAGTACCAACCTGCTAAATGGTACGGACGATATTTCCTTTTCTGACGAAACTACGTCGCAGCCAGTTTGTTTGTCCAGCAGATTTTGACGGAATCCCAGAATTTCGACAGAGATCCACTCGTCCGTGTTCCTTCGATTCTCGCAGGACTGGAATACCGGAATACTGGATTATAAAAATTTTCCAAACGAACGTGGACTCGCCCAATGGAAAATTTTCTGTATCGTACTAAAATACAGATGGGGAATATATCCGTGCTTACGTATGTCCTCAGAATATCTCTTCCCTCTCGTTTTCTTCCATCTGCCGAGAAAGATTCGCGAAAGAGTCGACAGCATCGCGTATAATGGCGCGTTTATTTCCCTAATGACATGCAATTAGAAAGATGGCAATGAAAGTGCCATTTGGAAACGTGTTCTGCCGCGTCATCAACAATAAAGCCAACACTTTACAATCTCCCGGTACGTAGTCCGAGCTCACCTAAATTTCCGGCAAATGATATTAAATTCGTACCAACACCCCCCGCTAACTGGTTACTTATTAATTAAGGATAATTGCTGAAATTGATGATATCGTCGTTACTACGAAATTACGCATAATCATGTAGAGACGCTCGGACAGCCATCACCATTCAAGTCAATTCGCCTGCAGTCAGTGCCTGGGGAGTCTCGGGAGTCTCAGGGGACTGAGAAAACTCCCAAGGATTCGTTTTCGGCGAAGCTCCTCTTCGAATGGGAATGAATAAGTCCTGGACGATAGGATCGACGCGAAAGCTCCCGCGAACAGTTTCGAAGCTGTTATCGTGAATTGAGCGCGTCTCGAAGGCGCATAAGCACAGCATACACCTGTAACTCCTGCGGAGAGTATCAGTTGCTGATCGATTCAACCCGTGGGTGGTCTCACCCGCGGTACGTGCTGTAACCTTACTCCTCCTCGAGGCTACCCGGTGTCCTGAATTTTTTAAACGATCCCTCTTACCAGCATTTCTTTTCGCCCTTCATTCGCCTTCCCATATATTTTATATCTAAGCTTCCCTCTTTGTTCTCCTGTACTTGGCCTCCTTTAAAGATTTTATAGAAGAAACAAAATTTCTGAAAATTTAAGCGAAAGGGTGATCCTGTTTAAAAATTTTTTTCTGCTATAATGTCATTTTTTGAAAAATATATATGCATTTTTTTATCAGATTATTAATATTTGTTCTTTACTGTCTAGGGTAATAATGAAGAATCACCGTATGCTAAATTGGAATAATCCAAGTGACCCGAAGGGTGTATCCAGATACCTACCCTTTTTTACCAAGACACCCGGTAGATGGAAGCGTACCCCGTACGGTGTAAGATACGGTGTAAAAGACTCGGAGACAAATGACGTACAGGAGTGGTAACCAACGGCCTTCTGGTGATATCGGATCTGGCCGGCGTCCGGGAATATCAGTTAGGAATCACTCTTGACCCCTTGTACGTAGGGTACGTTCTCGAGCAGCAGTTCCAGCACACGGTCTGGATAGTCCTGGAACTCGTTCCCAAGTTCCTCGATATATTAGAGTATCTCTTCGGTGAGTAGTAACCAAGAAAATTGGAGATTCTGAAAATTTTCCTTGATGAATTATACAGACAGATTTACTTGTATTTCAGGTTGCGTAAGAGCTCTCACGGAATCTTCGATGTAAACATAAGAAAAAGGAAAAGCAAAGAAAATGGCTAAAAAGTTCTGGACTCTCCATACGTTGCTAAAGGTGCGTGCACATGAATTAGCAGATCCCGTCTCAACACGACACGCAATCTACGCGGCAACTAACGGGCTCCGCCCAGCTGTAATGAGCGCTGAGCTAAGCAATAGGTTCTAATTGGTCCGTAGCCTTCCCATCTGCCTACTTCTTCCTTCATAGATAAGATAGATACCATTGATGCATTACTGCACCTAGTCTAAGCTGCGTACTTGGCCAATGGATGAGTTAGTAATCCTTTAAAAGTATAATAACGGCGGCCATTTGCAAAAGCGTGGAGGCACGTTGAAATCCGTGGGGATCGAGGAGACATCTGGCGACGAAAAAAGGAACTACTGAAGATACACGAAATCCCCTCGCCAGAGAATTACAGTGGAGAATATAGATTAAAATATAACAAGATTTCTCGGGGAGACTTATAAATTAAAGGGAAGGCAGAGACTTTGTCCACCGTTATCATTGTGCTTTCCTGTATTTCAGGACAAAAGATATCCTTTAGGCTCTATCACGTTTTAGATCAGCCGTAATGTCCTGCTATGACGTATGCAGCTCATTAATTTGCATTTGCAAGACCACGAGTGGCCACCGTCTGCCTTTTCGACCGGAGACTTTGAGATCTTATTCTGAGGGTAAATTCAATCCGATTTTTTTTTAAATTTTGAAATTTTTAATACTGACTTGTAAAAATTGTCACTTCAACCTTCGGGCATCGACATGGGATCTTCTCTGAAATGATTTTTTGGACAGGTCTCGGTCGAAGAGTCTCTTTGAGGATGCTGAAAGGATCTTCCATTGCGAAGGGGCAGACTCGCAGAAACTCAAAGGCGTGAATGCAATTTCGTTAGCGGCGTGTCTCGTTGCAGCGGTAAGCACTGGTTGGGCCAATGATACGACGATGAGATACGACTGGAAGTACGACACGTTGGTCGTAAGGTATGATACCTTATGCATCTATGTATGGACCTTTAGTTGGTTGCAGCGATTACACTACGGGGGTGGTCTATCGGGAGAATAACCAGTGGATTGCCACTAATTGCACCGTTACTTAACCCCTGTGAAAGATATTAGATGGGCTAACGGCACGTGTAATTTTCTAAAGTCTGATAGAAGTCGAGGTTAGGTCTTCTTACTTCTGGCCCTCGAATACACACGAAGATACGATTTGGCGTGGCTACTGCAGAAATCTTAATTCCCAGTAGCAGCCTCGGTCTGGTTTAATACAGACAAATCGTAATCCACATGGAGATAAACGAGGTTCGATTAATTAAAAGATGATCCTTGTCAAAATACAGCTACGCGATAAGAATACATTGAACCAAGAGTTAAGCTTGACTAATAAGTGTCGCATGAAACGGTTCTTTTGTCCATCCGTTAACTCGAGGCTCTCGGGTTGATCTTACTCGGGCTAGTGGGAATCGTGCGAAGCGCGAAGTGCATGCTGGGACTTTTGATCGATTTACCTCACGGAGTATCGTAACGAGATCTTACAGTTTCAAATGTATTTATATGATTGCAGCTCAGCGGTATCCCTGGTAGGTGGGTCGGAACGATTTGGCAAGCCTAGAATCATCGGCCGTTCTAAATCCAAGATTGGGCACTTATCGTTAGAGGCGAATTCAGTGAGGTGTCGGCCGACGCCGTAGACGCCGTAGACGCTGCCGACGCTGCCAATGTTCGCCGAGGTATTTCCAGTCTACGTGACTGAGCGTACGCCGAATGACATTACACGGGGTTTCGCGTACAGTCGAGTCACGGAGAGTGGATCGATACAATGAGCTCGGTCAGGTTAGAGCCTGGAGGATCGGTGCGAAGGAGAAAGAGAGAGAGACCGTCCGCGAGGGAGAGAGTGAGAAAGAGAAAGAAAGAATGCACTCTCGTAAGGTCGACTCGTGAATTCACTCGAGTGTACGAGAACGCGGAGGCGTCCGCAGGGCAATCAACGTTAACTGCAAGCGATCCTTACGATCCATGACGCCATATTCTTACGTGATCGTCGTTTGTCTTTGAGCGATCGCATTGCCGCGATTTGCTGCCGATCGATCCGACCGATCAATCTCCGATCGATCGAAGGTACGTACGACTTTCTGAACACGGATCTTTTGTCTAGTTGGAACGTGGTCAGTCTGACACGTAGACGATAAATGGAAGTAATGAACATTTTTTAAATGCCCTTTATAGGACGTAGGATTACAGCCGGATGAGAAAAGACACAGAGCAAGGGAGGAGGAAGAGGAGGACGCGGTCTCTGTCGTGTCTGTCGTATCTGTCGTCCCTGATGTCCTCCATCCTGTATATCCTCTATCTCGGACAGCGTGCCGCGGCTTGCGGCCCCATTGACCATTCCCATGTTAATATCTGGTTATGCGTAAAGTATGGAGGCGTACGGCCAGTTTGCATAGAAACTAAGGCATTAACGTGGACCACCCGAGTCGGTCCACTCGTTAAACGATCCTCTTTGCCGACACCTCGGTCAGGCTTTACCGATCCAGGCCGTTGCGTTCAGTTTTCAGCCCGTTATCCGCTCGAACGTTTGGATTACACCAAAGTACCAGTTGTAATCCAAACCACTGGCATCGTCCCGATTCTCTGGCTCGTTAAACTCTTCGGAAACAGGATGAGCCGGGGACCGGGGGGTTTATGTGGCAAGGGACAGTAATGACGATGACGTCGAAGAGACGATCCAGGCACGATAAGAGGCGCAAGAGCATCTCCACCCCAAGTCGCGAGTGCTTGGAATACAATTTCCATAGATCACAAGTATGTTTTAGAAGAGTGCGGTAAATAATTCCACTTGCTGATTCCATTATAAAAAAATGTCAAGTATCAAACGGAAGCATGTAAACAAAGTTATACGAAAGTCCATGTATCAGCTACATAGGTGTACACCTACCCGGAGGTAGAGTCGGTGCTTCTGACTAAATAAAATGGGAGAGTCTCCACGACGACATATACTGGTTCGTTATATTGGGTGTGGATTAGTCGTGGGTCGTCGATTATGGGCTTAGCCGACCGCGTGGCTTCTCTTGACTCTCTCGATACCCGACTGTTGCTTCTCGATTCAGCGAGAGATCCTTCGAGTCCACTACTCTTTGGATAGTCTTGGGAACGGCGGGAGGAGGAGGTGGGAGGTGGAGGAACTAACGAAGAGGACGACGTCCTCACGGCGGTCTACACCTCCTCCCGTGGCACCTCGCGGCAGATCGGCCGGTCTAAAACACTCGTGCGCCCACACTAGGAATCCTAGTCTTAAAGAGGTTCAAAGTTCCTCGTGGTCGTTTACGCCTTATTTATTCTCGTAATTTACTCCCACGCACTAAGCGCGCCGGTAATTTACTTTACGACGATCATATCTGGAAGTGGTCGGCACTTCGTTGTTCCTTCTGACCCGGTTCCGATCTTGCTTCATGCTTCTTTAAGCTTGCTCGACGAACTAACGAAGTAAGGGGGTCTTGCCTTGGACCGGATAGGGGACTAGGTAAAATGGAAGCTATGCAAAAGGTATCGCTTGGACCTTTGAGCTCTCTTATATTTATTGGTAAAACGAGATCAGAGCTTGGCCAGGTCTTTGGCAAAAGTAAATTGTCCGAAGGAAAGGGAGCTTGAAGTAACGATCGGTATCACCGATAAATATCTGAAGAGGAAGAATCCTCGGACTTGATGGTCCAATTACGTGCGCGTATTTATATCCATTCATTAGGCTCTCGAGTTCGGACGTTTATTTTTGGTCGCGTGCGCGACTTAATGAGAGGCAGAACGCTCGCGCGTGTACGACTGTACAGTCCGGGTTGGATGGTGCAAAAAATCACTGAAATTTATATAAACGCACTTATCACGTGGCGAATCGTTCTTTATCACACGTGCGTCTTAATAATTTAATTCCTCGTCATTTCGTTCGCTAAGTTAGATAAATTTACCAAATCAGTCACAAGGACTGGTTTTACGAAAAATAAGACCGGGTCCTATATGCGACCAGTCGGAAAATTTGTAAGAAGAGGTAAAAGTAAGAGAAAAAAAAAAAATATATAAAGTTGAAGTATCGCACGGCAAACGTAGTCGGAATAAAGGTGGCGCGGTGCTCAAACACGCGCGCTTAATGGGCGCAAAATGAATTATCGTTTATACGCGTAGCGTGCAAATTTGCATTCATGGCGCGGCGGCGCGCATAGCCCCACTTTGCACCTTCTTCTTGCGTACACGGGGCCCACTGTCAGTCCGTTATTTATTCCAATCCACGGGCTTTATGGCGGAAAATTAGCAAGGGGTCCTTCTGAATGCCGTCGCCACTTAGCGCGAGCGATGCATTCAAGATTTTTTTAATAGGTAAGCGACACGCCCTCCTTAGCGTCCCTTAACACTTTACAGATCTCTTTAAAGAGTTCTCCACCGACAGGAACTCACGAGTTTCTTCATGAACACTTCACAATTTTACCACCACTCCCATTTTACAATATTAGTAGCGACGCGGGTTGCCGACTCTGGCTCAAAAATTATTCCAGGATTTCACTTCGGAATGCAGCAAGCGCCGTTTGGGCATCACCGGTTCATTTGTCGTTTAGGAAATTCTTGTACTATTAAGTACCATCCTGAAGTTTCCTTCTTATGATGCGTGGGGCTGCGTAAGCATCCTGGCATTGGCATACCGATTCAGTAGGGGGAACTGCATCAGGCACCTCGTATGCGTGAACGTCCGTCTCCGGACACGCCTGGGACTTACGCTGGACATTAGGGGTTACGCAAAGGTCGAGGATCGCGACTCTGGGAACGTGAAGATGCTGGGGACACGGGAAGGGAGTTCGAGAGCTAGAAGCATACGCATGGGTATATAGATGGGATTAGAGAGGCTGGGTCAAAATGGGGAGAGG